ATCAACAGACTAAAACTGACTGCATCACGGACATTATGCGAGAGCCGGGGTACTATGGTACCCCGGGGTACCGCCATAAGGTTCAATTGACGTTCATAGGGTGGGATCACGTGATTATTATCAACCAGGGTGCCCACGGCTGGCCGCTCGTTGTTGAGGCATTTGTCCAGCAGCGGATTTACAGAGGGATGTCGAAAATGTGCTGCGGTCCAATAGCCGAGCGTGCGGCGGCATTTGCACACAAACAGCTGGAGGGGGAAAAAACAACCCCGTTTGCGGTGCAAAGTTGATGTAACGCCGCGGTAAACGCAAGCTCAAAAGCGGTGCGTCCTTGTTGAGAGTGGAATTGCTGGTTAATTGTGAGCAGGCCGCGTGGTGTGCCACTCCCCACGTGGTGTGCCGCTCGCCACTGCCCACGTGGTGTCCCGCTGCCCACGTGGTGTCGCGCTGCCCACGTGGTGTCCCGCTGCCCACGTGGTGTCGCGCTGCCCACGCAGCCTGCCGCTGCCCACGTGGTTATTCCACGTGCCGCTGCCTACGTGGCGTGCCGCCGCGTGCCGAGTCGGTCCCCGACCTCGCGTGCTGTGTGCCACTTTGAGGCGGTGGTTGCGTCGTCCCCTTTGCTACAATACCGGCGAGCACCAAACGTCTGCTGCGCCCCGGGCTCCTGCCAAATGACTGTGAAGCTAAATATTGAATCAGGCACCTACAAAACATCTCTTTTCGTGATACTGCGCGTGGAACAAAACACTCCTGCGGTGGGAAGCCAGCAGATGCCCCCGGGTGTGGCTGTCATATTCCCAGCCCCCCACCTCAGACAGGCTGTCCCAGTGCAGCGCCCTAAGCTCTTGTGAAAATCTGGGTCTTTGTCCCGTGTTTCAAATTGTCTGGCGTCGTGTGGCGACCACTGATAGGGGCAAAAGGTGTGGCTACCTGGCAGCAATAAACCAGGTGAGTGGTTAGAGCAGGGCTGGCAACCTGCGGCTCTGCGGCTGCCCCCATGCAGCTCTTTGGCTATGGAATGCCTCGTGATGACAAAATGTACAAGAGGCAAACTGTACTGTTATTCCCTCACCTATTTTGTTTATTTGAGTCGGAATTTTGTTTGTCATCTGCTGCCGCGTCTGTGTGCAAGTGAGCTCTGCGTGTGATGCGGCCCTTGAACTATTTTGGTCAAAGACAAAAACAACAGAAAAATGTCTCTCCTCCTTCTTCTTTGAACAGTTGCCGACCCCTGGCTCCGAGTGACCGCGGCAGGGAATGTCCCCCGAGTCTGCACGCCAACGTGCACCGCCTTCACCTTTCGGGGGTTATTTGACCGGTGCAAATTGGTGAAGGCGAGGATCGAAAATGTACAGAGACCCCCCTGTACTTGTACTGCCCTCTGCTGCCCACCACGTGGCCCTGAAGCAGCAGCAGCAGCAGCAGCCGGTAGCACCTGGGCTGTGAATGGAGCTCGCCCCATCCCGCTTCACATTCGCCTTCCTACCCCCCCATTGCCCATTCCACCAACCACAGCAAATGGGATTCATATAACTTCATCACCTTCCGAATAATCCTCATCTACGAGTCACATAATCATGATTCACGTCCCCCCGTGACTTTCATTATCGCTTTATTCACCTTTCGTGAAGAACCAATCGCATTTCTGAGCTTTTGCAATTAGCCCCCCCCCCCCCCCCCCCCCACTATGATGGAATTAAACAGTTTAGCGGCCCGAGCCAAAGCAAGTAGTTACATTGACGGGCGGAAATCGATTTCGGCGCGATTTATTTTCGCTGCTGGCGAGACGAAATCTCAGTGTTCCGAGGCCACCACCGCCACCGCCGCTGCATGAGAACAACGGAGGAGTGGAGGGAGTGAGAGAGGAGTGAGCGAGGAAGCCCTTTGCCCCGCAGAGGGACGCTACAGACTGGACAACGGCAGCAACGGCAACGAGCTGCGTGGGTAGAGCGGGGCTGGAGCTCACCGTGCAGCTGATCTGCTCCTGATAGTTTTTATTTTGGGTTAGAGCGCGTAAATACACAAATGTCGTCGCTAAATGCCCCACCACCCCACACAGCCAATCGGTAAGGTTTGTCACATGAACAAAACTTGCCAGTTCGTTACTAGTTCGGCACACCGGTGTGTTGGAGAGTAATATTTACACTTCGAGTACGACTTTCTTTCCGGTAATTACAAGCAGCTTCATCAGGGTTAAAGGTTAAAGGGAGCTGTGGACTCAACACACGGCCGCCGCAGCCCTCAGCAGGACAAGCGGATTGAGAAACGAACAAACTCATCAGGCTGGTTGTACTTACCGGTGGTTTTACTCTCCAACACAGCGGCGTGCTGAACTACTCACGAATTGGCGCGTTTTGTTTACGTGACAAACCTTACTAATTGGCTGTGTCGGGTGGTGGCGGGTTTAACGACACCTTCATATTTATGCGATCTAACCCAAAAAAACATATATTATTGATAATATTGGTCGCGAAAGCCTACCGTGTGTTAAACTGCTTTGCTCATGTCTGCTGGGAACCGCACCTCCGGTTAGCACCGTTGGCTACGTACGGTGTGTAATAAGTTCAACATACACACAACTGCGCTCGAGACGGGTTTCCAGTCAAACCTGCACGGAAGCGTGGCTTTCGGCCCTCATTATAGAAGCTGGTTTGCACTGAGAGTGTGGCCCAGATATTGCCTTCATGGGTCAATATCCAGATATTGCCTTCGCGTAGTCACACGGAAGTGGTTTATGCGCTAATTTCATGATTCTATTGAGGAACTGGCAATGACCCTACACAAGTCATCTTCCGTATCTTCACGCGACCTACCGGGCTCCCGTAATTCGTGCTCTGCTCCGAGGTTTTTCAATTTAAGACACATTATAAGTGCTGCAGACGTTATTTATGATGGTAGTGATGATGATGATGAATGTTCGTACGTGCGAGTTTGTGTGGACAAGAAGTAATTCAGGTCAAGCCCAGGTATGAGACAATTGCTGATATTTATTATTCCCTTGGTATAATAATACTGCGTGTTTCACATTTAAATGTATACTCTGTTTATTAGTGCCTTTAGTCATCCAAATGGCAGCTTCTGCTTCAGAAATTGTCACAGTGCTGTATAACTTAAGCGGGACTGGAGAATAATCACCTCCACATTCTCGCCACATTCATCGCAGTGATGGCGACCATGATGAATGTTCGTTCACGCGTGTTTGTGAGGACAGGAAGTAATTGGCTCTACGCCACTTGATCTCATTGTATTTATGTGTTCATGAAGTGTGGGTACTGCCTGCGACCGATTCTAGGACGTCTTGACCGGCGTGGAAGAGTAGGCCAAGTAGCTCATAAAGGGGGCTCTCGGGAGCTCCCGCTCGTGGAGATTCTTCCACCAGCAGTGGCACAGGGAAGGACCTCGCAGGGCTGCACTGGGCCCACCCATGAAACTGAACTCGCGTTTTTGCTTGCCACAAGTGAACTGCAATATCTTGCTTATTTCGTCAAGGTTCATGAACCATCACAACACGATCTCCGGTCATCCTCGCAGCGGCTCTTGGCTGGCCATCAAACAAAGGTGGTCACTGCGTCGCGAGCTTTCATGGGCACTTCTGCGGCCGTCTGGAACGCTCTTCCTTCCGATATTAGGAAGCCACTGGAGCTATGCACTACCTGTCAATCCATTAATCACCTTTCCGCACCTCCGATAAGCATGATTGGCTATGTACGGTGCGAAAGAAGTTGAGCATACATACAGTGAGGGAAAAAAGTATTTGATCCCCTGCTGATTTTGTACGTTTGCCCACTGACAAAGAAATGATCAGTCTATAATTTTAATGGTAGGTTTATTTGAACAGTGAGAGACAGAATAACAACAACAAAATCCAGAAAAACGAACGTCAAAAATGTTATAAATTGATTTGCATTTTAATGAGAGAAATAAGTATTTGACCCCCTCTCAATCAGAAAGATTTCTGGCTCCCAGGTGTCTTTTATACAGGTAACGAGCTGAGATTATGAGCACACTCAACTCGCCGTGTTTGGAGGAGGAAGAATGCTGCCTATGACCCCAAGAACACCATCCCCACCGTCAAACATGGAGGTGGAAACATTATGCTTTGGGGGTGTTTTTCTGCTAAGGGGACAGGACAACTTCACCGCAAAAAAGGGACGATGGACGGGGCCATGTACCGTCAAATCTTGGGTGAGAACCTCCTTCCCTCAGCCAGGGCATTGAAAATGGGTCGTGGATGGGTATTTCAGCATGACAATGACCCAAAACACACGGCCAAGGCAACAAAGGAGTGGCTCAAGAAGAAGCACATTTAGGTTTTTAAGTGGCCTAGCCAGTCTCCAGACCTTAATCCAATAGAAAATCTGTGGAGGGAGCTGAAGGTTCGAGTTGCCAAACGTCAGCCTCAAAACCTTAATGACTTGGAGAAGATCTGCAAAGAGGAGTGGGACAAAATCCCTCCTGAGATGTGTGCAAACCTGTTGGCCAACTACAAGAGACGTCTGACCTCTGTGATTGCCAACTAGGGTTTTGCTACCAAGTACTAAGTCATGTTTTGCAGAGGGATCGAATACTTATTTCCCTCATTAAAATGCAAATCAATTTATAACATTTTTGACATGCGGTTTTCTGGATTTTTTGTTGTTATTCTGTCTCTCACTGTTCAAATAAACCTACCATTAAAATTATAGATTGATAATTTATTTGTCAGTGGGCAAACGTACAAAATCAGCAGGGGATCAAATACTTTTTTCCCTCACTGTACATACTGCCACCAGTGCATGTTGAACTTCTATCGCACCTTACGTAGCCAACCATGCTCATCGGAGGTACGGTTGGTAATAATAAGTTCAGCATCCATCCATCTACCTGTCAATCCATCAATCATCTCTCCGTCATCTCTCCGCACCCCCAGTCCACGCGGTTGGCCACGTGCGGTGCGACAGAGGTTTAACATCCGTGCATGCCCCACCGCCCGTGCACCCCCGTGTCCCGCGCCCCAGAGTACGAGCTCGAGCCGTGCAGGGACCCGGGCGTGCCGGCGCTCGGCTCGCGCCTCGGCTCGGGGCTGCTGGTGGGGGACGCCATCGTCTTCTCGTGCGACGCCGGCTACCGCCTCGAGGGGGCGGCTCGCCTCGTGTGCCTGGGCGGCGGCCGCCAGGCGTGGAGCGCCCCGCTGCCACGGTGTGTTGGTAAGGTGGTCACTTTCCCGTTGCTGGTCACGCGCACGCTCACGCACACACGGCGACAACAAGAACAGCGACTCGCAAAGAACCGCCGGGCAGTAGTGGGATGCCTATTTAAATCGAGATTGAAAACCAATTTATTTACAACTGCTTTTTGTGTTTTCATGTGTTGTCTTTCTCCCGCACCTCGGATGAGCACAGTTGACTACTTACGTGACCTCACCCAAAGAAACCTGTACTATGGATGAGATTGGTCGCGAAAGCCTACGTGTTAAACTGGTGCGAAAGAAGTTATACATTCATCCAGCACGGGTTTGGGGTTGGTGCGGTGGGCGGAGACATCTCCGCTTTCGCGGACACCCTCGCGTGTCGTTCGGCACGTTGTCCGTTGCTTCGTGCGGGGTACGCCGTTTCTTCTGCGACTGAGAAGATCCCAACACGTGGCGCGAAACGTTGGACATCGTGCCAAGCGACAGCGTGCGGGACTCCCCCCACAACACGAGGGAGGAGAGCTGCACAGGGGGACCGCCCACGCGGCGCAGATTCTGTCAGTGGAATATTTTTAGAAGGGGGGAGAGGCTTATGCTCACCTCGGTGATCTGCTCAGGTGGCAACTCCGGTGGGAGATGCACAAACCTGGTCGGTCGCATAGCAGCATCGAGGACCGGTAACACAACAGGCTCACGAGCCTGTTGTGTTTCTCACTGCCTCTCCCATAATGCAGCCTTAACCCCGTCACCTTCATCATCCTCATCATAAACACTGCGTTATAAGACAACAACGTATCGCAATTGCAATTTGTATTTATGGGAACATGCGGTGTCTGCGAATGCATTTTAAGAGTTTTAAGGAGATGGGAGATATTTTTTTGCCCATATTACATTTTCCCTCCTTCCATTCCTTGGAGACTTCATTATTGGAATTTTCCAAGGTTGCCCCATCAGCCATTGCTGATTTAGTGGCTCAGTCCCAACCCACCTTTTGTTACCTCGATCCCTTCCCTACCAAATTAAATCAAGAACATTTCCATTTACTCTGCCCATTTGTAACCAACATTTTGAATACATTTCTCAGCTCTGGTATTGTCCCTTCCACCTTAAAACTTGCAGCTGTTCCACCTCTCCTGAAAAAGATTGGCCTTGATTATGAGGTTCCAAATAATTATCGCCCAATCTCCAATCTACCCTTCCTAACCAAGGTCCTTGAAGGCCTGGTTGCCTTGCAGTTGAACCACCATTTGTCCTCTAATTACTTGCTGGCTCCATTCCAGTCTGGATTCAGGGCTGGACACAGCGCTGAGACGGCTCTGGTTAAAGTGGTGAATGACCTTTTGATCGCTGCTGACTGGCTCACCCAGTATTCTCGCTTTGCTGGATCTGAATTCAACCTTTGACACCACAGATCATGATATCTTGACTCCATCGTGACATCTTGATTGATCGTTTGCAAAGCATCATGGGGATTTCAGGAACTGCTCTCCATTGGTTCAGATCTTATCTAGCTCATCGGGAACAGTTCGTATCCATGGGAGATTTTAAATCTGCTTCCAGCCCTCTTTCATTTGGGGTTCCTCAATTATTGGCCCTCTTCTCTGTTGTATTTATGTGGTCCCAATGGGTATTTTTCTCCAATATCTCAAGCCTAAAGTTGCATTGCTATGCAGACGGCACTCAAATTTACTTGAATACTGAGTCCGATATCTCTTCGTCTGCCTCCATGCTTACTTCGGTGCTGGCTTCCATCAAAAGTTGGTTGCAACGTAACTTTCTCCAATTGAATGGTGTTAAAACGGAGGTGATTGATGCTCATTGGGTCACTCCACCAACTTCATAAAGCTGCACCCTTCAAAATCACGATTGATGGTCATGCAATCAGTTCGGCACAGCAAGTCACAAATCTAGGGGCCATCTGTGATCCCATATTGTCTTTAAAAGATCACAAAGACCTAATTTTTCCATCTTTGGAATATCTCCCGTATCCGAGCCCTTCTCTCTGTATCAGATGCAGAAAAGCTGACCCATGCCTTCATCTCATCTCGCATAGACTATTGTAATGTCTTACTCACTAGTGTGGTGAAGATGGTGCTAATCAATTGGCAACATGTCCAGAATGCGGCTGCTATGGTGGTAACCAGAACACCTTCTTCACATCATATTACACCCGTGATGGTCTCCCTGCACTGGCTTCCAGTTTCACAAAGAATACAGTTAAAATACTATTGTTAACTTACAAAAGCGGTGAACCATCTTGCCCCAGTCTGCATCATTGACATGCTGCACCCATACGTCCCCTCAAGGTACCTAAAATCTGGGGATGCAGAACGTCTCTGTATTCCCAGGTCGAGGCTTCGGTCTGTGGGTGACCGAGATTGTTCCCGTGTAGCTCCAAGGCTATGGAACGCTCTTCCACAAGACACCAGAGGGATCTCTGAACCTGTGGACAGGAAATAATAAAATAATAAGAATAAAACATAATAAAATACAATTCTCACGACGTTTCGGCCACAACACAAGCAGCCGTCCTCAGGTGAAGAACAGGTCTGTCGGAAAGACAGCGTCTTTCGTGAGAATTGTATTTTATTATGTTTTATTTTTATTATTTTATTATTCCCTTCTACGTGACTTAACCGAAAGAATCAAGAAGATGAATCCCTGCAGTCACGAAAGCTTTAAATCGAAATTTAAACATGTAATTATTATTATTTATAAATGGGGATAGAGAGGCTGAAATTGGGACTTGGGACAACGTTTTGGGAGCAGGGCAAATTGAAGGCGTTGAGAGAGGAAGACGGACGGGGACTGTGCGCAGCAGCACGCATGGCGAGGTGAATGCTGTGGGCGAGGTGAATGCTGTGGGCAATGTGAGGCAGTGGCGTTGTTGAGAGCGGTGAATGTCTTCGTTTGGACGTATTGGCGGTACACCGGTGATGCGCGGTATAGAGACACCGATATCACGTTTTTTGCGTAATACTTGTTTATTTTCCAGCAGTTCCCAACCCCGGTCAGAATATCTTGCGGGATGGTGGTGTTGGTGGGGGGTGGTGGTGGTGGTGGAACTGCGTCAAAATCAGTTGTCATGATGTCGACGGCGTCGGAAGACGGAATATTTATACGAACGGCTGAACGCGAAGCTTCACAGTCTGTTGCTGTATAGCAGCACTCGGCCTGATGACGATTGGCAACGCAAGAAAGCTGCTGCTGCTGCTGCACTCCTGGGCGTAGCCCACAAGATCGCGTGCCCCGGACGCAAATCAACAGTCAATATTTTACCTTTATTTAGCAAGTCTCAGTAGACCGAATAAACATTCAAATCGCCGTCGCACTTGGCGACAGGGTAAATTAAAGGCTGATAAAACAGATTTGCTGATTCACGTTTTGATGTGAGTCTGTTTCATGAGGACCGGTGTGTTATGCCACACCAGCGTACCGACAATACGTCTAATTATTCTCTCTGCAGAATTAGCCTTTGTTGAAGAGCATAGTTCTCTTTGTGTAGGCAAAACTCCTTCATTCTCTTTGTGCCGTATGCTTCGAGTACAAATTATTCAAATCAAAGTTTACAGTTGTGTATCGCTAAGGTCGGCTTCAAAGGAAGCTGTGAATTATGATCAAAGTGCGCTTCCATGAATGTTAGCGATGTAACTTATCGCGTTTCTGTATTTGTTCAAATCCTTGTAAATTGGCTGCAGATGTTATGTGAAACATTGAAAGATATGCATCAACATTAAGTTGTAAAAAAAACTAAATGCAAGGTTGGTATTTGAGTCACATTTTGCAGCCTGCTGATAAACAGCAGCTGATAAATTGTTACAATCCCAGCCTTTGGGCAGTTACACGCGGTTGAAATACATATTTGCATATTAATTTGTTCACCGTTCAAAAAAATATTGTTGGAAAAAATTAAACATGCCCTGCAATGCAATGTGGGCTGCAGTTTTCTAATTTTATGGAATTGAGAGTTATTAAATTAATTGAACCTGCTGAACGTTTCATTTCTTTAATGTAACTTTGTACAAAAAATAGATAGAATGCACCGCAAATGAATTAAATGAACACAGCAATGGTATGGCATATATAATGAGAAAAAAGCAAAGTGCATGCAGGATCTTTTTTTTTGATTATATATGAAAAAATCAGTATGCCTCAGGGGAGGGTAAAAAATACCATGTTCGGATGACGAGGGTTGTTCCAGCTGTGCCACACTTCAATCAATGACTGCTGCCCTTCACAGCACGATAATAGGAGGCAGACCGGAGGGAACGACTGGACGTCATGAAAGTCTTTGTTTTGTTTGCCCAGAGATGGACGCTGCTGCCGGGCCAAATGCAGCAAAGTGTTTCTTTTATATGAATATATATATATAAACCCATTGGCACGCTGTAAATATACGATGCGTCTGATTTAACGATGTTATTTGTGCGCAGTGTACGAGATCCCACCGTCTGAACACGTCGCGGTAATACTTCGCAAGCTGCGAGTTTTATTGGACGACGTTAAATTGCAAAGTCTTGCTGAGTCCGGCGAAGTAACGATGATGCGGGAGCTTTACATTCAGGACACCTTTCTTACGAATGTTGTGGTGGTTGAACTTCACTGCTGCACACGCGTTGCACGAAACGCGGGCAATTGATTTGCCTTGTTTGGAGTGTGGTGGCACGGTGGCGAGATGTTAACTACCTCGCTTGGTATACCGCAGGCCGTAGGTTCGATCCTGACCCTGATACCTGCTGTATATTTGGAGTACGCATGTCTCTCTCTCTCCCCGCGCTCGTGTGGATTTTTCTGTGGGTCCTCTGGTCCCCCCCCCCCCCCCCCCCCACATTTAGAATCCACATCACTCGTTTGGAGTATTTGCCGCTATGCATTCCCACATGATGTTGAGCCACTTTGTAGAGCTATCATTAGTGATAGCCAGGTTGCTTCTGAAAAAGAGCCGCATAGCTCAGTGGGGCCTTACCTGGTCAAATAAATAATAGTTGTAGGTGAGTGTTTTAAAAGCCATTGTGATTACTCATTTGTTTACCCACCCAAGCGTAGGATTTACACGTTTTGCGTCCGCTCGCCTCCCCGGACTGCCCCTTCCTCCTACCGTTCCCAGCCGAGTGCGGGACGTCGTTGCGAGGGGACGACGGAGTCCTGCTGTCACCCAACTACCCGCTGGTGTACGGCAACAACCACGAGTGCGTGTACGACATCGCGGTGACCCCGGGCCACGGCGTCCAGCTGGCGGCGGTGCACTTCCGACTCGGCCACGGAGATGCGCTCACGGTACCGCGCGCTAGACAACACCGGCCTCGAGTTACCACGGCACACGTTCATCACCAGTCCAGAGCAGCATCCGTTTGCCTGATGCGGTGGCGAAATGTTAACTACCTCGCCTGGTATGCAGGAGATCGTGAGTTCGATTCCGACCCCAACGCCTGCTGTATATTTGGAGTTTGCGTGTCTCTCTCCTCGTGGTCCTGTGGATTTTTCCCAGGATACTCTGGTTTTTCCCTCCACATTTAGAATCAACATCACGCATTTAGAGTAGTTGGCTGCTATAAATATTCACTCGATAAACCATACAATCGAGCTATCATTTGTGATAGCCTGGTCGCTTCTGAATAAGAGCTACATAGTTCGCTGGGCCTTACTTGGCATAAAATATAATTTATTTTAGTTCATCATTACAGGTGAATAGTGCAAAGTTACATCGTTGAAATGTATTTCTCCCACCACTGCTCGTACCTCCAGTTAGCACGGTTGGCTACGTACGGTGCAAAATAAGTTCAACATAAGTACTACTGGCAGAATGGCCTTCGCTAGCGGGAGCTCTAGAAGAGCCCCTGTGGAGGGTATTTTGTTGACCCATCCGTCCTCGGACATTTGTGATAAAGAACTTCATAGCTCATCGGATTCCTCCATGGTAAATTAAACTTCTGATTCTGAGTTAGCCTCCTCTTCTGCACTGGCCTTTAGACGGGGTGGGACTACCCACACTTTACTCCATCACGAGCGATCTGATAATTGAACAACATTCCAGATTTAACCTCTACATTCGTAACGACGTTCGCAGCCACAGATGATTCCGCCTAATTTTGTCAACCTTTGTTTTCATTCATCGTAACTTGGTCGTGATTGAACGCTAATGATATATACGTGAGATTAGCCTCTTCTAATGTAATCTGCACAGTCTCAATGGAATTATACGAAGGATTTATATTGATGTATGCACGTGAGCACAAGGTAATTTACATTGATCTGTTCCGTATATGCCAGTACGATATTAATCTGCAATGAGTTGGCAGTTAAATGTTACTCATGTCCGTGACTTTAAACGGTAGAGGGGAGAACGATTTGGATCTTTATCTCGGATTGGTTCAAAAACAAACTCGTTGACTGGTCCATACCAAAAACAACCTTGTGGATTGGTTTGTGAAAATTGCAATTTGTGTGATCTGGAGAATTAATGGACAGGCAAGATGAGGATTAGAATCAGAATCTTTATTTATCCTGGAGGAGAAATTGGATGAGCAATTAAGCTCTTTTTTTCGCAGATGTCCAGTAGGGGTGGGTCACAAAATAACAACAACAAACAATACAAAAACACGATAGGAGTGCAAAGTGTAGGAAAGGTAAACAAATCACTCAAAATAAAATATAAATATACTGAAACTAAACTATATTTTTATTTACCAGGTAAATGCCACTGAGCTCTTAGTTCTGTTTCAGAAGCGACCTGGCCACAAACGATAGCGCAACAAAGTGGCTTCTCATTTATAGCAGCCAAATACTCTAAATGCACATTTTCTAAATGTGGAGGGAAATACTCGAGAAAAATCCACGTGACTATGGGGAGAACATGCAATCTCCAAATATATGGGCGTCAGGGTCGGATTTATAGCAGCCAAAAAAATCGACCTGCTGGTTTATAAGATAGTGGTGGTGACAATGATGATAAGATAGCCACCAATTAAAATGATCATCTTGCGCACAACATCATGGCCACTGACATTGCGAAGAGTTGGTGGAGCTACTTTTGCACTCTTGCACGAGTGAGTGAGCAGCGTTGGTGCGCGGTGTGCTTGTGAACGGTGTCTCGACCACATGAGGAGTAGAACCGCTTCTCATCCCCGGCAGTGTTCCCTTCCTCTCAACTCTCATTTCACTTTGTGGAGTGAAAGGTTGTTTTGTTTAGTGTACAGTTTTATATGCTGAAATGGTAAACAAGTTGTTTCTTAGTTTAACACGGTAGGCTTTCACGACCAATATAATCCACAATAAAGGTTTTTTGGGTTAGGTCGCGTAAATATAAATGTATCGTTAAACCCGCCACCACCCGACACAGCAAATTAGTAAGGTTTGTCACGTACACAGAACGTGCCAATTCGTTACTAGTACAGCACACAAATGTTGTGGATTTACTCTCCAACACACAGGTGCGCTGAAATAGTAATTAATTGGGCATGTCCTGTTTACGTGACAAACCTTACTAATCGGCTGTGTCGGGTGGTGGCGGGTTTAACGACACATTTACAGTTATGCGATCTAACCCAAAAATATCTGTAGTATGGATAAGTTGTTTCTTGTTGATTTTTTTGTATGGGATTTACAAGCATCTGTAGGTTTGTAATTGTTTTTTTTTATTGTTCGCGAATTTCTACATCTGGGGCATGCCGTGCTGATATTTGTGATCGTTTTATTGTTGACGACTATTAAATAGAAAAATAAAAATTAAACACGTTGCCATTATTGGGGGCTTTTGCAATGCATTAATTAGAATTTGTAAACACGTCCACAGCTCGCCATGTAATACAATCCCGTCAATTGTTTTCAATATTAGGTCTGCTAACCAGCAATTTTCCATTATTGGGAAAGCTTGAAGATGCTGTAATTAATTACAAGCTGGCATTACAGCTTGTGCCAACAATCGTGAAACATTATCCACGCGTGCGTGCAATATCTGCAGTGCTCTGCTCTATAAATGACACCTATTAATCACTGTGCATTACCGTTGGCCAAACGAACTTTTGGCAATGGTTGTGCAAAACCTTAACGTACGTGGGAATGAGTACCGCGTGTGCACGTGTTTTTTAGCTCTGCTACAGTGAAGGGGTGCGGCTGTATTGTAGGAATGGGTATTTTAAAAAATTCATAAACGTAGGTGCGGGGCTGCTGTCCCTGAAGGCCGTGCGGGCGCGGCGAGGCTGTTGTGGTGTGGCCGCTCCGTGCGTTGTCGACGTGTTTGGACTTCCGAGTGAAGCGGAATTTGTTGCGATGAATGTCGATCCATCGCGTCCGAGATTCGCTAAGGAGAAATAAACTGCAATTCTCAAATTTGATGTTGAATGTAAATTTAGTTGTACCAAATGATTTGGCAATAAATACTACTTTGGTTATGTAGGTAATGTTCCTTTTCATTCCTATGTTAAATTATATAAATATCGCCATACTTAATCGAATTAATAATCTTGCATTAATAATAATGATGTCATCTTATTTAATTTTTGAGTGCCTGCTCTGACAAGAAATCGGAGAAAGCTCTTTTTCCATTGGTGGTGCCAAGACCCTTTGCATGAATTCCACATTTACAGCCGCTGTCATATATTGATTGCATATTGGTCGGTAGGGTGGCACAATGTGGTTATCACCCAGCAGGAGTAGCGCAGGTTCGACTCCTGACTGGGGCACTTTTCAATGCGGAGTTTGTATCGATGCCCAACCACCAATTGCATTTCTATTTCCACTCTCAAGGTGTACGACGGACAGGACGGCTCCTCGCGAGTCCTTGAAGCCTTCACCGGCACCGCCATGCAGGACTCCGTCATCAACAGCACCTCCAACCACCTGCACCTCGAGTTCAACTCGGACGGCGACGTGGTGGACGAAGGGTTCCGGCTTGTGTACACGAGTAAATAGCGCGCCTTCAATCCGGCGTCATCACGTGACGCGCCGCTGCACACCACCCGCTCGTCTGACGCTCACGCGGCACCATTTTTATAGTTTCCTGTGAAAATACAAAATACTGTCATAAATTCTTAACTGTGCTTAAATCATTTGGGAATTTGGTATTTATTGACAATGAGACACAGTGACCTACATTTGCAGTCAATTTCATGAAAGTTTTAACGATGCAAATGGCAAAACTGATTATTATTTTTATAGCTGTGATGATTGTGAGGCTATGCGCTTTTATCTACCCTCAAAGATCCATATTCCTCTTAAATATTCACACATTCAATGTAAAGTGGTTGCTGAATTATTCAAATGTGTTCGGAAAAAAAACATAATGAGCAATTATCAAAGCGTTCACATTTTGTAGTTCTGCTTAACTTCTCAGGGGCGCAGCGAGCCTCCGTGGCCGTCGGTTCTAGCCGATTGGGAATGGAAAGCCACGGTAATCAAACAGAATATCAGACCGCCGTAGCACGATGCAGCCGTGCGGTACCGTGCGGTGAGAATCGCTGCTGGCGAGCGATCGCACCAGCAGCAAGCGGTTGGAGAGTCCCAGCGCCTCTCGCGGTTTCTGCATCGTGCACGAGCAGGCACGTCACAAGCACCTGTAGGTAGGCAAGGCCCTCCCAACGTCCACGTTTACAACGCCGCCAAGCGCAAAGTTCTGCTGCCTGGATCGGGAGCGCTCGCTCGTCGGACTGCGTGTGTTGTGTATTTGGCCGCGATACATTTCCACGTGATAAGCCACTTTGTTGAGCTATCTTTTGTGGCCAAGTCGTTTCTGAAAAAGAACTGCATAGCTCAGTGGGCTTTACCTTGTAAAATAAAAAATTGTTTAGTTTAAGTTTTAGTTTAGCTTGCTTCATAGACAGCGAAATAACAAAACGTCTATTTATTTTGGCAGATGCAACGCACCTTGTACACATTCCCCAATCGCGCGTTCTCTGTTTTGCTTCCGTAGGCTTTGAGCTTCTCAGGTGCGAAGACCCGGGCGTCCCCGAATTCGGACACGCCGTTGCGGACGAGGGGCACTTCGCTGGCAGCAGCGTTACGTTTGGCTGCGACCCGGGCTACACGCCGCACGGACGCACCGTGGTGACGTGCCTCACCGGGGAGCGGAGAGTCTGGGACTTCCCCTTGCCTTCGTGCGTCGGTGAGTGGCGGCCTCGAGTGAAGTATAAACGGGGGGTGGGGGGGAGAGTAGAGATGTGCGGCTACTGGATACTCGGCTGCATTCCGTTACGCTGCGTCTCACCGCTTGTTCGCTAAAAACGCGCGAGCGAGTTCACGCTCATAATTGTACGGAACCCTCGTTTTTACAACTTATATGTCCATTCTTGCAGATAACGTTTCCTACTGGTAAACCTTGTGGTTGTCTCTCTCTGTGCGCCGTGTGACTCATCTGTATATTATCGTATTTCCATCTCTCACGTTATTTTTGACGCCATTCCCTGTAGCTATTTATTGCACAGCTGCACTGCAAATCTGCCGATTAGGATGCACGTACTCTGCAACTTTCTGTCTTGTATCCTCGGTGTAAACTGTTCCCTTCTTTGTAATGAGGCCTTATCCCTTCATTAATCGTTTGCTTCCCTTCACTCTGCTACCAGAATGCAGCTCGAGATTGACAACTCATTTGTTTAGAACTGCTTGTTGTTGTGTTTAGTTTGTGGTCCTTCCCCCGCACCTCCGATTAGCACTGGTGACTACGCACGGTGCGAAAGACGTTCAACGTGCATACAAGCTCGCCTCTTCCTGTGCCCACGCAATCTGCCCTGCTCAGCCCTGGCTTATATGGCCCTCGTGTTTCTTCTCGCTTGATTACTCCTCACCCAATGATTAGTCTATTGTCGTGGCCTGCCTCTTTATGACCTGTGTTTATGACGGTGATTAGATTCACGATAGGTCACCATCTATTCTTAACAGATTTCAATTTCCCAGAGCGCAACGGTGCGTTTTTCACGCGTTGCCGTCTCGCCGCGGTGTGGCGTGAAGCTTGACTAAATAACTGTACATTGCTTTGCTTTCATCGTCTTTGTGTTTTTAGTTTGTTGTCCCCCCCCCACCGCACCTCCAATTAGCACGGTCGGCTATGTACAGTGCGAAAGACGTTCAACATACATACGTACAGTAAACCCTTGTTAATTCGACACATATGGGGCTCTGGCCTTGCCGAATTATCCAATATTCCGAATTGTCTACAATGGTGCTCCCCAGTTCCTCCTGTCCCAATAAAAAAAAATGCTAAATGTATTTCCCAAACTTTTCACACACAGTACACACTGACACACCTGCATCAATTCTACCCAAAACTTTGGATTTAGACGACATTTCCGAGAGGGTTGGCTTGCACAGAGTGCACAAACAAGGTAAGGTCCAGAGCAACGGGTCTGCACGAACACTCACTACACTCACTACACTCACCACTCTCATCACGCGCACCGCCACCAGACTGAGTCGTTGTTCTGGTCATGTTGTGCGGTCTCGCTCCACGTGCATGCCCAAACTGGACCATTCGGTATGCCAATTCGGCTCATGGCGAATTACTAATACTGTATATGTGCCGAAAGCGCAGCCGTGCCGAATTATCCTCAATTATTAATGATCAAATACCAAAAAAAATAAGTTTTACTGTACAAAATTGTAAACTTGTGTTATTTACAATAATGAATGCAGTGTATTGCCACCGTTACGTCTATTGCAATGTGACAACACTCCTCATTTAGATTTTGAGATTCTGCATGGGGCCACGTGACAAGTGGCAGAGGCCAGTACAGCAAACCCCCAATTGTTGTGCCCTACTGTGCTTGCGCGGCTATGCATCCACCCCTCAAACAACTCCCACACTGACCAGCACGGTTAAGTAGCCAACGGACAAGCGGGTCGTGTGGTGGGGCATAGTGTGGGCACTGCCGCCTCCTTGCCAGGTGCCTCCTGGCCATCGTGGGGGGGGGCTCTCTGGAGCCCCCCTCTCGTGGATGCCTTTTCGTCTCGAACAGGACATTTTGCAGGGCTGCATTTTGACATTTTTTCATTTACGGACCAAGTGCTTCTTCAGTGACACTGTTGAAAATTATATCAGATCATCATGGGACCTCCCTTGCCAGTATGAAGATATTAGAATCGGTTTTACCCTTTCTGACAGTTGTGTTAAGATGTTAAAACACCGAACAAAAACCTTTTGCAAGGAATCGTGTCAGCATTAACCACATATACTCGTGGTGAAAATGCAAACAAAAAAACATGCTCTGACAGTGTGTGCATTGTCTTTGAAACTGATTGGTCCACACCAGAGGACGCCAAAACGTGACCAGTACAAAGACAATGCCACTAAGAGAGCTTTTATAGCTCGGGGTGAGCAGCTACAAAATGGGACCTTTTGGCGTCCTCTGGTTCTAACACTGTTTGAGACTAAGCTCTCAAGAAAGCTGTCTCTGGTGTGGACCAATCAGTCTCAAAGACAATGCTTATACTACCAGAAAATGTTTGTGTTCGTTTGCATGTTCACCACAAGTATATGTTGTTAATGCAGACACAATTCCTTGCAAAGGTTTCTGTTTGGTGCTTTAACATCTTAACACCTGTTTTATTGCCAGAAAGTGTTAAACATATTCTGATATCAGATCGTACAATGTTTTTTTTATCCCTCGTCGATTTCAATACGAAGATAAAACTCTTCTTGTTTTTTTAACTCTTTTTATTGTACCGGGTAAGGCCTACTGAGCTATGCTACAGCTCTTTTTCAGAAGCGACCTGGCCGTCACAAATGATAGCTCAATGAAGTGGCTTGTCACGTGGAGATTTTTTAAAGCAGCCAGATTACTCTAAATGCATGATTCTGAACGTGGAGGGAAAAACCGGAGGAGCCGGAGAAAGATCCACGCGACCACAAGGAGAGAGACACGCAAACTCCCAGCATGATAAACTAAACTATTTTTATTTTACCAGATACGTTGAACTTCTTTCGCACCATACATAGCCAGCCGCGCTAATCTGAGGTGCGGGGGAAGGACAAAAAACTAAACACAAAAATCAGTTCTAAAAAAATGAGCTCTCAATCTAGATTTAAGAGTGCACAGCGCCAGTGGAAAACTCCAAACATACAGGCGTCAGGCTCTGGATCGAACCCACGACCTGCTGGCGAAGTCGTTAACATCTCGTCACCGTGGCACCATCAGCAAAATGGTGACATGCGTTTTGCGGTGCGGTGGAACCGTCGGGTTGCTAACCGTGCCTCTCCCGTGGCGGTGCGTGGCGGTGTGCGCGAAGCGGAGTGCGGTGGAGCCATCGCGGGTGTGTCCGGGGGAACTATCCTGTCCCCCGGGTACCCCAACACGTACGAGCACAACCTGCACTGCGAGTGGACCATCGAGGTGAACCCGGGATTCACCATCAGGTGAGTGTGCGGCCCTGTTTCACATTACACACGGCGGTGGTAATGCTCGTGCCTCGCGGCAGCAAGCGCCTGGGTTCGAATCTCGACTCGAGCGCCCTGTCTGTGTGCCGTGTGTACGTTCCACCGTTCTGCATGTGTTTCCTCCCATAGTTAAAACATATATATAGAGACTGTATAATGGAACTGGTATTGGCTTAAACATCCCAATGCTGATAAATTACCTGCAGCGTACTCAATTGTGATTACACAACAGCAGCAACATCGCCCCCTCTTGCAAATACTCGGCAGCACCCTCCTCAAAAATAGGCTTTCATACCTCTTTTAAACCTTTCCCGTTCCGAGACGTCTGCGAGTTGCAGGATGAGCAGTCTCCCGTTCACCTCGAAATCGCGGACCGCGCGAGCGGCTCGGCGTTCATTTTATTTAGAGAGGCGTAGCGCCATTGTTTTTAAAGACGTCGTTACTCACTGCAGAGAACTGTAGCGACACGACCACACTCCGTGACAGCTGACGCCAAACTGTGCCACGCCCTCCCGCATGGCCTTGCGGAAGCCTCGGTACTGACAGCAGTCTGTTGACCTGTCTGTCTGTCTGTCTCACTGTGTCTGACTGCAGTCACTTGACCTGTCTGCCTCACTGTGTCCCCGCCCCGCAGTCTACACTTCCAGGTGTTCGACACGGAGGCGTCGCACGACGAGCTGCGCATCTGGGACGGCGGCGCGGAGAGCGGCATCCTGCTGCGTGAGCTCAGCGGCCCGGCGCTGCCCGACACCGTGCACAGCACGCTGCACCTCGTCACGCTGCACTTCGACACGGACTTCTTCATCAGCAGGCCCGGCTTCGCACTGCGCTTCACCTGTAAGACCCCCCCCCCCGCCCCCACCCTGCCCATCTCGAGTGTGCTGCCACTTCGCTCTGCACCGACGCATTGCACGTCGCTGTGGTGGGGCATTGTGGTTAAAGACGCTTAGGGTTTGCCGTGGTGGCAAAATGTTATCTCACTCACCTGGTGTGCGGAAGGTCGTTGGTTCGATCCCGACCCTGTCGGTGCCTGCTGTGTAGGGCGCCACGGTGGCGAGATATAAGATGTTAACTACCTCGCCTGGTCGTGGGTTCGATCTCGACCCTGATGCCTGTATATTGGGAATGTGCGTGTCTCTCTCTGCATGGTCGCGTGGATTTTGCTCCTGGTCCTCCGGTATTTCCCTCCACATTTAGAAACATGCGTTTAGAGTAATTTGGCTGCTGTAAACTAAAACGTCCAAATGATAAGTCGCTTTGTTGAGCTGTCATTTGCGATATCCAGGTCGCTTCTGAAAAAGAGCTCTTTAGCTCAGTGGGCCTTACCTGGTAAAATAAAAAAAAATCTAGATTTGAAGCTTTCGTGACTGCAAGGATTCATACCCTTGGGTTTTTTTCGGTAAAGTTACGTAGGTAAAAATAAAAAAAAATAGAAATAATAATAGAAGTTATTTCTATTACTATTTCTATTATTTCTATTATTATTTCTATTATTATTATTTATTTTTATTTTTACCTACGTGACTTTACCGAAAATAACCTAAGAGTATAAACAAATAGTGAAGTTTTAGTGTAATGCTTTAACATGCCTGCACAGGCTACAAGTTAACATTGTAATGTCAACACCTTCCCACAAGGTGTGAACCTGCCTCAGTCTCAGCACCGCACTCCCACAGATTTGCACATTTGCACATCTTTTGATTTCAAATTAAAATTTTGACTTTTTTTCAAGCGTTTAATGCGGCAAAAAATTGTTTTGATAAATATGGAAACCTTCAACATGCTGGGACATAAGGCACAGGGATTAGTTGCGAATATTATTTTTTTATTGTTGCCATATTGCGAAGTTAAATGACGGCGGTGTTGTGCTTCGCTTTGAATGTTGGTCATTAGGCTCTCTGCATGAAGGCTCCAAAGTTATCTCCACGCACGCTCTGCTTCTCCCCCTCGTGGGACACACTCTGACAAACCCCCTCCGTAAACTATGAATATTAAAACAAGTCATGATTTGTTTAACACGCAGTAGACTGTCGCGACCAATATTATCCACAATAGAGGTTTTTTTTGTGTTAGATCGCGTAAATAGAAATGTGTCGTTAAACCCGCCACCACCCGACACAGCCAATACTTACTATAATCACCTAGGAATGTCCTTAACGCTCGTGACGTCACTCCACATCGACCAGCCCCCCTCATTAATAATCATTATAAGGTGACGTCCTCCAAATAGACCCCCCCCCCCCGCCATTCATAATAATTAGCGGGTGACGTCACTCCACATGGGGGGCGAGGCGCCGCCTCCCCCCTCCTCGACGTCAACTTACACCCCTCACTACAAAGGCAGAACCCTCACGTCACGCGATCTCAGTCACGCTGTTGAGACATAGAAGTAAAAAGGGCGTCATGATAAACAAGGGATTATAACCTTAAAATTAAATAGGTCTGTGCCACCGCGCCCTTACAAACTGCACACGAATTGATGCAATGCATATCACGTCGCGGTCTGCTTTTCGCTTGTAAGTTTCAGATTTACTGCAATACACCCGTCCTTGGATGGGCAAAAGGCGAGTTAGTAAGGTTTGTCCCGTAAACCAAACATGCCAATTAGTCACTCGTACAGCACACCGGTTGTGTGTTGGAGAGTAAACCCACAACATTTATAATTCCAGTACCGTGACGTTTCGCCGGGTTACTCTCTGGTTGACTCTCCAACACACAACCGGTGTGTTGCTGTACGAATAACAAATTGACACGTTTTGTTTACGTGACAAACCTTACTACTAATTGTCTATGTCAGGTGGTGGTGGGTTTAACGACGAATTTTTTATATTTACTCGATATAACCCAGAAAAACCTGGTATGGAAGTCATGGTTTACATAAGGTAGCCTAATCACTCCACAACTCCGATTAGCACATACATACATACTCTGTTGGAATTGAAAATAATTTAAAGACTTTATATATATATATAAAACAATCTCCGCATGAACGTCCTCGTCAGGTTAGGGTGTATTTACTAGCTTTCACGGACATATATAATATCTTATTTCATGTCCATCCACTATGAGTGCTGTAGTCTCCGTGTGTCTATGCGCAAAATCACCAACAGTTCAGTTCCCTGAGGAGAAAAATGAACGGCCATGAGTCTCAGGTACTGGAAGAGCACTGTCCGAGAGGCAGAAGCAGTCGAGATTGAATGTTTTGGGAATACGTAGAAACACTCATTAATTGGCAGAAAACATCTTAGTTTATGTAGGACTGTAGAGCTTAGACAATTGTTTCCACTGGCTCATGGCCTGGTTGCCTTCCAGCTTGGTCTGTGGTTCTTCAGCAATTGTGAGATGCACTCCGCATGGTGGCGAGATGTTAACTCGCTCGCCGAGTATGCATAAGGTCGTGGGTTCCATCCTGACCCTGACGCCTATATATTTGGAATTTGCATGTTCTCCTCGTGGTCATGTGGATTTTTCTCCGGTCTTCCGGTTTTTCCCTCCACATTTATAAACATGCGTGAAGAGAATTTGCAGCTATAATTTTCCACGTGATACGCCACTTCGTTGAGCTACTATTTGTGCCGAGGTCGCTTCTTGAAAAGAGCTACGTAGCTCAGTGGGGCTTATTGGTAAAAGACAAATAGTCTAGTTTAGTTTAAAAAGTAAAAGTTATGTTGGGAATATGAAAATGCACAGCACGCCTGGCCTATTCCTTTTAACATAACGTCACCAAGTCTCTTGCGTCCACTCTGAAGCAGTGCGGAGTGTTTACTGTAAATGGCGGCAGGGTGGCGCGGTGGCATCGCACGTGGCTCACAGCAGGAGGAGCTTGGGTTCAATTCCCAACCGGGGGCGCATGTCCATGTGGAGTTTGTGTGTTCTCCCCTGTTCAGCATCCCTCTGAGTTCTGCAGTTTTCTCCCATAGCTAAAACAACAAAAATATTATAAAAATGTAAATTGTGATTGACCTAAATTATTCCAATGCTAAAAAAATTCATGAAAACCCATTCAATCGGGATTACACACAGCAGCAGCAGTAGCAAAAATCGCCCCCTTGTGAAAAAAAAACTGAGCAGGACCCTCCTGTAAAAGAGTCTTGGGATTCGGTGTGAAGCTCTCCTGGATAAACAAGTGCAATGATAAGAATAATAATGAAGCACAAGCTCATCGCTCCCTGGACATCTGTGACCTACTGGACAGCTTCACAGCTCATGGGATTCGTCCAGCCCAAGTCAAGATTCTCTGCCCTCCCCGCAGCTTCGGTGGCGTCCGAGTGCCGGGACCCGGGCGTGCCGACCAACGGGTCACGCAGCGGCGACGGACGCCGGCCGGGTGACAGCGTGCTGTTCCAGTGTGACCCAGGCTACGCCCTGCAGGGACCGCCCCGCATGACCTGCGTGCAGGCCGAGAGCCGCTTCTTCTGGCAGCCCTCGCTGCCCATCTGTGTCGGTGAGGGCGCATCGCCGCAACGCCGGGATTATAGCCTAGCCGCCGCAGAAGCTGAAACGATCTGGGCAAGTTTCTTAAATCCTCCACCGCCATCCTCTCCCCCCCTGCCGCCCATAGATGCGCCCCCCGCGTTTGCCCACCCAGCGTTTTAAATGAGTACCCCGCAAGTAGGTAGATGGGTGGGTTGCGGGTTAAACTTGTGGGGACTCCCGCATCTTCCAGGACATATCTGGCCAGCATAAAAGAATAGTCGGGAAAACGCCCTCTTAGAGAGTGAGGAGCCCCTTCCGCCAGCAGTAGCACGAGAAAACAATTACAAGTCTGTGCCTTTACCCATTAAACTCCCCCCTGTTCAACCAAAGTTCTTCTTTTTGTCAAATCTAAATGCCAACGATGTCATCTGGTTCGTTTACAATGTGCAAGGAACAGATGCTCACTCTGTAAAGTTTTCCTGTGACCTTACGGACGGACGAGGGCACAGAGGGAAATGGGAGACATTGTTTCAGTCGAAGGTGTTGACAAACATACTCAAGTGTCGTCATTGTGTGCCTGTTCCCTCAGCGCCGTGCGGTGGTAACTTGACTGGCCCTGCAGGATTCATTCTGTCACCAAATTACCCCCAGCCGTATCCTCCCAGCCACGAATGCCACTGGACAATCACGGTCAACGAGGACTTCGTTGTGGCCCTCTCGTTTTTAAGGTAAGCGAGCGGCCTGCTGTTGTCTTGTTGTCCCCCGTCCCACAGGTGCCCAGCGATTGTTTGAAAGCAAAGTTACGGCTGTCCTTATCCAATTCGAGTTGTGTGTATACGTGAGTCCTCAACGATCAATAAACGAGGTTCACGGGAACAGTAACCGTGGTAACAAGCGATAAAAGAGTGACAAGGAGCCGACTGACTACCGGTGAGAGAAGGGATTTGTGAGTGCTGGTTCATCGACCAGTTTAACACGTATTAGTCATAGGAGGAGGTTTTCTCGACCAATATTATCCATAATAGAGGTTGTTTTGGGTTAGATCGCATGAAACCCTCACTACAAAGGCAGAACCCTCACGTCACGCGATCTCCGTAACGCTACTGAGACATAGAAGTAAAAATGACGTCACAATGAACAAGGGATTATAACCTTTAAATAAAATAAGTCTGTGTCACCGCGGCCTTACAAATTACACACGAATTGATGCAATGAATATCACGTCGCGGTCTGCTTTTCGCTTGCAAGTTTCAGATTTACTGCAATACACCCGTCCTTGGATGGGCAAAAGGCGAGTTATTAAGGTTTGTAGGTTTACTCTCCAACTCACCGGTGTGCTGAACTAGTAACGAATTGGCACATTTTGTTTACGTGGCAAACCTTGACTAATTGCCTGTGTCGGGTGGTGGCGGGTTCATCAACACATTTATATTTAGACAATCTAACCCAAAAAAACCATATTACGGTTCATCACCCGTATGATGTTTAAACTCGGCATGTTTGAAAGTGGTGTGTGGCCTAAATGTCCCTTTCTAAAGCCAGCTCCTGAAGGCAGCGGTGGCAGCAGGACTCCCTGTCTTGTGGGAAGGTTCAACCCAACACTCCAAGAAGGAAAACAAGAAATCAAATCAGATTAAATTGCAATGGAGTGTGATTGACCTAATGAGACCGGCTATTAGAAAATTACGCGCATTGAAATGTTTATACAACTAAAAGGGCAAGTACTTACTGGTCAAATAGTTTTAGTGTTTAATGAGAGTAATTTTCTGATGATTTGACGGCAGATTTTATGCTGCAGAGAGATGTTAAATGCAACTACAGTCCGTCAATTTCCATCTCCAAATTAACACGATCATTATGTTCATAACGGCTTTGAGTAATCATTAATAATAGCAGTGTTCCTCCAATTTACTGAGACGTTAAAACACAGGCTTACTGTTCTGTAAGCAGCTTCGGAGATAGTCCGTAAATAATGCGATAGGTGTATATATAGAGTAGGTGTGTATAGAGTAGGTGTGTGTATAGAGTAGTGTATGTAGAGTAGTGTGTGTATAGATTAGTGTGTGTAGAGTAGTGTGTGTATATAGAGTAGTGTGTATAGAGTAGGTGTATATAGAGTAGTGTATGTAGAGTAGTGTGTGTATAGAGTAGTGTGTGTATATAGAGTAGTGTGTATAGAGTAGGTGTGTATATAGAGTAGTGTATGTACAGTAGTGTGTGTATAGAGTAGTGTGTGTATAGAGTAGTGTGTGTATAGAGTGGTAGGTGTGTATAGAGTGGTAGGTGTGTATAGAGTGGTGATACATAGAGTATGTGTACATATAGAGTATGTGTATATAGCGTGGGAGGCATGTGACTCAATGGATATTGGTGTAGTGTGATCTAAGCTGTCACAGACCCAGGCCGGAATACATTATTTACAAACAATAAAAAACAATTTCAAGAGTGAATTGGCTGCACTGCGATTGCACGAAGAAAGTAACGCGCAGCACAGACAAGAAGACCGGCTTCGGCCAAGTTATTCACGGCAACTCTGCAATATGTTTATCAAAAAATGTTTACTGGAGAAACAAAGGCATAAACATTCGCGTGAAAATACGAACCATCTGAGACTTTGCCGATGACATGGCCATTACAATGACCGATGAGAATCAACTGCAGTAAAGGACAGAAATTAATCAAGGAGGCTGCGACGTGAGGCTCAAGAGAAATTAGCAAATGAAGGTTGGGTACAACACGTGTCGCTAAAATAATCAAGATATCTGTTCACGGGGACACAACTGCAGAAGCACGTACATTAATTAGTTGTATTCATGCAGGACACCCACACAGAGTCGAAAGTCTGTCTTTCAGGAGCGCCCTGCTCTGTTGGGTTTTTTTATTTTAAGATGTTCTCAGCCAATGAACCCTTCCCTGTTCTGAGCCGTCTGCAAGTTGCAGGGTGGGTGTCCCTCGTGCACCGACGAATCTCGGCACGTGCGAGGTGTAGCGCCGATGTTTTTAAAGACATCGCTACTCACCGCAGAGAACCGTAGCGACACGACCGCACTCGATGATAGCTGGCGCCAAGCTGTACCACACACCCCTCCCGTATGACCTTTTACTTCGGATTCCGTTCCAATGACGTAAACATACGTTTGAGTTGTTTATTATTCACTTGGGAGGAAACCGGAGCACCCGGAGAAAACCCACACGCACGAGGGGGCAAAAACACTAACCCCGTACAGATGGAAACAGATGGGAATTAGTGGACTTGCTGTACTGCCTTCTCCCAGGGTATGGCATCGCCTCGACGCACGCGGGAAGGGAGTTACACAACAATTTTTTGTTTAAACAATTAAATATTATTTTATTTTACCAGGTAAGGCCCACTGAGCTATATCGCTCTTTTTGAAAAGCAACCTGGCCCCACATGATCGCTCAACAAAGTGGCTTATCACGTGGAAATGTATTGCAGCAAAATACTTTAAACACATTTTCTGTATGAGGTGGGGAAAACAAGAGGACCCGGAAGAAAAATCCACGTGACTACGGGGAGGGAGAAAGACACGCAAACTCCAAATATACAGGTGTCAGGGTCGGGATTGAACCCGCGAGCTCTTATATACCAGGAGAGGTGGTTAACATCTCGCAACCGTGGCGCCCAATCGTGCAGTAATCCACCATCCCTCGCCTCCACAGTGTTGGATTACAGGCCACGCCGCGTAGCCTCATCAACGCCCATCACCACTTGACAGCATCTCTTGCCAAACGCAGACGTCAATGGTTGGGGCGCACGCATTACAAATGGGCCTCAGAACCTCTTCCAAAGCTGTGCGTGCGTTGGGAGATCGGCCAGCAAATAATTAGTTGGCAATGATCAGTCGCGAAAGTCTTCGAGAGGAGAGGCGTGACGTGGGAGGAGGCGGAGAGACTGGAAACCGACCGGCATGCACGGGGCGTCCCTTCTACACGGAGCAATCGGCCAGTGACTGAAGGCGATAAAGTGGAGAGAAGCCATTTGATCTTGCGTAGGTGTTGTTCGCGATGCCTCAGAAGCATCACCATCTCCTTCTCTGTAAATATCTCGTAAAAATCTCTCTTTCTTGGATACCTAGATAAGGATGTATTTACTCTTTGGTTTTCTTGGTAAAGTCACTTAGGTAAAAAAGAGAAAATAAATTAAATTAATAAATAAAATTTATTTTTTTTCTCTTTTTTACCTAATTAAATTAATACATTCAATTAACTTCTCGGCGAAAGCCAGAAGCCGACTGATGTGGTGTACCCATTGTCCAACATTTCACAACACGTGCTAGGAGCTTTCAGGCCTTAAGATGCTGCCAGCACACGGAGTGAAAAACGTCAGATATCATACCGAGCGACACGCGTTACAACATGATGACATGTCGGAGAGTCGGGTTTTTGTTGCTTCATGCAAGCTCAGGGTCGGGAATCCATTTTTGTGATGTTTTTCCATTGTCAATATTGTTTTTGCTTGTTTAGGTCTCGGTTTGTGATGGTTTTCTCTGCCATCGGCCAAATGCACACCTCTTGGAAAGGACTAATAAATGTCAAACACCATTATGGCCGGGCCCTTTGTAGACTTATGAAAAGGTGGTCGACTCGGTGGAAATTGAAGCAGTCATTGAATGTATACTTTTAATTTTGGTGAAAATGTGTATTTACGTTGACATACGATGCCATCTGGTGTACGGTCCCCCCCCCCCCCCCCCCGGCAAGCATCGTACTTGTTGGTCCTGCTATCTCCCTCCATGTGCATGAGGCCGACAGCGCAAACATTTCACGGCTGTCACATGACGAGCTGTCACATGATGAGCGTGCTGCCCAGCAGCTGCTGCCCCAACTCCTGCTTCCCCCACGACACCGGCCCACACCCCCCCCCCACTCCGTCCCCGATATTTTGTGTGGCAATTAGTGACAATAAATAACGCTGCACGTATCCTCCCTATTTTCTGGTGGGCTAAAATATAATTGCTGCAAACCGTTGATGAATTAGGTTGTGAATGTAAAATGTTGCCCTTAATTTTGCCGTTTGAGAAAAGCCACGTGTTAAAAATACTTTGGTAGCATTTGAAACTGACTTCCAATGGCGGTTTGTGTGGAGCTGGAATTGGAATGGGGAGGGGTAATACAATGCGATATAGACAGTCGCTTTTGAGCAGGTGGAAAGCATCGCTAATCTATGTATTTTTGTTGAACTGCGTTCGCATCGTACATAGCCAGCCGTGCTTATGGGAAGTGCAGTGGAAAGACAAAAAAACTTAACACAAAAAGCAGTTCTAAAGAAATGTATTTTCAATCCGGGTGATTTAAAAGTGCATAGCTCCGGTGGCTGCCTAATATCAGAAGGAAAAGCGTTCCAGACGGCCGCAGAAGCACATCTGAAAGCGCGCGACGCGGTGACCGTCATTTGTTCGATGGCCAGCCAAAAGCCGCCGCTGCGACGATGACCCCAGTTCGTGTGCCGATGCTTGATGCTCCTTGACGAGATCAGCGACGTATCGCGGTTCACTTGTGGTGAGCGCTCTGTGTTGCGAGCGCGATCTTACAATGCGCGACATCGCGGCGATTGTCACGCTCCGGGGATTCTAAAGCGCCCTTTGTGCCCCCGGCAATGCGGACAGCCTGAACCTGGAGGCCAACTACGACTTCCTGCACGCGTACGACGGGGGCGACGTGCTGGCGCCGCTGCTGGGGAGCTTCCACGGCTTGCAGCTCCCGGGCCGCGTGGAGAGCGCCGGCAACGTCCTGCACCTCGCGTTCCACAGCGACAAGACCATCAACGCGGGTGGCTTCCACATCGAATACCGCGGTGCGTGCCACTCCCGCCGCAGCGACGTTTGCTCGCATGCCGTATTGGCGCTGCCGCCCTTTGCCCCGCACCACCGTGACCACGAGGGGCCTTTAATGGTAATTTTGATTGCCGCTTATTGTTCGTGAAGCATCGTTCGTACGCCAATTCGAAGCTGTTCTAGTGCCAGCCACCTTCAGAGTCTTTGCCACCATCGTGTGTGGTGCTGTGTCAAAACAATCCGTATTGACCTCGGGGAGGCCCAGGAGCGGTTGAGATATAACATCACCGATGTTAGCCCCGAGCAGGAGTCAAACTCTCGCCATCGGGTTCGTAGCGCAGTGCGCCAGTCGCCATGCCACCGCAATCCCGCGGACGTGCGTACACACACAAGTGTGCCGTGTCAGCCGAAGGCAGATTGTCATTATAGCTGACTGATTGACGAATACCACGTTTGAGTTCCCGTGAGATGAGGTTGCAGCTGAGAAATGTCCGTGTCTCTGGTGATCAGATGAGGCTTGGGCCGGCACTCATCTCATCTCTCCCCCCACGGAGCAGGGGGCTGCTCGCTGGACACACACAACAGCGGGCACCGCTTGGCAGAACATTTTTGCTGTGGACTTTGTGTTATATTGTGACTTATGGCATTTTCACTAATTGGGCCTTTAGCAGTGTCTGTGTGGTCTTTGAAATGCCAAACTGAAATTTGTGGAACTGAACTACGCCAAATTGCCCGACTACCCGAACACCTCACCATTCCACAGTTTAGTGAGAAACAATTGTACTTGTCAACTTTATAAATCTAATCGGAAATTAAACATATTTTGCCGTCTACCAAATAATCCTCAAGATGCTTCCAAGATGTGTTAGAAAGTGGGTAGTATGTGCTTGTTCCTGAGCGATTGTGCAATACTATTTTTAAAAAATTTATTTTAGCAGCTAAGGCCCGCTGAGCAATATCGCTCTTTTTCATAAACGACCTGGCTATCACGTGGAAAATCTAAAGCAGCCAAATACTCTAAACACGTGTTGATTTTAAATGTGGACGGAAAAACTGGAGGACCTGGAGAAAAATCTAAGCGACCACGGGGGGAGAGATTCGCAAACTCCAAATATACAGCAGTAGGCGTCAGCGTCGGGATCGAACCCACGACCTCCTGCATACCAGGCGAAGGAGATAACATCTCCTAGCCGCCGTGGCGCCCCTAAACACAAGCGATGCTATGAACAAGCTTTTTTTCCCAGGGCCGGTCTTACTCCGGAGGGTCACTCGTTCATTTTTTTTCCATCCGCATTCGCAGAGAAACCGCGGGAGTCGTGCTTCGACCCCGGGAGCATCGCGAACGGTTCGCGCCTCGGCTCCGACCTGCGCCTGGGCTCGAGCGTGACGTTCGCCTGTGGCACGGGCTACTCGCTGCACGGCTACTCCACCCTGCTGTGCATCATGGGGGACGACGGGAGGCCAGCGTGGAACCGGCCCCTCCCAGCCTGCCGCGGTGAGAGCCCCGGGCGCGCCCCCCGCTCCCTCTTCCTCTCCTCCTGACGGATCGCGTCGTCCTGGCACCCCCCCGAGACGGACAATAGGATACCAATGACAGATGGCAGCGGAAGCGTGGGAATTATTTGGTATTTTGGATACGTATGTATTTACGCATGTGGAACTTCTTTCGTGGGTATTCTCACCTCTTCAAAGATGTTCGTGTGTACAGTTGATCATCGATTATCCGGCTGCTGCTTCCAACATTATCTGGCGGTCCCGGGCCGATCCGGCAAAACCGATCCAAAGGCTGTAACCAGGTCCGGTGATCGGCACAGTGTGCATGACATGCAAAGCAGTTATGCTTGATTTCAATATTAAATATTTTTAAAAGAACATTATACACTACGTGCAACTTAAACAATGTCAACAATGCACTATACACACCACCCCATGATGCAGAGTCTTCGAGATTCGGGTGGAAAATATGTTACAGCAAATAAAGTAACTTTTTTAAAGTAGGATGTTTGTTTTTGTGTATTTTCATGTTCATTTATGGCAATTTCATATAGTAAACACATTTAAAACACAAAAAAGACATATAACAACACCTCAAAGTAGGATGTTATGCAATAATGTGCAAAAATAAGCTACGTTAAATTACGACGGTGTGGTGATTATCCGGAATTTTTTAAAATCCGGCGCCCCCTCCTTCCTCGTAGCAGCCGGATAATCGGTGATCCACTGTACGTACGTTGAACTCCTTTCACACCGTACGTAGCCAACCGCGCTAATCTGGCCAGCATGGAAGAGTAGGCCGAACACACGCCCCCGTAGAGAGGGGGCGGGGGGTGCCTTTCTCTCGAGCTCGCTTGCGCCGGCAGTGACACGTGCGAGCCAGCGAGCACGTGTTTGGGGGGCCGCGCCATGTTTAGTCACCTTTCTCTCTCCTTTCTCTCTCCGCCCCCAGCCCCGTGCGGAGGCCACAGCACGGGCCAGGAGGGCTCCATCCTCTCCCCCAACTACCCGGGCAACTACAGCGTGACGCAAAGCTGCATCTACTCCGTCACGGTCCCCAACGAGCACGGTGGGCAGCCCCCTCAATCGGAGCGGGTCGTCACATCGCAGCAGACGGCCTGGGGGTGGGGGGGCGCTTTATCTTGAAAAATCGCACACGCGTGCGTTTCACACGGCGATGTTTTATTTTTCATTGGTATCGCGGGAATTTATTTTGATGTGCCGAAAGGCGTCGCGGGTGGCAAGTCGAAGCAGAACTTCAACCGCTCGCACCTCTTACCGCCACAAATCGCGTCCTTCACTCGTTACGAAAATCCCGATCGTGCGTCACGATAAGCCACCCGAACGAATGGAATTTTCTACCCATATGGATGCCTACCTAAAACCTGACTCCCACCACCATCCATCCCAAAATAATTCCGTCATCAAAACTCCACCATAGAGCTCATTGTATTTCCAACCGTCATCACCTAGCGAGTGAACTGGAGCACGTACACCAAGCCCTCAAGATGAATGGTTATTCAGACTAAACAATCCGTAGAGCTATCACCCCAATCGTTGGGAAAAAAACCATCTGAGGACCCACTAAAAACCATCACCTTGCCATACATAGCAGGGGTCACCAAAAAGATTTCCAAAATCATGAGCAAACACAAGATCCAGGTACAGTTCAACACAGTACATAAAATTCGTGATTTTATCCCATCTTTGAAGGATGTGATCCCTGACATGCAATACCCCGGCGTCTACAAACTAAGCTGTGACTGCGGCAGCAGTTACATTAGGGAAACTAGGCGACATGTCTCGGACCGTGTTCATGTAACATAAGGCAGATCTGAAACACGGTAGAACCAATACCTCGGCCGTGGCTGATCATTGTTTTAATGTGGTGGACTCACACGAAATGTATTTCTTTAAGATGAAGTTACTTTGCAAACCCACTGGCTATCAACAAACATTCGTTCATGAGGCCATCCAGATATATAAACACAGACACAAGATGGGTACAAACTGAGCAATCATTGGAAGGACGTTATCAACCAGTTTAAGTCATAAGTGGCTGTGATGTTCCTATCCTACCTACCTATGTTAGCAGTTATTTTCGACTCTCTGAGTTACATTCATGAACACAGCCAACCTTCAGGTGTGTTAGTAAATGGCGGCTTGCCACTACGTCACCCGGGCCCTCGCCAAGCTTACATTTACAAGCAAATCTCTCTCTCCTCCTTGCTCCTCAAATTTTCTCTCTCCTCCTTGCTCCTCAAATCTCTCGCTCCTACTCGCTCCTACATTGGCATTAGCTGCCCCGCCCAATGGCAGAGCCAGGATTTTCAGGTCGGGGGGGCAACCCCTCCAGCAATGAAAAATGATATGAGTTGTTAGTAAGTAAGGACTTGTCCCTTGCTTTTTATTCGACGCGTGTGTGGCGATGGCGCAGCCATCGATCGAGGGTTGAATTCGAACCGCGTGTGATCGGCATCACGCTCGCTGAAGGTGAATTCCTTCAGGGAAGTCGTGTCCTGTATACGCAACTGCGCACAATTCTGTGAGTCACTTATAACCGCTTTGCCGTTACTTATTGCCAATTATGGACTCAGATTATTGTCCTATCATCTCATAGAGTGCCTGGCACGTAATAATATGCTACACAGTGGCAGTGGGGGTCGCAAAATGCCAATTTATTACTAATAAACCCCAATGATCCGATCATAATTAGGGATTTCGATCGGATCATTGGGGGGGCACGTGCCACCCCCCCACTGGCTCCGCCAGTGGCCCCGCCCATCCCTCTCTCTCCTACTCGCTCCTCAAATCTCTCTCTCTCCTACTCGCTACCACATTGGCATTAGCTGCCCCCCCCCCATCTCTGAATCTTTATAAGCAGTCTGCCTCAGTAGATTTCCCCCCTCTTTTGCATCTGAAGACGATTGCTTGTGTTGCCATCGAAACGTCGTGATTTTTATTTTATTATTTTTTTCTATCTACGTGGCTTTACCTAAAGACCCCAAGAATATGTAAAACTAACGAACAAAAAATTGAAACCCCTAAGTGGCCTCACAAAGGGTACTAAGTGACTTTAAGGTAATAATTGTGAAGATGGCCATGGCGTATGTTAATGTGAGAATAAGTGTGTTTTTGCGTGACATTGGTACGTTATGACATTAAATCGTGGCTGTTAAATGTAACTGCTTCACAGGTCAGTGAGAACGGTTACTCTTATTTATCTCGACGACTACGAGTGACTGCAATATATGTTTCAATGCATAAATGTGTTGTGAATGTAAATTATTCTGATTTAAACGTTTGTTTTGAGCAGGCAGATGTAGTAACATCAGCGATGGTGAGAGCCAGGAAATGGAGCGCTGCACTTGTGCCCTTACCCTGTGGCACATTTCACGGCTTGTGTGTGGGTGAACATTTGTCTCGTGTGTGGATGAACATTTGACTTTGTCTTGTGTCTGAGTGAACAGTTGTTTTTGGACAATTCAAGTTTTTCCAGACGGGGCTGAGCGACCTTGTGGAGGTTTACGACGGCGCCTCGCAGAAGGCCGGACTCCTCAGCTCACTCTCTGGAGCTCACTCCGGTCAGTTATCCTCATCATCCTCATCATCATCCTCATCATCCTCATCATCATTATCATCATCATGCTCGTCATCCTCACTGTTAACCGAGGGACTACGTTCCTGCTCCTCTGTGGTGTCCCGCTCCTCTGCTAATCAAACCCTCCAGCGTTTTGAGATGCGATTTGCGGTATATAAATTATTCTGATTACAATAATTTAACTTTCGATAGCTAGTCAGGAGCGTCGAGGTGATATGGAGTGAATGACAGAGATGTTTGCCGGGTCACGAGTAATGGTGCGGAGTGGCTCACCGGATGTTCCATTGTGTGACGTTGCTCACCACACTGCGGAGTGAGTGACCGAGACTCTGTCCCCCCGTGTGCATCACGTAATTTAGCTCTTGCTTCATGCGACGGCCGTGGGGTTGCTCCGTGAGGTTGCTGTAAGCCACTGTATTTACCAAGCATCGGCCAGTCCCCGCACCTCCGATTAGCGCGTTTGTCTACGTACGGTGCGAAAGAAGTTCAACATACATACAGCCCATAGACTCAACACTGCCCATAGACTAACACTACCCATAGACTCAACACTACCCATAGACTCAACACTACCCATAGACTAACATTACCCATAGACTCAACACTACCCATAGACTCAACACTACCTATAGACTCAACACTACCTATAGACTCAACACTACCCATAGACTAACATTACCCATAGACTCAACACTACCCATAGACTTAACACTACCTATAGACTCAACACTACCCATAGACTCAACACTACCCATAGACTAACACTACCCATAGACTAACACCGCCACATAGACTAACACTACTAACACTACCCAAAGACTCGCCACTGCATCTCCGATTAGCGCGGTTGCCTACGCACGGTGCGAAAGAAGTTCAGCGTACGTACAAGTCGTGCACCGAGGTGGACTCGTGAGATGCCTCTCAATCGCCACGACGTGAAGGTAGTGGCTCTGCGACACTTCCTTCAGCCTGGAGCCCCACGCTTAAAACACGGCGTGATCCACGTGTAGATACCCCACTCATGTAGTCATTACATCTGGTTTCAGAGCCTCTACGCGTGCCCCCCCCCCCCCCCTTGTCGCGTTGTTTTTGGCTCTCTGTAAGATATCGAGCCGTAGCTTTCGCCGCGCTCACGGTCGGCTACTGACAGGCAAGAAGTATCGGGTTGTTAATAAGTCGGTGGGGTATCTGTGAATGGATCGCCATGCACAGCATAACGTACAACTTACAGCATTTGCTTCCCCTGTGTCAAATTTAAAATCGTATTTGTCCGCTTATTTCCGTACCATAGGACTATGATGACGACGATCATGATGATGACGTTGACTTCTCAGAACATGGATTGCCCGTGCTACGATTGCTCTCCGTGGGTTGGGTGGAACTGCCACCAAACGAGAATGCGTGCGCTTTCCTCCGCAGGAGAGACGCTCCCGCTCAGCTCCGGCAATCAAATCACGCTGACGTTCACGTCGAGTCACGATGCATCCGGAAAAGGATTCCACTTTGTCTATCAAGGTACGAGCTGCACGGGCGGCGGGGGGCGGGTGAGGAGGGGGACACCACGGGGCTGCTGCTGGGCTTAAGGAGTCATCCTGGCAGGGGAGCGTTCGACGCGCTTCGTAAAACAAAGCAACCGTCTTGAGCGGACTGAGGCTCTCGGTACATCGGGCGTAGAGTCAGTTTCACACCTCACAGGAGGCTTTCGTGACCAGTATTATCCGTGATAGAGGGGAATTTTCGGCAGCTGCCACCACCCAATGCAGCCAATTAGCAAGGTTTGTCATGTAAACAAAACGTACCGATTAGTTACTAGTTCAGCACACCGCTTGTGTGTTGGAGAGTAATCGTAAATGTAGTGGGTTTACTCTCCCAACACAACCGGTGTGCTGAAGTAGTCACGAATTGGCATGTTTTCTTTACTTTGACAAGCCTTACTAATCGAATCAGTTGTTTTTTTAAACACAGCTGCTGAACAAAGGCCCCAAAGCATCAAACGACCAGCACTGCCACGGTGGTGACAGACGAGAGCGTAAGACGTTTGTTGAATTGAGCAAGGTTATCATCGCAAGAGCTTTGGGGGGAAAGGGACGACGACGGTGACGACGATGGAAGGAAGCAGGGAATTCTAAAGTGGAGCGGTACGAGGGAAAGCAGCGGAAAGAGAAGTCAGGTGACCCGCAGTGTAGTGGTTAAACGCGGCGTGGATGAGGCTGATCACGTAAATGTTTTACGTAATTTTGTAGAGGGGTCACATTCTGCAGATAATTGTATCGTGGGCGTATCTGACAAGGTGAGTTTGTCCTCGCTAATTTGTATCACTCGTCGGTGACGCTAACATATATGAATTAGCGCAATGTTTTGGGACCATTTTGCATTTTCCATCTAAAGTAAAATATTTATGAGATAGAAAATTATGCAAAGTCAAAATTATATAAACGCTATGATTGCAAAAATAGCGCGGAACTGCGACACCCAATGTTCCATTATTGTTGGACATAACACGAAATGCAAAAAAATTGCTCCTTAATTATGCATTCCATTCACTTTGCTGCGCACATCACGTTAATCTCGAACTAATCCTTAGGGTATTTGGGAGAAATTAATGTGAATTTCCTCGAGCGTAAAGGGGCCTCCGCAGGTAGTAGTGCTGCATGCGTGCTGAGGGCTTGGTACAGAGATCCCGGTTACTACAACTGACGTGCTCATTGCACTATGTATGTGTGTCTGTTGAACTTGTTTCGCACCGTACGTAGCCAACCGCGCTGATCGGAGGTGCGGTGGAAGGACAACAAACTAATCACAAAAAGCAGTTTTAAAGAAATTACTTTGTCAATCTAGATGATTTAAAAGTGCATAGTTTCCGGTGGCTTCCTAATATCGGAAGGAAGAGCGTTCCAGACGGCCGCGGAAACGCATCTGAAAAGGAGCGTGCTATGTGGTGACCGCCTTTGTTGTATGGCCAGCCAAAAGCCGCTGCTGCAAGGATGACCGGAGTTCGCATGATGATGGTTTATTCTCCCCAACAAGAGATGCACGGAGGCCCAAGCACGGTGTACCGGTGGTGGTAATGGCGGCAGTGTTGCACCAAGACCCTCGTCCCGTTTATTGGACGCGAATAACATCAGCGGCTCAGCAGTAGAGCGAGCGGCTCGCAACCTGAAGGTTGAGAGTTCAACTCCTTGTTTTGGGGCGACTGCTTTATTATCTCTGAAGGAGATTGGGTGCATTCCAGGTGATCTGTTTTTTTTTGCTGTATGTAAAATAGCACACCTGAGCTCGTCCTGGGCCTCCCCTAGGGTCAACGTGGCCTTCATTGGCATAGTTCTGAACATTTGCAGTATCTATGGCGATGAAGGCAGCTGAACATGCCACTTGCCCTACAATATCCCCACAGGCTGTTCCAGCTTTAACGGGAGCTCTGTACCAGCACTCGTTCCATACTGAAGGGAGTTTTTTTGGTTTCCATTTGATCTTATGATCTTGAGGGTTTTCTGCCTCAAGACTTGAACGTTTAATTGAAAATAACTTTTGTTGGCATAATTCCCTCCCCAGCTGTGCCAAGAACAAGTTCCGATCAGTGCAGCTCCGTGCCCGAACCAAAGTTTGGCCAGAGGCTGGGGAACAGCTTCAGTGTGGATTCTGTGCTGCGATTTGAGTGCAACTCTGGATACATTCTGCAAGGAGCCAGGGCGATCCAATGCCAAAAGGTGCCCAACTCCCTGGCACAGTGGAACGAATCCTATCCCACCTGTGTCGGTAAGGCAACGCAACACGGATAGCTGTTTTTTTTGCGATCGTTAAACAGTCCCTTCGCGTGGTTGATGAAAAGTGTGTGGTACGTAAGGTAAATCCAACGGGTTATGTAAGATCCCGAGTGATGTAAGGTCCTAAAGGAAGGCCCACAGCAGGCTCGTTGCACCGTGGCAGGCCGCTGTGGGGTGTCGTGAGCATAAAATACCTCTGCACTTTACACTAAAACAGCCATGTCCGATTGATGATATTGTTATGCGCTGGTAGTTTGCATATTTTTGTTTTGACAGATTTTCAAAATATTTGGCAATACATTGTCAACAATGTTTTTGTGATATTTAAAAATGACACCACAAAAACCACCAACCCCCCCCCCCCCCCCGTTCTTCACGCATTCACAAAGTTTACGGGCAAACATTTCCCAAAGCCGCGTTAGGAATTTACGCGTTCAGTGGCGCAGCAGGGGAAACGACAGCCAGGCGCAAAGGGGCCGTCGTCATCATCACCAACAGCAGTGGTTCTTAACCTGGGGTGCATCTCATGAGACGCCCTGTTCTGGGGGTGCGAGACATGGCCAGATTTCTTTCGAAGGTAAATCATCGAAAACACAAATTAAGCACGGGCACAAAAGTAAAACTTCTTTGTTTCATCAAACCCTGTGTGTTTATTATCATGTTACAGTGTTTTTTAACGATTGAGAACCAAATAGGGTGCAAGGCTGCAGTCAAGGTTAAGAACCACTGATCAACAACATCGTCACAAGCGAGCAAAGCAACGGGGACAGTAAGGTGGTAGTGGGGGGGGGCCACAGGGCAGAGCGACTGAGTGACGTGAGGCACCGAGGTGCGGACGGCTCCTGGAGAAGGCCGCTGGGGGTGCGAGGGTTGCAAGTGGCATTGCCGCCTCTCCCTGGGCTCCCTGGGTCTCCTAGGATCGCCTCCCCTCCCCTTTTTTGAGGCAGCTCTCCCCGAAATCTGTCAGTCTTCCCAGAACGATCAAAGTTACCAGTTGTTTTTTGGCCGGTAGCGTAATAATGCAGCATTTATTTTTTAATGCATTTACACGAAGTTTCTGCCCTCCTCCATAGATTGTGAGATATTCGTCTTTCCATATGTCCCGGTGTATTTTACCTCTGAGGTGGCAACGCACTCTCGAAGGCCCAGGGTGGAATTAGACTTTGGGGGATCAGGGTTCAGCACCAGTTCCATTCCAGCACCGTCGCGACCAACGAGTTCCAGATCAAGGCAGGGCGCACAATGTAGCTCCACAGGGGAGCACAGGGCTGTGGAGCCTTTTGGACAAACAGGCCCTTGGTGACCTCACAGAGGCACGGGAGGTAATCAGACTCCTTCACCAATGGGTCCCAAAGGAACAGACGAGGCAGGGACTGATGATGGGGAGGTGATGGAACTGAAGAGCACACGCGGGGAAATGGTGGGGGAAGTATGCCGCTAACACTGGCTCGCCCCATAGCATTGTTTGAATTCCCATCAACGCTTCAGGTGGCCAATGCCATCGAGGATTGTTCTATGAAATGTGTGGCAATACGATTTCTTGGGGGTGGTTTGCAATTACTGGAGTGCATGACTGAGGAAGCCTGTTCAATGGGAATAGTTTACAACCAATCCGTTTACCACTTCGGCAGGCTTCTCGTTGCAATTGAATGATTATTTCTCAGACTGTGCAAATTTTAATTAGGCGTTAAAGCTTTTACTGCATTTACCGGACGTGAACACCCTTCTCATGTAGAGCCTCGTATTGTGTGTGACTATTGTGATTGCTTTAATGACGAACAGCGATGTCTCCGGTTGACATCCACACAATCATTTGCATCTTTGTGGAGAATACAAGTGAACAATTCGCTTCCTTCACATATCGATCCCTCTACGTAAAAAAATTGTAACAAGTATTTTTTACACATCCCGTAAGCCGCACGGCCCCCTGGGAGTGCATCATTTCAGCAGCATTGGCTGAACGCAAGACAACTTCGGGACCGGCTTCGGCGTTTGTTATCTCGTCAGCAGAGTCAGCCTTGCTTGAAACCAGTGCTGATGAACTCTCAGTTGCTGATAAGCGTTGTCCCGAGTTCAATGCAAAACTACGTAATACACAACACAAAATAATCATTCGCGTGTTGTGGAGAATATAAATTGCACATATATATCTGTGATGTGTCTCATTGATCCTGTTTGTTTCTTGTTTTTTCGTCCACACCAGCTGCGTGGCAGGCATGTCTAATGGATCAACTGTGTGTTGCAGTGCCCTGTGGGGGAAACCTGACAGAGCTAAAAGGGGCCATTCTCACTCCGGGTTTCCCCGAGCCGTATGATAACAATTTGAATTGTGTTTGGAAAATTACGGTGCCCGAGGGCGCTGGGGTGAAGGTAAGGATTTCCGGGGGGCTGGGTGCGTGCACGCGAACTGGTGTCAGTGGCGCTCCACACTCTGCCCAGGGGACAGAGCAACTCGCTCGGGCCCTGGGACCGGCCGAGTCGTGTCGGCGTAGCAGCAGCAGCGCGGCAGCAGCAGTAGCGGAGCTGCAGCAGTAGCAGCAGTAGTAGCTGCCTTGCACAGTAGCGGAGCTGCAGCAGCAGCAGCAGTAGTAGCTGCCTTGCACAGTAGCGGAGCTGCAGCAGCAGCAGCAGTAGTAGCTGCCTTGCACAGTAGCGGAGCTGCAGCAGCAGCAGCAGTAGTAGCTGCCTTGCACAGTAGCGGAGCTGCAGCAGCAACAGCATCACAGCAGCAGCATCACAGCAGCAGTAGCTGCCTTGCACAGCAGCAGCAGCAGCATCACAGCAGCAGCATCACAGCAGCAGCATCACAGCAGCAGCATCACAGTAGCAGTAGCAGCACAACATCACAGCAGCAGCATCACAGCAGCAGCACAGCAGCAGCAGCAGCAGCATCACAGCAGCAGCATCACAGCAGCACAACATCACAGCAGCAGCATCACAGCAGCAGCATCACAGTAGCAGTAGCAGCACAACATCACAGCAGCAGCAGCAGCAGCATCACAGCAGCAGCATCACAGCAGCAGCACAGCAGCAGTAGCAGCACAACATCACAGCAGCAGTAGCAGCAGCATCACAGCAGCAGCAGCAGCAGCAGCATCACAGCAGCAGCATCACAGCAGCAGCAGCAGCAGCATCACAGCAGCAGCATCACAGCAGCATCACAACAGCATCACAACAGCATCACAACAGCATCACAACAGCATCACAACAGCATCACAGCAGCATCACAACAGCATCACAACAGCATCACAACAGCATCACAGCAGCATCACAACAGCATCACAGCATCACAGCAGCATCACAGCAGCATCACAGCAGCATCACAGCATCACAGCAGCAGTAGCAGCACAACAGCACAGCATCACAACAGCATCACAGCAGCATCACAGCAGCAGCATCACAGCAGCAGTGCGCCTGCAGACCGACTTTGTCCAAATTGACTGCCTGCACTTTTACAAATTTGAAAACCAAGACGAGATGACGTTGTTAAATGTATGCAAGATTGTTTATGCTGCTGCATGTGGTATAATGTCGCATTTTGTATTAATAGACCCGAATGAATGCCTCCCTGTCTGTTTTCGCGTGGAAGTGTGTCTTCTATAAAAGTGTCATTTGTATGTTTGTTGATTATAAACGTTCTTAAACGCAAAACAAGACTGTGAGGTAATTGGCACTGCACATTAACTTGTTTCACCAACAAACAAAATTGGCCAGTCACAACATTTGAGCCATTGGAGTAAACTGTTCCTCGAAAAAATGTAATCTCTCAAAGAGCCGTTCCCGACGGCAGGTGTTGCCACCGCTCCTCGCGGCCTGGAAAATCACACCGTGCGTGCTTTGCTCGGTTCAGTTTAAGTTTATTTTGAAGTATATCCTGTGAGCTTAGAAGCTCGTTCATCAATAAAAAAAACACCGTTTCCGTGACTGACGTTGCACGTCAAAGATAAATAATAATACAAATGAATAAATAAATTAAAAGGTAAGAAATCGTAATTTCAAATATAAAACTCTTCTTTTTAAAAGTTAACGATTAGGCACAAAAAGTGCACGATTAGTCATAACAAGTGCCCGTGGTAGAACACACGTCGGCTTTCACGACCAATATCACCCAAAAAATAACTTATGGATCATCCATAATAAAGGTTTTTTTTTTAGGTTAGATCGTGTAAATATAAATGTGTCGTTAAACCAGCCACAACCAAACGTCGTACTCAGATTGTAAATGTTGTGGATTTGCATTCCAACACACCGGCGTGCTGCTGTCCTCGTAACGTTTTGGCACGTTATGTTTACGTGACAAATCTTACTACTAATTGGCTGTGTCGGGTGGTGGCAGGTTTAACGACACATTCATATTCACGCGATCTAACCCAAATAAAAACTGTACCATGTAAAACACACCGTTTCCCCAAGGAACACTGAATTCAAATCTCCAATTTAAAAAAATATAAATATAAAATACAGATGCGCCATCAATCAACAATGACATTGCACTGAGAAAAACGCAGCATTGTTAGAAAATAGTGCAGACACGGCACAAGACAAAAGAGACCACTCGCAGGCAAACGATGTCCACACATCGTCTCGTTATTTATACAGTGGCAGCCAACGTCTCCCGGAGAATCGAACATTGCGCCAAATCGCGGCGCTTCCCATCAGTGACCACACTTCCCGAGGCCCTGGCGTCACCATCCCTTCACCGGACCCTACCCAGAATTCACCTGTTTGGATTTCTGGGGCACAGAAATCCTGAGGGGGTGCATCCCGTGCCAGCGGCAAGGGGAACTCTAAATGCCCCCATCGCCCCAGTGCTTCCAGGGTAGCACCGGGACAAGGGGTCGGCAACCCGCGGCTCCGGAGCCGCATGCGGCTCTTCAGGGACCCCTTCGTGGCAGTTATTTATTAAGGACCACACCGTCTCGTATTCACATGGCATTGCGGCTCTTAAAAAATATTGACTTTGTTAGCGAATTCGAAAAAAAATGGCTCTTCTTACTACTTTGGTTACCGGCCCTTGACTGGAAGAAAGCTTCACACTTTACATGAACGTGTCCAAACACCAAGCCGAGAGTGAGGCTGACAGATAAACGCTCGCACGGCGGCGCTGGCCTCGGATGCCCTGCGGAGTTCCGCCCTCTCTCCCGCGTTGCCCACGCCGTCCGGATCTCCCTCCTCCCAGTGGGGCGGCAGTTCCAATTGCACCCCCAATGTTGTCTTGCCCAGGCTCGAGACTGCACCGTTCCTCCTCTGCTAGTGGTCAAAGTCCTCCCACCTTGCAGTGTCTCCTGTGCAAACTAATTTGGCGGTACTGCAATGGCAGTGACCCGCAAAGTACAAATCGCACAAACAAAAAACCTCTGCACATTCATCAATGCCACTGCCCCGAAAAGGAAAACAAATCTAACAAGGACAATTTCCCAACACGTCGCCTCGTGTTGTTTATTTATTTTTCTGTTCATGGCAGTGTTGTTAATGAATGTGCAGAGTATTTGTTGTCTCCTGGACAGGCTGTGTTGGACCCGAGCCTCTCCTCTCTCTGACATGTTCCCTTATTTACTGAATTGTGATGCATGCAGCCACCGACTCTCGTTCGGTGTCTTGAGATGTGGTCACGTTTAGACGCCTTCTCAATCCTTACTTTCTAGCGCATAATTGTCCTCGGGACACAATTCATATCACGCTTGTGAATTACAAGTAAGCCGTCAGTCATCTTTTATTCATACATATGCATCACATATGCCGTATTTAATGCATATGTGCAGTGCTTTTCTATTTTACAATTTTTCCCGCCACTGGCAAAAAGCTTTCCATCTGATAAGCAATACCAAATGTTGAACACGAGTGAAATTGATTCCTTACTCAGTAAAAAATGTAATTGATTAGGCTTGGTTTCTGTTTTGCTTGTGCAATCATTCACGGATTCCTGCTAAATCTTAACTTGTAATTGAATGAGATTGTGCTTGATACACGCAGTGCGGTAACATCTCCAAACATTAACAAGACGAATATCATAACTTACAGTCCATTGTCTATCCACTGCTGGATGAAGGCCTCGCCGAGCTGTGTAAGTCGTGGGGCTTGTTTAACCATATTTCACCATGCTGGACGTTCTTAAATGAAGTATACGGATATATGTCCTTCTATATTTACTTACGTGACATAAAAGTGGTTGTCCTCTTGATATTTGCCCCCCCCCCACCCATAAGAATGTGGAATTTCCACCACTGGCTTAGGGCTGTAAATGGGAGATGAGCAGCGCCCCAATGCTCATTTTAGTAGCGACACGTTGTTTGACTTTGCTAAAACGGCCCATTGTACAGCGATCTCTGGTGTATGTGTACTGCTTGAGTTCAGCGTAAATCCGTTCATTTCTTGCAGATGCATGTCTTCAGCTTTGCTACCGAGCAGAACTGGGATGCTCTGGAGATATACGATGGAGGGGATGCCAATTCTCCCAGGTTGGGAAGCTTCTCCGGTGAGTTACGTTTTCCTGCCTCGCTGCCAAAATCAATGTTTCTCAATTAGCGGCAAATGTGCAGCGGTAATATCTCACTTGCTAGGTTCTGGTAACGAGGCAAAACGCGACAACGCGAGGCTTACGCAGTGTGATGTACACACCCTCCACGCCCAACTGAGACATCTGCCATTCGGTCTCGGGAACTGCAGTCTGTAGGACGAACACGTGTTCCAGCTGAGGGTAAACGCGCATGAACAGTGATTTCATGACGGCAAAAGGCACGATTTCGACCGTCGGATCAGTCCACCCGTGTTGCCATGCGGGTCACGTCACGTCGCCATGCCGGTTGCATGACACACACAGCCTCGTTCTAGACTACCCACTCAAAAGAGTGGAAATCGCGGGCACGTTATTTCACACAGCCGGTGGACGATGAGACAACTGCATACAGATGCATTCGGATGCGCTTCTGCGCCGTCTGGAACGCTTTTCCTTCCGATATTAGGAAGCCACTGGAGCGATGCACTTTTAAATCATCATCTAGATTGACAAACTCATTTCTTCAGAACTGCTTTGTGTGTTTAGTTTGTTGTCCTTCCCCCACACCTCCGATCAGCACAGTTAGCTACTACGGTGCGAAAGAAGTTCAAAATGGGAACATTGCGGCCTAGCCCGCCACGCTTACTGCTGCACCCTCGTGCCCCAGCGGCTTTGCGCGGACAATCTCTCCACGATCCCTGTGGGGACAGTTGCCCTACGGATATACCGGAGCCCACCATAGGAGTGTGGAATTACCGCTACTGGCTCAGGGCTGCATACGGGAGAAGAGCACCGCCTCGATGCTCATTTGAGCACGAAGTCGTGTTGACCGACGATGAGGAACTTAGTGCTAGATTTGGTTTGCAGTTTCAGCTGCTCGCAGTCTCGCGGTGCTGAATGCAGTCGTGCGGTTATTTTTAGTCGCACAATGCTGGCGTTAATCACATTAAACCTAACTATAACTACAAGGGATTTGCCTTGTGTGTTCGTTGAGTGCCCGTAATCCAAATGCAGCATATTCACTCTTATAAGAAGAAGAATGATAATAAAGTTTTTTTTTTTAGATCGCATTATATAATGAAAATTGCACCTGAACAATGGCTTAGGAAGCAGACAAGCTGGAAGGCAACCAGACGATGAGCCTGCACCAGCAATTGTCCAAGCCCTACAGTCCTATAAATATATACATTAAAATGTTTTCAGCCAATGAATTGGTGTTCGTACATGTGGGAGGAAACTGGAACACTCGCACGTGCGAGGGGGCAACGCTCAATCCCATACAGAAGGGACATTGTATTAGTCTCCCCTTTGCTGCACCGCCTTTCCCTGGCAAGTCAGGGTACGCACGGGTACCCGGATGACCACGTGAAGGGGATTCTTGCAACATTTGTACGGTGATCCACCAACGCTCATGGTGATTATTGCACTGCACATTAGTTTGACTCTCTCCGTCCGAGGAATGTTTCCTGAACCTCGGATGGTTGTAATAACTCACTGAGACGCGCAACCTGATAACGCTGCCATAAATTATAACCTAGTAATTGCCATATAATTGAAATTCTTTGCGGGGTTGCTAATTGATCATAAAAAATATAAATGTCGTCTCAGCGTTGATAATTGCTTTGATGGCAATGCCTCTGCCAAGGGCACCAACTCTGTTGAGTGACCTTTGCAAATTTGCTACGAGAAGCCTCATTTGTGTTTACAAAGGCATTTGTTCTAGATACAAGAATGAGCACTTTTGAATGTGATTAAAAGTTTGCTATAAAACATCATTAGTCCACAATTGGACTATTTTGTTTTACTTTTTCTTTAAAATAATCACTTAGAAACTTGTAATGCTGCCTTGCGAACAAGTTTGATGCCGTTCAGACATACACATAATTAAAATTTGACCTCTACAGCGACAGTGAGTGCCATTAATGTTAATAGCTCTTGTGTAGATAGTAGCTTCGGCGTTCGTATAATTGTGCTTTTTCTGCGAGCCCTTTCAGGCTGTTAGCGATACACTGCCGGCGCACAGAGTGAAACCACAATGGCCTTGCCACGCCGCCGGTGCCGATAGGCTACGATTGATTTTCTTCGCAGGGCAATTTGGTGTTCCATCTCAAAACGTGAAAGCTTGAGATGAGACGTCCTTAAAATAAATATCGAATTAAGCACTAAACCAAAACAAGCAGAGAACCAAGAATATAAACCAAAACAATTGAGAGAAACGAACTGCCATCAAACGCATTATATGCTACGGGGTCATGTAATCGATAAAAGTGGTACACTTTAAAGTAAAATGGCAGATTTAACGACTCGTAAATTATCGCCCTTCTAAAGCTGCACCAAATGAACGAGCCTTGGGCCGTTTTGCACGCGGCGAGGTATTCCAGAGACAAACAAAGAAATAATAATCTCCCACTTCATAAAATATACACGCACACGCGCGCACGCCGTCCCTTGGCAGCTGTTAATGTGCGCTTTTGTGGTGGCACGATATAAATTACGTGGTGGAATTTGTCACCGAAGCCTTACCTATTGGTGATCAATACATGTCCGAGGTGAATATGGGGTGGAATTGAGAGCCAGTAGATTTTAAATAGCTGAAGTAATGAATTGTACGGAGAACGCGGTGACATATTTGCTGCAAAGTTCATGAGGAATAGAAGTCCAGACGGAACGAAGTTAGGTTCAGACCATTAACAAAAATTTACAGTAATCAATATGAGACAATGGCGGAGCCAGGATTTTCAGGTAGGGGGGGCATCCCCTCCCTCCAGCATTGAAAAATTATAGTTGTAAGTAAGGACTTGTCCCTTGCTTTTTATTCGACGCGTGTGCAGCGATGGCGCAGCCATCGATCGAGGGTCGAATTCGAACCGCGTTGTGTGATCGGCATCGCGCTCGCTGAAGATGTTTGCCTTCAGGGAAGTCGTGCGCTGTATACGCAACTGCGCACAATTCTGTGAGTCACTTGTAACTGCTTTGCCGTTACTTATTGCCAATTATGGACTCGGACTGTTGTCCTATCATCTCATAGAGTCCCTGGCACGTAATAATATGCTACACAGTGGCAGTGGGGGTCGCAAAATGCCGATTTATTACGAATAAACCGATCGAAATTAGGGATTTCGATGGGATCATTAGGGGGGGCACGTGCCACCCCCCACTGGCTCCGCCAGTGATATGTGACCTAATGAGCCTGAACGTCAAATATTATGTGTAGCATTTTCTTAAATATACGTGGATCCAGACCTCGTGCTTATAACTACGCCTTTCTCGCACGTTGGTTACATTTCAATTTCGCTTCAGATAAAACGAAGATTCATTTGTCCCGATATATCAAATTAACACTCGAAGGTTGATTTTAAAAATGTTTGTAGATTAAGTTGATGCTTAGAGACCATCACACGCTGTACTTAAATCACGGGTGGCTAATGAGTTACATTGTTCATTACAGAGCTTCTGCGATCAGGCATGCTGATATACATCGTTTACAAAACAAGTTGAGGATTTCCCTGAAATTATATTGTTGGATTAGCGCGCTAAAATTATTTCCATAATATATCTGCAGTAATTAAGTGTTTTATATCACTCTCAGCAATACTTACTCAATACCATCCAAAGCATAGCCCCTGGTGGAATGAAATTCCATAATCCTCGATTCACGTTAATCTGCAGGGGCAAGACATCTCGTGATTAATTTGCAGACAAGATCAGCGGATCTTGATTTAGAGTGGTTATATTCAGTGCCTCGAGTCTCCGTGTGAACCCTGTTCAATCTGCAGCCCCCTGTCGGACGCTTTAGCCCTCACAAACACGAGTCCAGCTTCCAGGTAACATTGTGAATAGTTCCTGTGTGTGTGTGCGGTGGGGAGTGGTAAGTGTAGCGGTTAGCGCGCTGCGCTCTGACCCGGGTTCAATTCCTGCTGTTGGCCAACACCAGTGAACTGGTCCTGGACCTCCCCTAGGTCGACTCATCCTCAAATGAGTACCTGGTGCGGTGTTTAAACATCGCCACTGGGAAGACAAAGGCAGCGGCCGGGCGTGGTGCTGGCCACCCACCCCTCTCGTGTGCCGTGCCGGCCTTCATAGGTGCTCGCTAACAGCACTTGCCCCAACAGTCTATTAAGGCTATACGGGAGATCTTTGTGTTTTGCTTATATTCACGTACCGTAGTAAGTGAAGCGGTGACATCAAGGTGTGATATTGAGTATGAATGTATTTCAGGTACGTCCATCCCAGTGTGATATTGATTATGCATGTGTTTCAGGCACGTCGATCCCAGCTGTACTGAACAGTACATCAAATAGCCTCTATCTTCACTTCCACTCGGACATAAGTGTGTCCGCAGCTGGATTTCACATCGAATACACAGGTTTGCATTTTACGTGTTCAAGCGTATACGATGACAAACGTCATTCATTTCATGCGTGCGACGCTGCCGTGGCGGGAACGGGTCAGCACCCTTGGCTTGACAATCCGGAGGTCGCCCGTTCCACCTTCCCGGCCGGCGTGGCGGTTTTAAACGAATGGGGCGAGTTTTGGTTTAGTTTTTTAAACCACTCCATGCCGCCTCTGTCCACCCATCAGTTTGAAATGCGTTCACCACCGTGAGTCGATGGGGCAGCTCGCCTGTGGGTGGGGGGGGAGGGCAAAGCCTTGGGCACTTGCACCTCTTCCAAGACGTCTGGCCGGCGTGGAAGAGTGGAGTCGGGCGCCACGGTGGCTAGGAGATGTTAACTCCCTCACCTGGTATGCAGGAGGTTGTTGGTTCCGATCTCGGACCCTGACGATGCCTGTATTTGGCAAGATGTTAACTCCCTCGGCTAGTATACAAGAGGCTGTGGGTTCGATCCCGACCCTGACGCTATAAATCTCCACACGATGCTAAGTCGCCACTTCGTCGAGCTATCATTTGCGACAGCCAGGTCGCTTCTGAAAAATAGCTACGTAGCTAGCGGGGGCCTTACTTGGTAAAATATAAAAAGTTTGGTCAAATCTTTAAACCCCTTCCACTAGAGGGGCCATCTGCAGCTGTCTCCAATGCTGGAGGCGGCCCTTGCGCCAGCGGTGCCGTGAGCGAGCAATTGCAGGGCTGCGCCTTTACCCGTCACACCACGGGCACGCTGTTTAAGGACAGCGTGCCATTTATATTCACCGTAATGACACGTTGTTTACCTGCAGTACACTTATTATAGAACTGTTATTTACGGCTTTGTAAATTCATACACCGACTGGACAAATTGTCCGTTGATTTAATTTAATTGCTTGTCATGCTTTATGCTGGCAAAAAAATAATAATTGTGCAGAGTTTACCTGAGCAGTTCCAGGATTTATAATGACACCCTAATTGCAGTAAGTAGCCTTGAATTTAAATGTGTGTTTGTAGTCAGAGATCATTCGTATTGTTTGTTTATGAGGCATGATTACGGATTCCATTCCTGCTCTCCTTGTGCATGTACGGTCATATAAAAAACAAGATTTAGTTTCTCATCGCATGAAGATATAGATGTCTCTTGACACAAACACTCACGTTGGGCGGTGGGAACATTCAACGGGACACTGTCGTTAAAGATCCGCACAGGCTCGCTGCTTTCATTTAACTCTCCCGTGCTCTGTGTCCACTCCGGTGGATGCGCGCGATGATTCACGCGGCTGCGGTGATGTTATACGAATCATTCGAAGCACATTGGGGGGAATTCCTTTGACTCCTAAAATCACTTTAAACAAACGAGGACACGTTTCAGTTGTGTTTGAAATAACTCAGGCGTGAGTTAAGTGAGTCAGCCAATGCTAGTGGAGTACACTGCCAGATTATGAATTATAGTTGTAAAAAGGGGTGCTGCTTTGGGCGAGTGCAGTATTTTCTGGCACCTGACATCGTTGTTGAATGCAATGCACACGGGGCTTTCGTGTTTTCTCGTCAGCCGTAGGCCTTGCATCGTGTCCTGAGCCAGAGCTCCCAACAAACGGGCTCAAAGTTGGCGACCGTTACCTGGTGAACGACGTCGTGATGTTCCAGTGTGAGCAGGGCTACACGCTGCAGGTCTGTGCCACTCTGAACATTGTTTCAGCACAAATGTAAAACCACAAACTTTCACCACCACCACATTTTCCCCTTTACTTTTGCTCCTCTTCCCTCCCCTATATAAAACCCCTACGCTCGCGCAGTCCCTTACGTGAGTGGGGCAGCGAGCCCAATCTCGTCCCCTTCCCTGAACCCAGGAGCACCAAGTTCCACGGAATTTCTGAACCCTCCCCCCCCTCCACCGCCCTTATGACAGTTCATGCTTGATACCGGCCTCTTGTAAAAAAAAAATCATTAATACACAAACAAGACTCAAGTCACAAGCCGTGGAAGGGGAATATTGCAAGGACATGAAGGACGACAGCGAAACAACACAAAGACTCCACGCAATTAGAAAGCTCACTCCCCCCGGCGAGTGTTTCCACTCGTGATAGACACCGCTGACACCGCAATAGCGCTCACCCACACACACAGCCCGCTCGCTCTGCTTATTTCACGAAGAAGGACGCCCACACACCATCCAGCAACACACGGCCGGGGGGAAAGCTCGCATGTGAACCGTGTGTGCAGCTCAGTGGTGTAGCGATCAACTTTGTGAGATGTTAACTCCCTCGCCTGGTATACAGGAGGTCGTGTGTTTGATCCTGACTCCTGATGCCTGCTGCTGTATATTTGGAGTTTGCGTGTCTCTCTCCCTGTGGTTGCATGGATTTTTCTCCAGGTCCTCCGGTTTTTCCCTCCACATTTACAATCAACATGCGTTTAGAGTATTTGGCTGTTATAAATTTCCACAGGATAAGCCACTTCATTGAGCTATCGTTTGTGAGAGCCAGGTCCCTTCTGAAAAAGAGCTACATTGCTCAGTGGGCCTTACCTGGTTAAATAAAAAAGAGCTTAACTAGTTTAGTTTTAGAGTGGGTGGTCGGTGTGCAGACCAGAGGTACCCAGGCAAGGGGCGAGCACGACGAGAAGGGTGGACACAGAATCTGAATATTTACTAAATATTGGAGAAATCCGATGAGCTACAAAGCAATTTTTCAGAGATGTCCAGTAGGATAACTGGGCATGGGGCCCTGCAGTGCGAGGAATGCCATGGGCGGGGCCCCATGCCAACTACGCTCGGCCACTGATCCAACTCCGCCACAGCAACCGCGACACTAATAGCTCTCTCTGTGTCCGATGCTTGCCACACCGTTCCCATTTCCGATGAAGTACGTGTACGACACCGTACGTGTGCATCATTTGAACGGAACCGGAAGAAAAACTGAAATAAAATTAACTTCATCGGTACCAAAACTCCCCCCCGCAAGGCTATGCGTGAGGTCATGTGGCGCAGTTTGGTGCCAGCTATCGTAGAACTATCAGGTCATGTCGCTACAGTTCTCTGCGGTGAGTACAATGTCTTTTAAAAACAGCGGCGTCATTACCTCTCGAAATAAAATTAACGCTCATGGCTCGCGCGTTCCAAGATTCAGTGGTGAGCGGGACACCACCTGACCTGCAACTTGCAGACATCTCGGAACGGGAAAGGGTTAATGGAGCATCCTAGGTTTGCACACGTGCCGATTCTGTGCGACCAACACATACTCGCATGCAGGCACCCGGTTCGCAGGCTCGGCAGTATTTTTTGCACTAAAACGTGAGACCCTCGATCTGACGATTGTCGACTGCCACGCTGCCCTGGGCGTGCTGTTTGTAAGGTGCCCCCGGCGCTGTTCACTCGCGCTGCGCTCTAAATATCGCTCGCAAACTCACGTGAGCCACGACCCAGGGAGTCGAGGTCAGGTGACGAGTTGCAGAATGCAGCCCCCGTACCTCCGATTAGCACAGTTGGCTACATATTGTGCGAAAGAAGTTCAACGTACATACATCCGATGATAATGCTATACTCTGCTAATTTACGTATTTTTGTTTTCACACATTTGCCAATATATCGTTCACGATGTTTGTGATATTTTTTTTATTACGCTACAAATACCCCATTATAAATGTGTGCGCAAAGCTATGGGCAAAAGTAGCTTTGCGAACGTACATACATACGTGCCAACCGCTGCACCACTGCTCTACCCCTGTGTCAATAAGTATTATAACTTCTCAGCATAGTGTATTGTCTATGTTTGCTGCCGGCGTAGTGCACTGCTGTGTCTAATCCCCGTCCCTCTCCTCCCAGGGACCCACGCATGCCACGTGTATGCCCGGTCCTGTGCGACGCTGGAATTTTCCACCTCCTCTCTGCATCGGTGAGTTTCGAAGTATTAAAATACCATTCATTACCAATCCGTATCATCTCCGTTATTATCATTTGCATACATATACATTTATTAATTTAAAACATAAAACATATTGCGGCGTGGTTCTGCTGTTCAAGTGTAAATTAAATTCTGTCATATGCGTTTAGTGTATCCTATTTATTGTTTATTTAAACATTTAATATTGTAATTCGCACTATTTTGTGGAATATTGAATTCTGTGGTACACTGCTGAGGCCTGGCATCATGTTTAACCTCGCACCGAGCTGTACCAATGACGGTGACGTCGTGGATTTTGTGCCACTCCTATTCCCGCTCACGGAAAACACCAGTGACGATTATCTGAACCAGTCCTGGGCCTTCTCCCCCAGGTCGACTCAGCCTCAAATGAGTACCTGGTGCGGTGTGTAAACATCGCGACTGGGGAGACAAAGGCGGCCGGGCGTGTTTGTTGGCCACCCACCCCCTCGTCTGCTGTGCCGGCCTTCATAGGTGCTTGCGAACAGCACTTGCCTCAACAGTCTGTTAAAGGCTATAATGGGGATCTTTGTCTTTGCTACTCACTTCGATTCCCGCTCACAGCAAACACCAGTAACGATTATCTGAACCGGTCCTGGGCCTCCCCTAGGTCGACCCTCAATTGAGTACCTGGTGCGGTGCGTTAAATCATCGCCAATGGGGAGACAAAGTCGGCCGGGCGTGGTGCTGGCCACCCACCGTCGCGTGTGCCGTGCCGGCCTTCATAGATGCTGCTTGCTCAATTGGCCCCAAAAGTTTGTTAAGGCTACACGGGGGATCTTTGTCTTTGTGTCACTCACTGGCAAGTGGGGTTCCCTTTAGTAGAGCCAACCAACGGTGTGTTTCGCTGGCCACTTCGAACACGGGCTCAACCCAGTTACCACAGACTATTCGCCGGCGCTCGTGCAACGTACCCGCGAACGGAACTGAGCGTTGCGTGAAGCGCACGACGGACTGCGGACGCCAACGGAGCGCGCGGAGGCCGTTGCAGGAAGCCAGGGAGAACTCCCTTAGTGCAGCTCCACTTGTTTCCAGATCCCGCAGGGAGCCTGCGTCCCATCAGCTGGGAGCCCATCTACTCCTCATTGCTTTAACCAACAAGCAACTGCAATTGCTGTACATGCACACAAAACAAAGACAATGATCCCCCGTGTATAGCCTTTAACAGGCTATTGGGAGCAAATGCTGTTAGCGAGCACCTATGAAGGCCAGCATGACACACGAGGGGGTTGGTGGCAAACACCACACCGGGCCGCCTTTGTCTCCCTAGCGCCGCTCAAGGTACTTATTTGAGGCTGAGTCAGCCTAGGGGAGGCCCAAGACCAGTTCAGATAATCGTCACTGCTATTGGCCGTGACCGGGAATCGACTTCGGATCACCGGATTCGTAGCGCAGCGCGCTAACCGCTACACCAGCGCTCCCCTATAGGCACACAGACACGCACACATACGCACTTGATCCAACAGAATGAATGCACACTTACACCATAATCAGTCAAACGTGATTAGATATTTAAAAAAGCAATGCACACCCTTTTATGAATCCGCTGATGGCAATCACAAAATGAGAGGGTTTAGCTGATGAGACCTGTAATTTACCTACCCCTTGCATTGTGTGTCAGCGGAAATTGTCCACGTTACATGAGCAATGAAAAAAAAATTGCATTAACAGCATCAACATCACAGAGGAGGTGGGGGGAGCGACAAATGAAACGTAACATTGCGTGATAAATGTGTGCGATGAAGGGCCTGTTGACTGTAATACAGCGAGCTGGTGGAGAGCTCCATTTTTCTCCGGCCAGATCATTTGAGGACAACCTTTATGCAATTCCACCTCCTGTGCTGTGACTGATGACATTTCTGGACACCGTGTGCGTGTGCCCGGGAGAGGATTTCTTGGAACCTGTGATTAGGCCACAAAAGAAATGGCAATGAGTTATGATGGCGCTTATTCCATTCCTTCCCGGACATTGTGGAAATGTAGCTTATTCCCAGACGGGTCGCGCAGGATCTGAGCGGAAAGCCAAAAATACATCACACTGGGCACTGCGTGGTGTTTGGTGAAGAGAGAACGGGAGCATTTTTGAAGAGGAATGTTACATTATATGAATGGCGTGTTCCAAAGCTATTACCTAAAATGAATGACAACCCACTAAATGCCGTAATCCTTAGGACGAGATAACAGAACGACTAGTCGGGAGGAGAGCGAGTAGAAGGAAATGTCTGCTGCTGTTGGGAGTTTCAAGGCTTTTCTGGTGGTGCGTCGCAGGAATAAGCGATTCACATTGTGTGCGCCGGTGAGTTTGTCTGCAAGCGGTCGAGTGGACGACTAATGCGGTGGCGTGTGTGCGGCGTGTGTGTGGTGTGTGTGCGGTGTGTATGTGTGGTGTGTGTCGGGCGTATTTATGTGGTGTGTGTGCGGCGTGTGTGTGGCGTGCGTCTTGCATGTGTGCGGCGTGTATGTGGCTGGCGTGTGTGTGGCATGTGGCTGGCGTGTCTGTGGCGTGTGTGCGGCGTGTGTCTGGCGTGTATTGCCTGGCATGACTCGCGCAGCTCAGTGTGGCGGAGTGCTCACCGAGCTGACCGGGGTTATTCTAAGTCCGGGATTTCCGGGAAACTACCCCAGCAACCTGGACTGCACCTGGAAGGTTCTCCTGCCCATGGGATATGGTGAGATCGCGATTGGTACATTCACGTTGTTTATTACGCTCTCGTCAAGGAGCATAAACCATTGCGCAAAAATCCGGTCATCCTCGCAGCAGCGGCTTTTGGCTGCTAGCCATCGAACAAAGACGGTCACCGCATCGCGCGCTTTCGGATGTGCTTCTGCGGCCGTCTGGAACGCTCTTCCGATATCAAGAAGCCACTGGAGATCTGCACTTTTAAATCATCTCGATTAACAAACTGATTTACTTTAGAACTGCTTTTTGTGTTTGGTTTGTTGTACTTCCCCCGCACCTCCAATTAGCGTGGTCGGCCACGTATGGTGCGAAAGAAGTTCCAACGTACGTAGTACGTCATTATTGACATTAGAAGGTCAAGATGCAGCCCCGCAATTTCTCACCCCAACATTGACGGAAGGGCCTCCGGGAACCCCCATAGAGGGTTTGGTGGCCAATTCTTGAACATTGGTCAGACGTCTATGGAAGAGATGGCAGTAACCCACACTCTACCCCACCGCACATGACCCGTAACTGTGGTTGTGCTCAAATAAACCGCTGGTTTGGGGCAGACGCGCCCATTGTTCAAACTGCCGTGCTGAGAGATCGAAGCAGCGACCTCCGCATTGCAAGCGCAGTGCGCTGACCCTTACACCGCAGCAGCATCCACATTCAAAAATTACTCCTGGATTATTACGTAGGTGATGCAATGTCTCTCGTTTTGATTCATGCAAACGCATGGTTGTTTTATTATTCCAAAAGATAATTAAAAAGCGCGTACGTGGGTACTAGGGTAGAAACCCTTTTGTGAATCAAGGTTGCTCACTTGATTGGTCCAACCTCTGAATCATTCATTGTTTAAGTTCCCTCTGATGGCGGTGAGCGGCGTGACACGTGCCATGCGGGTGCCTTGGAGGATCTGTAAACCCGCCTTGTCCGCGTAGCACAGTCTCCACTGTGCAGGATCATGGCCACGCATATAAATTAAACGTTCAAAAAGGCCTTCTCAAACATAAACACGGCCAGAACCTCGATTATCCGGGGTAATTGGAGTGTGTGAGACGGGAGGGGCGCTGCTTCCTGCCATAAGAATTGGCACAAATAAGAAATCACAAAACACCGAGCGTAAACAACCCGCGCGTGCACACATCGATTAGTGTGCCTCGCATTTCGCAGGCGCTTACTTCGCGTTTGTGAACTTCTCGACGGAGCCGCTGCACGACTTCGTGGAGATCCTGAGCGGGCCCCCAGAGGCGCGGGAGGCCATCGGGCGCTTCAGCGGCGCGCGGCCCCCGGCGCCGGCGCTGAGCACAACGCACGACACGACGGTGCACTTCCAGAGCGACTACTCGCAGAACAAGCAAGGCTTCCGACTCTCCTTCCAGGGTAAGGGCGTATGTCTGTGGAACCCCTCTTGACGACGGTAATTGGTTCCACGAAAGCGGTCGTTAAGTGATTTGGTCGTTAAGCGTGGAAAGGTTTCCGCTTCAAAGCGCGGCAGACACCGAATGTAAACAATGCCCCCCCCCGATGCTCACGAATGGACGTAGCTGATTGGATGAGGCCTGGTTTCCAGTCCACGCGGCGGACAGCCGTTTAAATACGGGCAAAACAATTTTTGTTTATTTGTTTGTTTCTCCCTTGTCATGGGACTTTTTAGGATGAACGATGATAATAATATGACCAAACCAATAAGGTCAGAATTGGTCTGTAATAAGGTTGGCACTAATGAAGATTTTTTTTGGTTAGATCGCGTAAATATATAAATGTCTCGATTAACCCGCCCCCACCCAACACAGCCAATTAGTAAGGTTTGTCACGTAAACAGAACATGCCAATTTGTCACTAGTACAGCACACCGGTGTGTTGGAGAGCAAAGCCACAACATTTACAATCCGAGTACGATGTTTTGCCAGTAATTACAACTAGCTTCATCAGGTGACAGCCAGAATTTGTGGAGAAATCCACCTGTTTCGTTCCTTAAATAGAGGGGTAGATGTGGGAAGGGGGGGATTAATGAATGCATATGAATGACTATGAGTATTCATTGCCCTTTGGGTTAATTATATGGTACTCAACGTACATTATGCATGCGCATTATGCAAGCCCATTGTTCTAGTACCACCTGTCGATTATGTATACTAAAATAGCCATACCAACAGTAATCCCTATTGAAGTATGGTGACCTGTATAGGCATGAATTTAAACATTGTATTATTTGATGACTCGGTTAAATATTTTTTGTTTCTCTCAATTTAGATAGATGATCTCATTAGTCTTGGCCAGGAGTAACTAGTTTTGCACAGAACTTCAACATTATCGAAATAAATTGAGTGTCCTTATTGGCACGTGTGTTCTGCCACTGCCGACAGTTGCATTTGGGAGTATTTAATATTTATTTGGTGTTATTTTAGTCTCGTGATGACCATTCATCCTGTTTGCCCAACATAACAGTTACCACACGTGCAGTTAATGCTGTACACACCTTCTGTTGATAGCTTCGGTAATACATCTGTTGTACCAGATATTACATTCTGTATTTTATGTACCATGCCAAATCTGATTCGGATGTTTTGTTTTTCGGAACATCTGGCTAGTTTATCAGTTACTCCCGCAATGTGTACGGTATTTTAATCGTTTTAATTACTTGGTCATTTTCAACGCTCGTGTTATTTGATCTGGTTTTGGCATTCAATGCCGTGTTGATTTGTGCATAATTGTAACCGTTCAATTGCAGCGCTTTAAGATGTTTAATTTCACTTCTCAGACTATCATCATCTGACACTTTCTTAGCCTGATGTATGAGTATCTTCATGAGAGCGGATTTCTGTGCAAGGTGAAGGTGTGACTGCAAAAATAACGCATTCATTAATCCCCCCAACTTCACGCAAGAAGAGCACAGAAGTGATGTCATCACATCTACCCCTCCATTTACAGATGGGATTAGGTCACGGATTTTGTGTACTGTGTTGAATAGAACCTGGATCTTGTGTTTGTTCAAGATTTTTGAAATATTTTGGTAACCCTTGCTATGTATGGCAAGGTGATAGTTTTGATTGGGTCCTCAGATGGTTCTCTACCCATGGTTGGGGATACAAATTTGCGAATTGTGCAGTCCGAATATCCATTCATCTTGAGGGCTTGGCGTACGTGCTCCAGTTCACTGGATAGGTGGTGCTGGTCGGAGATGCAATGGGCCCTATGGTGTAGGGTTTTGATGAGGGAATTCTTCTGGGCTGGATGGTGGTGGGAATCAGGCTTTAGATAGGAGTCTGTGTGGGTGGCTTTCCTGTAGACAGAGTGTCCCAACGAGTCATCAGGTCTCTTCTCAATCAAAACATCCAGGAATGGTAGCTTGCCATCATTTTCCACTTCCATGGTGAATTTGATAGATGGGTGTATGGAATTGATGTGGTTGAAAAATTGGTTCAGTGCTGACAGGCCATGTGGCCAGATGACGAACGTGTCATCTACGTATCTCTTCCACAAGGAAGGATGTAGAGTGAATGTCTGGATGGCATATCTAAAATTTATCCATGAAAACATTCGCTATCACTGGCGATAAAAGAGAACCCATTGGGGTACCCTCATTTTGCCTGTAGAATGTACCATTACAGGTGAAGTAAGTGTTGGTAAGGCAGTGCCTCACCAAAGTTGGTACATCAGGATTAAGTCCCTGTTGGACCAAGTCTTCAATGATTGCAATGGTGTCAGGTACAGGTACCTTGGTGAACAGGGAGACTACATCGAAACTGACAAGCAAATCATCTGGAGACATTGAGATGTCCTTGATTAGAGAAACCAAGTGAGCTGAGTTAAATACAGCTGAGGTGGTCTTGCCCGTGAAAAGAAATCGGGCCACTTTGTAGGTGGGTGAGTTAATGGTGGAGACGATAGGACGGAGCGGGGTACCTTCTTTATGGATTTTTGGAAGGCCATACAATATGGGTGGTCTAGTAGCCGAAGGTTTTAGAGAGAGCTGCTTGGTCGGTTCGATTAGAGAAGTCGAATTAGTGATGATATTGTTGGTTTTCGTGGTCAGGCGGTTGGTAGGATCTCTATTGATTTTGGTATAGCTGCCATAATTAAGAAGGTCCTGAATTTTGTTGTTGTAAGTGGTTTATCCATAATGACAGTGGCATTGCCCTTGTCGGCTGAGAGGATGACAATGTCATCTCTCTTTTTCAATTAAGCGAGTTCAAAACGCTCGTCCTTGCTGATGTTGCTAACGGGTTTCTTAGCGATTTTGAGAATAGCAGCGATGAAAGATCTTGCAACGTCTGCCGGAATGTGTCCCAAACCTTTGAGGGCTATGGCTACCTGGGCAATGATATCATCCACTGGGATGTGTTTAGGGGTGACTGTGAAATTCAACCCTTTAGCTAGTACCGATTTTAGGCAGTCAGAAATTGGGCTGTCTCAGCTCTACATATAAGGACTTGTTTCAGCAGCCTGTTTCTCTCTCCCACCTGAAGACGGTTGCTTGTGTGGCAATCGAAACGTCGTGATCTATTATTATTTTTCTACCTATGTGACTTTACCGAAAAAACCGAAGAGTATGGATTCCTGCAGTCACGAAAGCTTCAAATCAAGATTCAGATTGTAAATGTTGTGGCTTTGCTCTTCAACACACCAGTGTGTTGTACTAGTAACGAATTGGCATCGAGGGCTACGTTCTTGAAAATGCTCGCGGATTCAGAAACCTTGTTTACAATGGGGTTACGTTCCTGGTAGTGAACAAACATATGGGGAGAAATAGTAAATGTTTAATAATAACTCCAATAAACCAATGTGTTTTTTTATTACCTTTGATCAGTGGTCCTTAACCTGGGGTGCGAGACATGGGCAATTTTTTTTTGAAGGTAAATCATCTAAACGCAAATTGAGCACGGGGACGTTAGTTACAACTACTTTGTTTCATCAACCCCTTTGTATTTATTAACATTATAAAAACAAATCACGATTGAGAACCAAAGCTGCAGTTATGGTTAAGAACCACACTGCCTTTGATGATGATTTGACGACAATGGAGGTTGGTGGTGGTGGTGGCGATCTCACCCAAAAAACCTGTATTATGGATATTGGTCGTAAAAGCCTAAACACACTGATAAAAAAAATTGACAGATACGATATACACTACTATACACTACACATTGGGCTCTATGGAGGCCTGTCGTTAAGCAATTAGTTGTTAACAGGGGTGTTCGTTAACAGGAGTTCTACTATACACTACACTGTACACGACCTACTATACACTACACTATACACTACACATTGGCTTAATGGAGGCCTGTTGTTAAGCAATCAGTCATTAACAGGGGTGGTCGTTAACAGGGGTTCAAATATACACTACTATAATCTACACTACTATACACTACACTATACACTACAGATTAGGCTCTATGGAGGCCCGTCGCTAAGCGATCAGTCGTTAACAGGGGTTCTACTGTATGCAAGTACAGTCAGTTCTCCTACAGCGTCGTTTTCGTAGCGCGAAGTGACCACCGTCTCATGACGGCTCCACCTCACGTCCCGCCCGTCCGTCTCGACTGGGTATCAGGCAACAACATGAAAGGCCAAACGTGGGTGCCACGGTGACCAGATGTTAACTACCTCCCCTGATACGCAGGAGGCCGTGGGTTCCATCGCGACCCTGACGCCTGTATATTTGGAGTTTGTGTGTCTCTCTCCCTGTGGTCACGTGTGCTACTGTGCACAGTACTTCACGACTGTATTCAGTACTGAACTCCTGTATACTGTACTCTCAATGGCCACAAATGCTTCTCGACAATCAACTTAGAATGCTGTATGACCGACTGGTGACTAAAAGAGATTATTATTTATAGCATCGTTAAAATGTATGCTTAGTTTCTTTCTGGAACATAATCTGAACGAGTATAGATATTAAAACAAGGCAGATCTGAAACGCGGTAGGACCAATACCTCTGCCGTTGCTGATCATTGTTTTAACGCTGTGGGCTCACACGAAATTGACTTTTCCAAGACTAATGTACTCTGCAAACCCACCGGCTATCATCAGAGATTTGTTCATGAAGCCATCCAAATGTATAAACACCGACACAACTTCAACCGAGATGATGGGTACAATCTGAGCAATCATTGGAAGGACGTTATTAACCAGGTAAAGTCTTAACTGACTGTGATGTCTCTATCCTACCTGCCTATGTCAGCTGTTATTTCCGACTCTCTCTGTGTCTTTCTTTCTCTCTCTGTGCATCTCTCTCCAATCTCTACTCCAGTGACCCGGGTGCTGCTGCGGGTCCACTTTCTGCCCCGCCTCCTTCTCACCCTTCTCTCTCCCCCCCTACTGCCGAGGCCTACTATACACTACACTATACACTACACTATACACTACACTATACACTACACACTACTATATAACCTCGTGCCACGGCAGATCTCTCGCCTACTTCAGCAGTTTTGTCTTGCTGTGGTTGTCCCACCTAATGACGATTACTTCTGTTGCGATCGAAACGTCATTATCTATTAATTTTCTACCTACGTGACTACCGAAAGAACCAAAGAGTATGAGTATAGATATTGTGTTTAAATGTGGAACACGAGTAATTATTCAGTTACCGCCCGTGTTATTTATGAAAGTCGAAAACAACACCATATTCTTTGGTTTTTTCGGTAAAGTCACGTATAAAAATAAAATAATATAATTAAATAATAGCATACGACGTTTCGATTGCAACACAAGCAATCATCATCAGGTATAATGAAATAGCGACATAGAATATAACCAGAAAACTATAGACAGACATATAAGCAGACAGATATCACCAAGATACATAGAGAGAGCAACCCAGGTAGAGAGAGAGGTGATCGTCTCTGTGGGGTGGCCTTAAATAGACAGAGGGGGGCGGAGGCAGAGAGAGGGAGGGGGTAGGGAAAACATTTACATGTCAATGAGTACGAAGGGAGGGGAGTAAGGTAAGCAGGCTTAGAGGGAGACAGAACACACTAAATTAAATAACCTAGCAAAGTATCGAAATGTTATGTAAAACGACACAGAGAGTCGGTCAACACACAATTAACGCATTGCCTGGTCGATTACGTATTTCAAAGATTGCTAAGTTAGAATTTAAGTGTGAAAATTCCAAAGAAAGACAAAACATAAAAAAGAGGAACGGAGACACACAGACAGAGCAGAACCTAAGAACGATACAAAACGAGTGTAGACAGAGAAAATTACACTAAATATACAGGCAGAGAGAGAGAGAACAAGAAACCCAGAGAGAGAGAAAAAGGTAAACTTGGAACTTCCCCGTAGAAGTGGTTCAATCTTAATTATATTATTTTATTTTTATACGTGACTTTACCGAAAAAACCAAAGAATAATTCCTGCAGTCACGAAAGCTCCAAAATTAAGATTGAACAACACCATAGATGCACCGCCAATCAAGCAACACAGCCGCTCTGCACTCGGCAGCACAGCCGCGCGGCACAGTGGTGTGTAACGTGTCCCCGAGCCGCTGCGTCTCACTCCACCCGGCCGGGCGCGGTTCACGCGCGTCAAGCTCTCTCAATGCGAGCTCTCCTGCTGCTGGGCACATTGTGTGGATTCCGTGCGCCAACGTTGACGTCCTCTCTGGGCTTAGCAGCGTCCCTTCAAAACCGGCATTGAACTGCGATCCTAGAGGCGGTCTCTCGTCAAGGCTCTCGAGTGCGCAGGTGGTGCAACTGCACCCCAGGGCTCAAGGGTCAGAGTGGGCCGAGGTGACGTCAATAAAAATGGGGGGGGGGGGTGGGACTGGACAGGGGCCAAGGTTTAAAATGACAATAAAAGATCGCGTTTAATTTAAGTGTTATTTACATAAACATAAAAATTTAAGCATGCTGCCTGTTGAGTAAGTGCGGGCCTGAAATGTTAATGTTAACGTTTTTGATCTTTTGTTACACCCCACTTTTAAATATTTAATTTCAGCCTACCAACTGAGCTCGTGCCCTGACCCGAACCCTTTCCGCAACGGGCTGGTGATGGGCGCCGAGTATACCGTGGGAAGCTCCGTCTCCTTCCGCTGCCTGCCCGGCTACACCCTGGTGGGCCACCCCGTCCTGTCGTGCCGCCACGGACGCAGCCGCAACTGGGACCACCCCATCCCCACCTGCCAAGGTTCGACTCCCTTACAGAGATCACACGGCACCTCCCCCGTGTGAGCCGCCGGCGTTCTGCGCGCGTGTGCGTGCACTTCAAAGTGTACCTGGCCTGGTACAGGCGCCATGGTGACGTCACCGTCACTTAGTGGCGAATGGCGGGTATTGGTATCGGTGCGAGATAACATCGATGCTGACCCTGACGCCTGCTGTATATTTGGAGTTTGCATATCTGTCACTGAATAGTCGCGTGGATTTTCTGCGGGTCCTCCGGAGTTTCCCTGCACATTTAGAATGAACATCACTCGTTTAGAGTATGTGGTTGCAATACATATAAGTCACTTCGTTGAGCTATGGTTTGTGGTCAGTTCGCTAAATAGCTCAGTGGGCCTTTCGTGCTAAAATCAAAATGATTTAGTTTAGTGTAGCAGTTAGCACGCTGCGCTATGAAACCGGCGACCCGAGTTTGATTCCTGCTCACGGCCAATGCCCTAGGTCGACTCAGCCTCACATGAGTACCTAGTGCGGTGTGTAAGGCTCTACAGAGGGTGGTGCGGTCAACCCTCGCTAAGGCTCACCAGAGAGAGAAAATTGCTCTAGCTGTGGCATCATCGGGGATTGCTGTGTAAGTCGATGTGTGTTTGTCAGTCAATGTGTGTGTGTTAGTCGATGTGTGTGCATGGCTGCATGTGAGTGTGTAAGTCCTGTGTGTGTGTGTCTATGTGTGTCAGTCGATGTGTGTGTGTACGTCGATCTGTGTGTGAGTCCATATGTGTGTGTTAGTCCAAATATGTAATTAAAAAGCTTGTGCCGCAGGCCCCGGGGGGACAGGCGTTTATGACGTCTCCGGGCCAAACACCAATTGGCGGAGCCAGGAGATTTAATCTTTACCCTCGGGGCTCCTCCAGAAACAACGAAAAACCACTTCGTGTGGCCACGTGAAATGTTCGAACGCTCACTGCGGAGGAGAGGCTGCCACTCTTCTGTCGGGAGCTGGACCGGTACCACCTGGATCTCTGTGGCATTCAGAAGGTCCGGTGGACCGGTTCTGGCTCCTGCCACTATGAGGGGTGGACAGTCCTCAACTCAGGGCAGGAGACTGCCAAACAACAGGGTGTGGCTCTTCTTCTGAACAAAAGAATGAAGGGGGCTTGGGAGCGTGACGGTGAGGTGTGGGAAGCTGTAAGCCCCAGGCTACTTTGGGCTCGCCTTCCCATCAACCGGAGGCGAGGAGTGGTGGTCGTGGTTACTTATGCCCCCACCACATCCGTGGAGGGATGCAGGCAAAGCCGATGAGTCAGATGCCTTCTATGACCTCCTGTCACAGGTGCTGGCTAAAGTGGCTTCTCGGGATAGGGTCATCTTGTTGGGTGACTTCAATGCCCGAGTTGGTCATGATGCTGGCACCTGGTCTGGAGTGATTAGAGGGCATGGGCCAGATCAGCTCAATAACAAAGGTAGGAAGGCTGCTAGATTTTTGTTCAGCCCATGGGCTTGTAATTACCAACACGCTCTTCCGGCATCGGCGCATCCACACAACATCATGGATGCATGCCGGGTCCAAGCAAGAACATCTGCTGGACTACATAGTGACGGACCAGCGGATGCGAGCCCATGTCCTTGACACCAGGACCTACTGTGGAGCTGATCTGCCCTCTGACCATCGACTAGTCATCTGTAAGATGCGCCTGCCATTCTTCCACTCCGGTGGTGGGTGTACACCCAGCACCCCATTCCAACCTAAAGTGGCCTGATCTCAGCTAGCTGATGAAAGTTGCAAGCGAGAATTTCATCATCGCTTGCGGCTGGGGTTGGCATCGTCCCCCACTCCTCCTGATGTCGAGGGTAAATGAGCAGAGGTTTAGGACTGTGACTCATGCAGCTACAATGGCTGCTTTGGGAACCTGGTCCAGACCTCCCCAGAGACCCTGGCTGACAGAGGAGGTCTTCAGGATAGTTGAGAAAAAGCAACAGGCCCACTCTCATCGGCTACAGCATCCCACGTCAGAGAATGAGGAGCCTTACCGCAACCTTCGCTCGGAGGTTCGGAGAGCCGTAAGGCACTGCAAGGATGGGTGGTGGTCGCAGGTTGCTGAGGAGATGGAGTCTGCCTCAGTGGCCCGCGATCACAAATTACTATTTAACTCCATCAAAAAAGTAACCTGCAGCGCCACTCCTATTACCATCATTAGGGGAAAAAATGGTGATCCAATCTCCGACCTCCAGGAACAGGTTTGCAGATTTGCTGAGCATTTCTGTGAGGTCCTGGGGGAGGGGAAATCCCTCAGCCAGGAAAACATCATGGCAAAAAGTGGGGATAACCCTGCTGAGGCTGCGGTGCCTCAAATATTGGAAGAAGTCACCCCCTGTGAGTGGCAGGCTGAGGTGCCATCTGTTGAGGAAGTACTGAAGGCGACCCGGAGTCTGAGACCAGGAAAGGCACCGGGCAGAGATGATCTCACAAGCGAAATGCTGAGGAAGGGTGGCGTTTGTGCACAGACTGCCCTATATGACATCATAACAACAGTCTGGATGACTGGATGGGTTCCGCAGGATTGGAAGGATGCCCTGGTGGTCCCCCTCTTTAAGAAGGGGGACCGCACAGACTGTAACAACTACAGGGGCATCTCACTCCTCAGTGTGCCGGGAAAGGTCCTGGCAAGGATTATTCAACATCGCCTTGCTAGGCACGCCATATATATGTGTAAGTCAATGTGTGTGTGTGAGTCGATATGTGTGTGTAACTCTGTTTGTGTATCTAAAGTCCATGTCTGTGTGTGTGAGTCCATATATGTATGTGTGTGTAGGCCAATGTGTGTGTGATTCTATGTATGTGTGTGTGTGAGTCCATGTGTGTGCGTGGCTCCATATGTTTGTGTAAGTCCATGTGTGTGTGTCTTCGTCGATATGTGTGTGTATGCATATGTGTGCTTAGGTCAATGTGTGTGTGAGAGTCTATGTATGTGTGTGTGTGAGTTGCTGTATGTGTGTACGTCGATTTGTGTGTGTAACTCCATGTGTGTGTATCTAATGTCGATGTTTGTGTGTGAGTCCATATGTGTGTGTGTGTAAGTCGATGCCTTTGTGTGTGTGGGTCAATGTCTGTGTGTGTAGGTCGATGTGTGCGTCTTTTTCGTCCGGGCAACGCCGGGTACTTACCGCTAGTAGTATATATTTGTGTTCATTCATCTCATGCAAACAAACACAGATTGTGATTTGGATTATTGTTATAGTGTTATTTGGTGGTAATTTGGATTTGCTCGGATATTTCATGATTTTTTATTTGTCTTTCTATTTGTTTATTTGTTAGACATTCTATTGCAATGTTGTGGCGCTGACAACTTAATAATTTTGCTGCACCTGCTATAACATCAGCTTCACTGTGTATCCGACCAATAAAATTTGATTGATTAACATCGACACTAAGAAGACAAAGGCGGTCGACTGTGGTACTGGCCACCCACCCCCTCGTGTGCCGTGCCGGCCTTCGTAGATGCTCGTGAGCAGCACTTGCCCCAAGAGCCTGTTAAAGGCTATACGGGGGGATCTTTGTCTTTGCATCGGTGGTCACAACTCCGGGCCTCTGAATTAGAATCTTGGCTCAAATGTGGTAGAGCACTCCACACAATGAGGGAGCGGTGAGGTTAACACGACCCATCATCGCTGAAGGGATAATTAAACGAGTTTTACCTTCTTAATGGTTGGATACTGTAAAGAACACGTTTTGGATTTCACGTGCGGACTTTGCAGCAGTTGCGTGGCCTGCAAACGCAGGTGCTATAGGCTGCTGTGTTGTCAGAAGAGGGCGGTGCAGCAAAATGCTTCGTCGTACTGCTCCTATGTCTATGCTCCCTGTCTCTGACCCACACCGATTAAGGTGGTGAAGTATGGTCAAATTGTCCCAACAACCCGCACAGCGTGAGGAGGCCCTCATCTAGCAGTTAGATGACAAAAATGGCTGCACATTTACGTATATAATACCGGTAGATTTTTATGCTCTTATACGCATATATTCTTTTCGTAGTTACAATCTTTCAGAGACATAAAGAAGGGCATGTGAGCTTAGAGAACAAACAAGCAGGTGAATGAGATCATTGAAACAGTTCGTGAGAGTGAGCGGGCCTGGGGCGGGACGCATGCTGGCTTCAAGGGGACGGTGGCTGACAGTCAAGGAATGTAACGCATCTGAGAGAGACATCCACCGGGGGGGTGGAATGGGAGATGGAGCGGTGATGAAATCAGCTCACGCGCAAAGTGCGAGGCGGATTCGTAGCATCGCAAATTCGTGAGCAATGGTGGTGGCTTGGGGTGGCAGGGGGGCCCCTTCGTCCATGATGATGGTGATAGCGACGGCGGTCAGTTATGATCTGCATATGACCTTGAGGAATATACACGTGGAGAAGCTCACACCGGAGGGACAACTTGGTGAGATGATATTCCCCCTTCCCGCCCCGTAGCGTTTAGGGTGACACACCGCGTGGAATTGCGATTCCACTGTCACGTGCAAGCAACGAGACGGACGGACGGACCTTTAGTCGCCAATTATTTTCAGCGCAAAGGGGCAGCACAAATTAGGGACAGCTGCGAACTGTCTCGTCAATCTCACGGAAACAAGGGGGGAATAGATTCCCACAAATAAATGGCGTTAACTTTGCGTCGCTACGTTGGGAAATGCAGCGGACATCCGAATTATTTTTTCGAGCGCGAGAGTGTGACTTAGGTAAACAAAAAAACACTCGGGACGTTAACACGGGACCAATTCAAAACATGGGAGACGCAGCAGCAGAGAAGACAAGGAGGCTCAGAGAGTTCCAAATTATGCCAGAGATCACTCCTCGTGGCTTTCAATTCCACTTCTTGATTTGCGCCCGAGCACTGTGGAATTATTCCCACACACGGATAACTGTGGACATCGTCATCGAGTTGCGGAACCAGCTCTCGGAATAAAATAAGCGATGCCATTTACTAAACGTGACAAACAGGAGTCAAATTCTAAGAAACGTTTTTCAGGTTAGATTGCGTGAATATCCATGTGTCATTAAACCCGCCACCAGCCGACACAGCCAATTAGCGAGGGTTTGTCACGTAAACAACATTTGGCAATTCGTGACTATGACAGCACACCGGTTGTGCGTTGGAGAGTAAACCCCACGACATTTACAATTTGAGTACCGGTGACGTTTCGCCAGTAATTACAACAACATGCAGCATCATCAGGCGACAGCCAGAGTTGTGAAATAAATTCTCCTCCGGTTTCCTGAATAAGATGCCTCTCGCTCGTGCAACGATTACACGTTCTTTTGTTCAAAAAAAGAAGGGAGTTGAAACCAATCCGAAGAATGACGGATTCATGGACCCTCCTTCCATCACATTTGACGTAACTCTTCATGGAACTCGCAGGGAGCTGAATAATGGCCAATCCAGAGGATTACCACCCGCATGAGAGAGCAGAATGTGGGAAATGATTCCCTACCTTTCACCGCGTACTATCAGTGAGATCGCGGAAAGGGGAAAAAATGAATTTCATATACCATTACGCCTGGGGGTTTAGAGATCGTGAAAAGGCGTTGGATTTCTGTGGAAATGGGGCTCGCTCATTCGAGCATCCAAATATCGGCTCCCTCATGGAGAATGCCACTGGCTCCACGAACCGGCAGCTGCGGCAGCTGCAGCCCTCCACTGTTATCGGCGATCATCAGCACACCACACTCGTGTCAATTCCTCTCTGTATGTATGTGGAACTTCTTTCGCACCGTACATTGCCAACTGTGCTAATTTGATGTTTCCCTGTCATTCCTTCCTGTTGTGTCCGTGTCATACCTCTCCTCTTGAGTGGGCCAGCTGTTCCTCTGGTCCCTTGATTTGCAAGCCGGGTCACCATAAATCGATTGCATGCAGGCATTGTGAAACGATTCGATACGTGGCTGCCATTTCGTTCTCCCAGCTATGTGCGGAGGAAACATCACGGACCTGAATGGCACCATTTACTCTCCGGGGTATCCGGACGAGTACCCGGACTTTCAGGACTGCTACTGGCTCATCAAGGTACCGCTGGGATACGGCGTATTCGTCAACTTCACGCAGCTGCACACCGAGCCTGTCTACGACTACATCACCGTCTGGTGGGTGTACCAGCATCGGAGACGAAGCCTTTGTTGTCACGTGTTGGGGCGCCGCGGTGGGGAGAGATGTTAATTGCCTTGCCTAGTGCGCAGGAAGATGTGGGTTCGATCCCGACCCTGATGCATGTATTTTTGGTAGGAGTTTGAATGTTCTCTCTCTGCGTGGACGTGTGGATTTTTCTCTGGGTCCTCCGATTATTCCCTCCACATTTAGAAACACACATTTAGAGTATTTGGTTGTTATACATTTCCACGTTAAAATCCACTTTGTTGAGCTATCATTTGTGGTCAAGCTGCCTCTGAAAAAGAGCTACATAGCTCAGTGGAACTTAGTTGTATATGTCATGAAATGTGATATGCAGTGCAACCTCTTGAATCTAGACTCGAGTAGTCAGAATTCGGAGTAGCCCAGAAAGGCGACCAAAATAAATATATGAGATGTGTTTCGTTGTATTCCTTCTGCTCTCTCTCAGTTGAATTCCTAGCATTGGCCTCTCCATACCCTTCACACTTTACAACTGACATTGCATTTTCCGTGTCAGTGTCCGTGTTCATGAAGCACATGCCACAGCTGGTAATGTCCACCGATGTACAAAGATCTTCTCGAGGCACATTCCTTATTAAGTTCGGTACAGTAGAGTATGGATTCCTGGAGTCACGAAAGCTTCAAATCAATATTAGTGTATAGTAGTGTATAGTGTAGTGTATAGTGTAGTGTATATAGTGTATAGTAGAACCCCTCTTAACGACCACTCCTGTTAATCACTAATCGCTTAATGGCGAGCCTCCATAGAGCCTAACGTGTAGTGTATAGTGTAGTGTATAGTGTAGTGTATAGTGTAGTGTATAGTGTAGTGTAGTTCCTCCCTAGTGCCCAATGTGTTCGCTTACCCACCATTCCCCTGTTAACAACGTGCTGTTGTAGGTACAGTAAATATGAATGAATGCATTGATTAATCATGTTTCTTTTAATAGTATGTGTTTATAATGTTGTTAGTATCTTTGTGTATTAATATCCATTGTTTACATATTATTAAGTAAGTTTTTTACGTGAAACAGGGTAACTTTCGAAGCCATCGGAACGAATTAAGCCTTTAACATGTATTTCCTATACTCGCTGAACGACCCAAATCACTTCACGACCGGGTTTCGTGGAGTCAATCTGCTGTGTTCCCAAACTACTCCAGCCTTCTCTCATCCACTTCTCCATTTCATCATTGGGATCCTGGTGTGCCTTCACCAACGATCATTTTTATACATATCGGAGTTGTTTCTTCCATTTCTTCTCAAATCGTCAAGTCGCTTTGTTTAACACCTAGCAGGAGGCTTTCACGGCTATTGTCCATAATTGAGGTTTTTTTTGGGTTAGATCGCATAAATAGAAACGTGTCCTTAAACCCACCACCACCCGACACAGCCAATTAATAAGGTTTGTCACGTAAACAATTCATTACTAGTTCAGCTCACCGGTTGTGTGTTGGAGAGTAAACCCACTACAACATTTACAATTCGAGTACTGAGACGTTTCGCCGGTAATTACAAACAACAACCAGCATCATCAGGCGACAGCCAGAGTTGTGGAGAAACCCTCCTCCTGTTTCAGTATTAAATAGAGGGATACATGTGATGTCATCACTTGTCAGCCAATCAGGTGCGAAGGCCAGAGGGGGGGTCGTGGGGGGGGTTTGTAATTTTTGTGTTGTTTGCATTCTCGTGGCGCCTCTCCGCCAGAAATCTGCCACTCACAGCGCCGTTGCATGAAGATCAAAAAACGCAGCATGAAAAATCTGAAAGATTCTAAACAGCGAGACGATAGAGAGAACTTATTGGTACGCAACTCACGGCACTCATATTTACCTTAAGCCTGGCTCTGAAGCCTTGCTCGTGAAGTTCTTTGAATAATTTCCTGCAGCTCATTCTCATTGCTCGTAGAGGCGAAGGAGTTTGTCAGCAAATGAGGTGGTTAAATCATTTTGACAATTTTAACTTTTAACATTTGTCACTTAAAATGTTAAACCCGAATAGAACTGGAATTTAGACGACTTGTAACCCAGCACCTTCCGCAACAACAGGCAGGCATTTGCTGTGTGAATGTCGGTGTAGATGTATTGTTTCATTGGCCTTAATATTCTCGAGTCTGTTATGCGAGTTTTGTTTTTTCGCTTGTCTGTGACTTTTAATTTCCTGCATCGACAGTTCTAATCGAGAGCCAATGGCCGGTCGCGGTTGAACGTGGGGCATTTTTGTGAAAAACTTCCTCGACGTGAAAAGCCACGGGCGGTTAATTGCCTGAGTGCGCTTTGTATGTGTGAGCGGACATTGAGTACTCCCTGTGCAGTCAAATAATTGGTTTATTAACTGTCTTGCTGCCCCCTCGCTCGCTAGCCTAGAGGTGCACGGGGGATGTGCCAACTTTGCGGTACGTGCCGGTCCCACTGTTGCTTTTGAACGCGTCCGCTGATTCGCTGTTGAGCGTTGAAGCATGGAGTGCACATTGCAGAGGAGCGGTACCATGTTTGCTCTTTTTGCTTGTTTAGGAACCAATAAAGGCGACTGACATTCTGCGCGATGTCTGCCGTGGTCGACGACAGAGATCGGATCTGTTTAGGCGCCCGTAGATTGCTGTGCCGCCTCGTGGAACAATAGCCATTCAGCAGAGGTGATGTACGTTTGTGTCGAGTGCCTTCGTGTAGGCCTTGTGGGGACTCGTTTGTTCGAGTTGTGATGCTTCGCGGATGCTGCTGCGGTGTAACGGGTAGCAATCCAGAAGTTGTCGGTTCGATCTTTTCTTTGAACGGACATTTCTGAAACGTCCTGCCCGTGTGTGCCCAGCAGCTAAAAAAAAAAAACTAATTGCACCACGAATTAGTCGATCGGAAAGTCACGTGTGGTGGGGTAAAGTCTATATTATTCCTGCCTCTTCCACCATGAAGCCTGGTGAGCGAAGAAGAGGTGGCCAAAACCACCCCTCGTGTGGCTCTCTTGGAGGATCCTCGAATAGGGAGGCCTTTTGCCAGCAGTGGCGTGAGCAAGTAATCACAGGGCAGCATCTTAAATGTTTTGATGATCCGTGTTGTTCCTCGATTTTACAAAAGGTGCATTATTCACAAAAGATGCGTTATTCACAAAACAAACGTTATTCCCAAAACAAGCATTAAAAACGAGATTTCTTAAATCGCAACGGCTCTTCCCGTTAATTTAATCACTAAAAAATCCGGATTGTGTTCCAGATAGTCGTTCCAAACTCTTCTCATAACCTAAACATATACACCTATATCACTTTTCACGATACAAAAATAACAATAAGAAACATAAATATTAAAACGATTGAAAACTAAATTAATTAACTCTTTTAAATAAAAATATTATTTGGGTCTTTTGGCAAAATCATGTAGATAGGTTCAAGGAAAATAAATAAAAAACTACGACGTTTCGATCTCAACACAAGCGTTCGTCATCAGGAAGAGAGGGTTAGCTTCTAAAGTTAACCTGTTTAAAAAGGTTTGAAATGGGCGTAGCCCAAGTGTTAATGTAAGTGGTGGGCAGCAACTGCGCCGGTGGTGGGTTTTTCCAGCAAGCAAAGAGCTGCCCAGTAAAAATGAGCATGATGATGTAAGATTGTTGAGAGGCCTCCACGGCGGGCGCCTGAGGTGAGAGATTAGCATGTTAATGTGAGAGATTAGCATGTTAATGTAAGAGATTAGCATGTTAATGTGAGAGATTAGCATGTTAATGTGAGAGATTAGCATGTTAATTTGAGAGATTAGCATGTTAATGTGAGAGATTAGCATGTTAATGTGAGAGATTAGCATGTTAATGTGAGAGATTAGCATGTTAATGTGAGAGATTAGCATGTTAATGTAAGAGATTAGCATGTTAATGTGAGAGATTAGCATGTTAATGTGAGAGATTAGCATGTTAATGTAAGAGATTAGCATGTTAGATTAGCATGTTAATGTGAGAGATTAGCATGTTAATGTGAGAGATTAGCATGTTAATGTGAGAGATTAGCATGTTAATGTAAGAGATTAGCATGTTAATGTGAGAGATTAGCATGTTAATGTAAGAGATTAGCATGTTAATGTGAGAGATTAGCATGTTAATGTAAGAGATTAGCATGTTAATGTGAGAGATTAGCATGTAATGTAGAGATTAGCATGTTAATGTGAGAGATTAGCATGTTAATGTGAGAGATTAGCATGTTAATGTAGAGATTAGCATGTTAATGTGAGAGATTAGCATGTTAATGTGAGAGATTAGCATGTTAATGTGAGAGATTAGCATGTTAATGTGAGAGATTAGCATGTTAATGTGAGAGATTAGCATGTTAATGTGAGAGATTAGCATGTTAATGTGAGAGATTAGCATGTTAATGTGAGAGATTAGATTAGCATGTTAATGTGAGAGATTAGCATGTTAATGTGAGAGATTAGCATGTTAATGTGAGAGATTAGCATGTTAATGTGAGAGATTAGCATGTTAATGTGAGAGATGAGCGTGTTAATGTGAGAGATTAGCATGTTAATGTGAGAGATTAGCATGTTAATGTAAGAGATGAGCATGTTAATGTGAGAGATTAGCATGTTAATGTGAGAGATTAGCATGTTAATGTGAGAGATTAGCATGTTAATGTGAGAGATTAGCATGTTAATGTGAGAGATTAGCATGTTAATGTGAGAGATGAGCGTGTTAATGTGAGAGATTAGCATGTTAATGTGAGAGATTAGCATGTTAATGTAAGAGATGAGCATGTTAATGTGAGAGATTAGCATGTTAATGTGAGAGATTAGCATGTTAATGTGAGAGATTAGCATGCTGATGGGAGATCGCAGAGCGAACGCTCGAGCCGGGCGAGCGAGGTGGCTGTGTTTGAGTGAGAAATTGAACCTGTTCATGTAAAATCAGAGAGTCGAAAATAACAACTAACATCGGAAGGTGGTAGGATGGGAACATCACAGCCAGTTATGACTTAAACTGGTTGATAAGGAAACTCACCAAGAGATCTGCTGCATGTTGCAATGAGTGGCGAGGCGATGGTGGAGGCAGTGGCGGCTCCTGCAAAATCTCTCAGGGGGGGCAAATGTCTGGATGATTGATAAGGATAAGGTCCACCCATGCAATGGATAAATTAACAGCTTAAGCATGTAAAGGCAACTTCACTTCTTTAATATTAATGAAAAATAAAGTGACTCTTACAATACATCTTGTTTGTTTCTATACTCACTATTAAAACAAACCACTCAAGTTTTTTTTTATTAAAGATTCCACTAGGTGGCAACAAATTATATTGTTGGATGAAACGTGCTTACGTATGACGTAAGCACGTATGATGACGTAAGCACGTTAGGGCGAGCCCTCCCGGAAGCCATAGAGAATGCATTGCAGCGCCCCCGTTAGAAAAAAAACATATTTGAATGTAAGTCTATGGGGCCACTCGGGGCGATTCTCAGCTGGAGGGAAATCGCCCAAAAAGAGGCGGTACTCCACAGAACGTAGCATGACGCTGATTGGACTATATCCAGAGGCACAGTGACAGCTAGCGTGACTCTGTGGTTGAATGACATTGGTGGTGCGTCGCCCAATCGCCCTAATGAAGAAACCGCCCCTGGGTGGAGGCGTTGCTGCTGCACTGCAGGGACACCGTGACGTTGTCGCGGATGAAGACGCCTCAGCCTCCTGTGTGGCTTCTCGTTTGATGATCTCACGGCGCGTCTGGCCGTCGTGAGATTTCGTTCGCTTGGAATTTCCATTTCGTTAATCAGAAAGTATCCACAATTTGGCAATTGTCTTCAATTGTGTTCGTGTGAAATATGTAAATATATTCTTAGGTTTTTTCGGTAAAGTCACGTAGGTAAAACATTAAAATTAATAAAAGTAAAATAAAATAAAAATCACGACGTTTCGGAGGCAACACAAGCCTCCGTCTTCAGGTGGAACCGTCACAGCCACGACAGCTGTTCAAGTAAATGAGAGATTACAAGAGCTACCACTCCGTATATATAATGGTTGGAGAGGGGGGGAGGGCCAAGTACGGCACACTTTTTTATTAATATGGTAAGGTGAGGCTTAAGAAGAAGTTTAAGAAGAAGCCTCACCTTACTATATTAATAAAAAAGTGTGCCGTACTTGGCCCTCCCCCCCTCTCCAACCATTATATATACGGAGTGGTAGCTCTTGTAATCTCTCATTTACTTGAACAGCTGTCGTGGCTGTGACGGTTCCACCTGAAGACGGAGGCTTGTGTTGCCTCCGAAACGTCGTGATTTTTATTTTATTTTACTTTTATTAATTTTAATGTTTTACCTACGTGACTTTACCGAAAAACCCTAAGAATATGAATCCTTGCAGTCACGAAAGCTTCAAATCTAGAATATGTAAATATATTTACACGTGGCTATATTTATGCGATTTAACCCAAAAATTGCGTAAATATATAGATTTACGCAAGTGAGGGCTTCACCATTCTGGCAAATTGCCCGATGATGCTGGATGTAATTACCAGCGAAACGTCGTACTCAAAAATTGTAAATGTTGTGGATTCACTTTTCAACACACCCGTGGGCTAAAGTAGTGAACTATTTATCTTTTATCAACGTGACACTTTTTTACTGATTGGCCATGTCGGGTGGTGGAGGGTTACGACACATTTATAATTAACGTGATCTAACCCAAAAACGTTTATTATAAATATATAAATATATCACTGGGCCCGCATAATACGCATGCATAATGTACGTTGACTCAAGAGTGCAGAAGTGTGGTCACCACATCTACGCCTCTACATAAGGAACGAAACAGGTGGACTTCTCCACAATTCTGGCTGTCACCGTACTCAGATTGTAAATGTTGTGGCTTGGCTCTCCAACACACCGGTGTGCTGTACTAGTGACGAATTTCCACGTTCTGTTTACGTGACAAACTTTACTAGTTGGCTGTGTCGGGTGGTGGCAGGTTTAACGACACATTTATATATTTACGTGATTTAACCCAAAAAACCCTCTATTATAGTTGTTTAACACGTAGTAGGCTTTCGCAATCAATAACATCCAAAATACAGGTTTTTTTGGGGTTAGATTGCGTAAATATATATTTACCCAAAAAACCTGTGTTATGTATTTTGTTATTGCTGCTGAGGTAACCACTGCGTCTCTCTCTCTCTCTCCTCTGGCCGTGATCATCACCGAGAACTCAGTGGTGGTTCTCATTCAATCCGACCATCATAGTTCCGTCGTACTCCGCCTCGTATTCTCCCTCCAGCTCGGTCTCTCTCTCTCTCGTGTTGCCGTACTCTCCCACACGCCCGCCACTGCACGCAGGGTGGCTCCTATAGGATGGTGATTAACCAGAGTGGCGCCCGTTTATTTGCACACGCACCAGGGCCTGAATTGGCACACCCTCGGTGCCCGTGATCTCCCCCGGGTCACGACTCAGCCCACAGCACGCCCCTCTCTCCTCGGCGCCCCCACGTGGCGGCTTTGTGTTGAAAGTAATGCCCACTTAAGTGCGTCCGTTGACGCGCCGCCCATTTGCACTTCGCCAATCGTGACCCATGGCAGTAGGTGTGGATACCTGATGCACAATTGGAAAATTAAAAACTCTCCAGCGTGCGACTGTGGTCATCCAGAACAGGCCGGAGTACAACATATAGCGACGCAATGCCCGATCCACGTATACGAAAACTATTAAACTATTTTTTTGATTTTACCAGGTAAGGCCCACTGAGCTATACGGCTCTTTTTCAAAAGCGACCTGGCCACAATGATAGCTCAACGAAGTGGCTTATCGCGTGGAAATTTATTGCAGCCAAATACTCTAAACACATGTTTCTAAATGTGGACGGAAAAACCGGAGGACCCAGAAAAACATCCATGCCACCATGGGGAGAGAGACCACCGTCGTGCCCAATACGAAGGAGATATCACGGCGATACGTTCCGCTACTCCTGACCCGGTTATCTGGCTTAACCATCTGAATGTGAAATTGTAGTTGTTTTGCTCTGCATCAACATCAGCCATACGAAAGAAGAATAGGAAGTTCACAATCCCAGTCCCAGCACGTTCTGTCAGTAGAGGGTGCGATCATATGCACGACTTATCACAGACATAACCGCACCTGTTACATTAAGAAGGTGCAGCTGTGGGTTAAACCATCCATAATAGCCTTAAAATTGTGTACATCACTCAACCTGTGTAGGTGGCATTATGATCAATTGTCATCGCGATTATGGGTCTCTCTCTAGATTTCACAACTTGGGTTTTAATTACTGAAGTTGCTTGTTCAATCTTTCATGTATATTTTAATATCTATTTTGGCAATTTATTCAATTATTCCTCATTAATTTTCTGGGATATTAACTTGCATGGCTGGTCAGCCCTTTTCCACGTGTTTTAGCACTTCGTATGTGATTGGGTAGTCTTGACATTAACAATGTTTGGAGGCAGTTTGGCAAACTTTCAATTCCATTTAAATGCAAATTACTTGGTAATGTAAGCAGGTTTATTGAGTTTGTGTGGATTAATAGAAATAATGAATTATTAATCAAGTGAGTGAAATTAGCCTTCTGATTATATATGTTTTATTAAAATGAAACCACTGAATATATATGTGTTTGTGTACTCCCAGATATTATTACACATGAAGCCCGTAACAGAATAAACATCCAGCATTATCGTAATAATAATCGTTCACTATAAAAAAATTATCTTTACCTCGAGTCTCCTGGCTGGCTGCAGGTTGGGCTCAGGCGGTGCGGACGCCTCTTAGCGAGCACGTGGAACGCGACGACGCTGATGACGATGACGGTGGTCGCTTGTGTTGACGCTTTCAGGGATGGACCGGACCAGGACTCTCCGCAACTGGGCCAGTTCAGTGGCAACACAGCGCTGGAGTCGGTGCGCAGCACTTCTCACCAGGTCCTCGTGAAGTTCCACAGCGACTTCTCCACCAGCGGCTTCTTCGTGCTCAGCTACCAAGGTGCTGCCATGCCCATGAGCTCTGGTCGTCACGCAGAGACCACGTATGACGCAATGCGCTTCACGCTTGTGTTGTTCGTATGCATGTGTACGTGTGTGTGTACATATGTCTGGCTGGATTGTGTGAGGAGCTCACAAATCCTTGAAAGATCTGGGCAAAGTCCCATCAGTGAGCTCCTCCGGCAGGCAAGGCTGCGTTGGCTGGGTCATGTAGCCCGCATGCCCAGCCACCGCATGCCTAAACAGCTTTTGTTCGGCCGGATCGAGGGGGCTAGACAGGCGCGGCACGGGCTGGGAGAAGAGATGGAGTGATGTGGTACAGGAGGACGTGGAGCTGAGTGGACTTGCCGATGACTGGTACCAGCGGTGTCAAGATCGGCCTCAGTGGAGGAGGCTCGTGAAGGACGCTACTGGGCAGTTGGAGGCAGTCGCCCTCCAACACCAGCGCTGGAGTCGGCTTGCGCAGCACTTTCTCACCAGGTCCTCGTGAAGTTCCACAGCGACTTCTCCACCAGCGGCTCTTCGTGATCAGACTACCAAGAGTGCTGCCTTGGCCCATGAGCTCTGGTCGTCACGCAGGAGACCACGTATGACGCAATTGCGCTTCACGCTTGTGTTGTTCGTATGCATGTGTACGTGTGTGTGTACGTATGTTGAACTTCTTTCGCACCGTACATAGCCAACCGTGCTAATGAACCATTGGTAATACGTGCGTGTTATCCACACCTCCGATTAGCACGGTTGGCTACGTACATCGCGAAAGAAGTTCAATATACGTACATGAATGTGTGCGTAACTGTGATAATGATAACAATAATTCATGTTCCCGTGTCAATCAACATGTGGGTGAATACCTCCCTCACGTCCGTGTCGGCCATCGTGGTTGTGTGGCCGACCTTTATGGCGCATCAGTGTGGGTTGATGAGGTCGGGACCAGGACCGCATCAGACATCACTCGCCGCTCATGTCAGCATTAGGCAGGCATCAATCGGGGTCTTCATTGGTTACATAGAGACAGGTGGCATGGTGAGTAGAGGCAGGCACCTTCACACCGTCACAGACACACGCGCAGTTGTAGCTTGTCTTGGCTATATCTTTTTAGTTCGTAAGGCACGATGGTCTTGGTGCTTATTTATTTATTATTTGAGTTACCTTCAATGTTCAGTTTTAAGTTCACTTTGAATGACCTTGTGAGCCAATCGGGTTTCATCAACAACAACAACAAAACAACACCTCCACTTACTCCGACGTACGCAACAAGTCACAGTAAAATACAAACAACAACAGATGAGCGAAATAAAGAATAGCTAGCAAAAATAATCGCTATATTATTAAATTCTAAGACAAATTAAGTTAAATATAGATTATCAAATAGCACTCAAAAAATACTAATTTAAATCTGGGATTCGGTGTGCAATATATTATTATTATGTTGTGGTTTTTTTTTTTTACCTGGGTTTCATGGCGAGTGTTTAACTCATCCCCAGGCTGCTTTACTTTGTTTTCTGTGAGATGTGGCCAATGCCAGGATGCAGTGGCCGGGAGGCCGCGAGGCCGAGCTCACGGGGGCTGCCCGCGGAATTTAAATCGCACGAACGACGGCCTGGAAAGCGAAGGGGGCAACGTTGACGGATGTTAGTCTGGAATTTTAACCGAAAGCAACCGTGGCGGGCGAACGCACCCTTCACAGACGGTTGCCCTCCGCGAGGTAGATGAAACGTTTCCAGCTTGCGCTTCTTTAGCCGCGCGCTAAGAGCCAGCACGTCATCTGCAAGGAAGCTTGGGGCCTGACGGATTGTGTAAGGTTTGTGTCCTTTGTGTACGCAGCCCGTGGCACACAAGTTTGCAGCATGCCTAGCAAAGACTGTTGTTGGGACAAGTGCCGTTAGCGAGCACCTATGACGGCCGGCACAATACACGAGGGGGTGGGTGGCCAGCACCACGCTCGACCACCTTTGTCTCCCTCGTTGCGATGTTTACACACCACACCAGGTACTCATTTGAGGCTGTGTCGACTTAGGTGAGGCCCAGCACCAAATTAGACAATCGTCAACCTGTGTGGGCCGTGAGCAGGAATTGAACTCGGTTTGCCAGGTTCGAAGCACGGCACGCCAACCACAAAACTACCGTTCCCCACACCGATGCACGCACACAAACACCAATACCCGCCATTCGCCACTAAGTGACGGTGACGTCACCACGGTGCCTGTGCCAAGCCAGGTGCACTTCGAAGTGCACGCACGCAGAACACCGGCGGCTCACACAGGGGAGGAGGTGCCGTGTGACCTTGGCGGGTGGACATGGGGTGGTCCCAGTTGCGGCTGCGTCCGTGGCAGCATGACAGGACGGAGTGGCCCACGAGGGTGTAGCCAGGCAGGAAGCGGAAGGTTTCCGCTCACCGCGACGCGACCACGGCATGCAAACAGACTGCAGCGTTACGCATTGCCCAAGCAGAGAACGTGCGCTGCATGCCGCTATGCTGCGTCTGTACACACCATGAACGCCGTGTTGACAGTTCGGGCATGACCCTAGTATGGAGCTGTCCATAATACAGGTTTTTTGGGTTAGATCGCATACATATAAATGTGTCGTTAAACCCACCACCACCCGACACAGCCAATTAGGTTTGTCACGTAAACAAAACATGCCGGTGTGCTATACTAGTGGAGTGGAGTAGCGCGGGGGTTTGCAAGCGGTGTGCACGCATGTGCGAGTTACGGACAGTGAGGTCGCATCGGGGCGAACAGGTGCGGCGAGAGAGCGACGAAAAGGAGACGGCCAATTAAGATGCATAGCTGTGATTGGCTGGCTGCAAATGCACGGAACAGGCGCCAGGGGCTTGAGGGACTAATGAGGAGTTAATAAGGAGGGGGAGTTGAGGGGAGTTGGTCGGAGTGAAGAGGAGAGTGCACACAAGAGAAGTCCCGGGTCCGCTCTCCACACCTCATGGGCAGGCGAGCTAGCAGTAGAGAGGCTAGCGGAGTCCTAAGTGTGAGTGCGCGAAGACTAGCAGTGGAGAAGCTAGCAGAATTCCCTCATCAAAACACCACACCATAGGGCCAATTGTATCTCCGACCAGCACCACCTAGCCAGTGAGCTGGAGCACGTACACCAAGCCCTCAAGATGAATGGATATTCTGAATGTACAATCCGCAAAGCTATCTCCCCAGCAGCCATGGGTAGAGAACCATCTGAGGACCAAATAAAAACCATCACCTTGCCATACATAGCAGGGGTTACCAAAAAGATTTACAAAATCTTAAACAAACACAAGATACAGGTTCGTTTCAACACAGTACACAAAATCCGTGATTTTATCCCATCTGTAAAGGATGTGATTCCTGACATGCAATACCCTGGTGTCTACAAGCTAAGCTGTGTCTGCGGCAGCAGTTACATTGGGGAAACTAAGCGACATGTCTCGGACCGTGTTCGCGAACACAAGGCAGATCTGAAACACTGGTAGGACCAATACCTCTGCCATTGCTGATCATTGTTTTAACGCTGTGGGCTCACACGAAATAGATTTTTCCAAGACTAATGTACTCTGCAAACCCACTGGCTATCATCAGAGATTTGTTCATAAAGCCATCCAGATATATAAACACAGACACAACTTCAACAGAGAAGATGGGTACAAACTGAGCAATCATTGGAAGGACGTTATTAACCAAGTAAAGTCTTAACTGACTGTGATGTTTCCATCCTACCTGCCTATGTCAGCTGTTATTTCCTATTTGTGTCTCTCTTTCTCTCTCTGTGTGTGTCTCTCTGTGTTGTGTCTCTGTGTGTGTCTGTGTGTGTGTGTCTCTTTGTGTGTGTCTCTCTCTATGTGCTTGTGTCTTTCTATGTGTGTCTTTCTCTCTCTCTCTTTGGTTGTCTCTATGTGTGTGTGTCTCTGTTTGTGTGTCTCTGTGTGTGTCTCTTTCTGTATGTCTCTATGTGGGTTTCTCTCTCTTTTTGTGTGTCTCTCTCTCTCTGTGTGTCTGTGTGTGTGTGTGTCTCTCTGTGTGTAGGTGTCTCTCTCTGTGTGTGTCTGTTTGTGTTGTGTCTTTGTGTGTGTCTCCGTATGTGTCTCTCTCTGTGTGGGTCTCTCTCTGTGTGTCTCTCTAGGTTGTCTCTCTGTGTGTCTCTCTGTGTGTGTGTCTCTATGTGGATGTCCCTCTCTGTGGGTTGTCCCTGTGTGTCTCTGTCTCTCTCTGTGTGTCTCTCTAGGTTGTCTCTCTGTGTGTCTATCTGTGTGTGTGTCTCTATGTAGATGTCCCTCTCTGTGTGTGTGTGTCTCTGTGTGTCTCTGTCTCTCTCTGTGTGTGTCTCTCTCTCCATGTGTATCACTTGCTCTTGCGGGTTTCCTGTTGCGCGACATGCTCATCTTCTCATTGGCGCACCTCCGGTTGCTGGAGCCATCTCACATTGACATGCTCATCTCTTACATTTACGTACAAATTCCTTCTCTAGCTCCGCCCACTTACCCTTGGGTTGGACCCACCAAACGCCTCTATAACCTTGTTGCAGCAGCTCTTTCTCGTACGTCAGCAGTTCTCCTGCTGTGTTTGTTTCACCTGATGGCGGTTGCTTGTGTTGCGATCGAAACGTCGTGATCTATTCATTTTCTATCTACGTGACTTTACTGAAAAAACCAAAGAGTACAGAATATATAGTGAGAGGCTAGCAGTGGAGAAGCTAGCAGAGTGTATAGTGAGAGGCTAGCAGTAGAGAAGCTAGCAGAGTGTATAGTAAGAGGCTAGCAGTAGAGAAGCTAGCAGAGTGTATAGTGAGAGGCTAGCAGTAGAGAAGCTAGCAGAGTGCGTAGTGAGAGGCTAGCAGTGGAGAAGCTAGCAGAGTGTATAGCGACAGGCTAGCAGTAGAGAAGCTAGCAGAGTGTACAGTGAGAGGCTAGCAGTGGAGAAGCTAGCAGAATGTATAGCGACAGGCTAGCAGTAGAGAAGCTAGCAGAGTGTATAGCGACAGGCTAGCAGTAGAGAAGCTAGCAGAGTGTATAGTGAGAGGCTAGCAGTGGAGAAGCTAGCAGAGTGTATAGCGACAGGCTAGCAGTAGAGAAGCTAGCAGAGTGTGTAGTGAGAGGCTAGCAGTGGAGAAGCTAGCAGAGTGTATAGCGACAGGCTAGCAGTAGAGAAGCTAGCAGAGTGTATAGCGACAGGCTAGCAGTAGAGAAGCTAGCAGAGTGTATAGCGACAGGCTAGCAGTAGAGAAGCTAGCAGAGTGTATAGCGACAGGCTAGCAGTAGAGAAGCTAGCAGAGTGCGTAGTGATAGGTTGGAAGTGGAGAGGCTAGCAGAGGGTACGGTGGGAAGCCACCAGAGTGCGCCGTGATAGGCTAGCAGCGGAGAGGGTAAGAGAGTGAGAGAGAGAGCAGGCTAGCAGTGGAGAAGCTGAGAGAGCGGAGTGAGTTCTGTTTGAATAAAAGCGACACAGGAGAACAAGAAGTTGTCCGCGTGAAATAAAAACACTCCGCTGGTGTAGTGGAATAGGTCACTATGGCGTGTAGCGCTGCTTGCTGGAAAAAAGGGGACCTGCTGTTGAAGCAGCCCTGTCGGTCAGCAGGTCAGGGGATAGGCTGGAGGAAGGGATGTGGGGAAAGGATGACAGAGGGGGCAGGTGAAGCAAGCCGGGGACCTTCTCGGAGTTCATATTCTTAGGATTTTTCGGTAAAGTCACGTAGGTAAAAAATGAAAATTAATAAAAGTAAAATAAATAAATAAAAATCACGACGTTTTGTAGGCAACACAAGCTTCCGTCTTCAGGTGGAACAGTCACAGCACGATAGCTGTATCAAGTGAGAGAAATTCCAAGAAAACCGTATTTTTATTACCTTGTTATCTCGGCATCTCTTTAGGAAGGCCAGCGTCTCGAGAAGCTGTGACTTCTTGTCTCGTTGTCTGTTAAAAACTCTAACAGATAGGTGGAATCCCTCCCCGTAGAGGGAAAGCTTCAAATCTAGAACCTTCTCGGAGGTTCTAGAAGGGGGCGTGGCAGAGGGGGCAGCGAGGCTTCGCTGGGGGGATAAAAGGGAGACCCCGGAGAGGACTCGTTGTTGTTGCTGTTGTTTGGAGTGGAATCCGTGGAGCTGCGCAAGTCTCCGTCATCACCTTCGACATCGTCTTCATTGTTGTTGGTCAGGCAGCCTGTTGCTGTCCTGACCCTGTGCCTGTGAAGGCGATCATAAACAGAGTGCCTCCTGAATACTAGTGTCTCTAAAGTGCATCACTACACTAGTAACGAATTGGCATGTTCTGTTTACGTGACAAACCTTACTAATTGGCTGTGGCGGGTTTAAGGACACATTAATATATTTATGCCATCTAACCCAAAAAACCCGTATTATGGATGATATTGGTCACGAAAGCCTACGTGCTAAACTGGAGTTGTAGTGTTGTACGTGGCAGAAGCCGGGACGCTGAGCAAGGAAGCCATGACAAGACTGAGATGTGGGTTGTGGTATCAAAGGGAGGAAATCAGTTGAATTGACAGAGAGATTTGAGGTTGAGGAGAATAAAAGTGTCAACAGAACAATCCCACGAGATGTGGATTGGGCGCATTCTCAGAAGTGAAAAGTTAAATGAAGGCAGCTCTTGAAGGAAGGATGACGTGAAAAAATACTGCTTGGAAACTTAAAGGAGGTAAAGGCGGGGAAGGGGGTGGCACGTACAGTGAGATGAAGAAGCTCAAGATCGGACAGAGTGCAGAGGGTTTGTCCCAATTCCTGCGATTGGCGAGAGGACTCCAGAGAGCTGTGATGGTGGCACTCGTGCGTGCGTGCATGTTCGTGTGCGTGTGGGTGTCTGTGTGTGTGCGTGTTAACATGGTGCGTTACGAACCCAGCGACCTGAGTTCGATCCACGCGCACTGCTAACATCAGTGACGAATATCTGAACCGGTCCTCGGCCTCCCTGAGTTTGACTCAGCCTTAAATGAGTACCTGGTGCGGTGTGTAAACATCACCACTAGGGAAACAGGCGGCCGGGCATGGTGCTGGCCACCCACCCTCTTGTGTGCCATGCCGGCCTTCACAGGTGCTCGCTCACAGCACTTGCCCCAACAGTGTGTTCAGGCTACACGGGGGATCTTTGTGTGTGTGCGCGTGTCCGCTGCCAGGGGGTGTTGTGCGCTTTGTTTGCGCTGTCAGCATTGCACACAATGCAGCTCTTCGCGGTTCGATTCTGTGGAGTCAAGTTAGGGTCATGGCTTTCATTAAGTGCGCGTTTTCTGTTTGCCATTGCAAAACGCGACGTATTTTCTTGCTGCGATAAAAAAAAATACCATGGCGGTGTGCAGCAGGGAATTAGCATAGCGCTGCCCCTTGACATTATGGATGCAATCTGCAATCGACCGGTGAAGGTGCTGCTGACGATTGAAACGCGTCCCATTAGCGCTGACAACTGCAACCGTTGTTATGGACCAGAGAGGAGTGTGTTCTGTCATTGGTCATCTCAAGTCAATCGACCCATGGCACCTGGGTCTGTCCCGTGACCTTCTGCCAGCGGGCGTTCGACACTTCACGTGGCCTTAAAGTGCACCTCGCCTGGCCCAGGCGCCGTGGTGACGTCAGCCCCACTCAGTGGTCAATGGCGTTTGTTGTCGTTGGCAGCACAAGGCCGTTTCCACTGCATGGAGAACGCTCACGTGAGCGCAATATGGGGCCCGTATCACTCTTCCTGTTGCACCAAGACTTTACTTGAAGCAGTGCAGTCGACGTTTTATAATAACACATTCCTGCGGAGGGAGCTGGTAGGAACGTTGGGTTGCTCGGTCAATGGCCAGGGTCAACGGCGGCGTGGGGTATTCCGCAAATATACCCGACTGTGAGGGCGGGCACAAGCCGGCGTGAGTAGGTTAAACGTTGAGTTTTATAAAGGCACCACGGGGTCACCAGCCCCTCCCCACCCAGCCCCACTCCCACCCCCCACCCAGCCCCACCCTCCCCACCCTCCCCACCCAGCCCCTCCCTACCCAGCCCCTCTCCACCCAGCCCCTCCCTGCACAACGGACACAATAATCCCCTGTGGGCTGCTGTAACCTGGCGGTTGCTAGCAGTATAACAGTGAATCCCTCTTATATTACAACTGCAGCATCGAGAGATGTGGTGGCATTCAGATGCTTCCTAAATCAAGATGGATTATATTCATTAATTGCTTATGAGTGTCAAACAACGCACAGAAATGTGTAAAAAGCACTCAGCCCTTGTGCATTGTGCACAGAAATCCATCAGCCGGTTCCTGAAGAATGGCTCTGTGTTCCTCATGTCATAGGTCACCATCGCAAGTACATTTGAGCGATTGTGATGGGGTGGAAAGGCGACAGTGATGCAGAGTTAAAGAATTGCAGATGGGTTTCTCACCAGGACAAGACTCGTCAGTATAGCATGGTCACCAATGCTTACGGCTGCGGAGTCTGCCTTCTGGGAACCATATACGTGGAGTCCCCTCTTGATAGCTGCTCATTGACCGTATCATCGCAGTACGGGCAGCCTCGCAGTAATTGCCAGATAATTGTTGCTATGTATTATCTCTGCAGCAATTGGATGTAATTACTCATCCATTTCAAAGCTATCATCATGCCCTCTTGTTGCACGTGTTACAACAAGGCGTGCGCTCGATGTGCGAGCTAACAGGCGCTTTGCTCCGACAGTCCCATTGCAAGCGATACGGGGGATCTTCGTTGGCCTGTTTGCACCATAATGAGCACTGTGGCCACCATAGGCGAGTCACTGCAGGAAAGACTCGAGACTCTGCAAAATGCGTTTAACAACGATCGCGCCGATGATGTGTAAATACGTACTGAACATTCGCGCCGTAATGTGGTGGGCATGTGCTGTGTGCGCCCCCTCCGTATGCCAGTTTATCAACTGATGTCGTGCGTGGTGCCCCCCACTGGGCCCCACTCTGAAGTTCTCACCGAGACCGAGGAGTTCGCAATAGGTCAGTATGGATGTGTTCCGTCCGTTGATGCGATAAATGAAACCGTTTGCTTTTTTTCATCAAATATGATTCTCTGACAAATCAAGGTTCCCAATCTTCATACGTTCTGAACCACTTAGTATGTTATATTTGTAACCTCTACGTGTATATATCTGCCTCTGTATTAACAATGTTACTTAGTACATAATGGTATGGGAAGTGGCTCATCAAAAAATATAAACACACGAATGTTTTCCATCTGTTGCCTCAATCTGTACCGTGAATAATTATTTGACACCTACTAGGAGGCTTTCAAAACCAATATTATCCACAATAGAGGTTTTTTTGGGGTTGGATTGCGTAAATATAAATGTGTCGTTAAACCCGCCACCACCCAACACAGACAATTGGTAAGGTTTGTCACGTAAATAAAACGCGCCAATTCGTTACTAGTACAGCACACCAGTGTGTTGGAGAGTAAACCCACTACAACATTTACAATGTGAGTTAACGACGTTTTACCGGTAATTACAATCAGCCTCATCAGGCGACAGGCAGAATTCTGAACTAGTAACTAATTGGCTGTGGCGGGTTTTAACGACACATTTATATTTACGCGAACTAACCCAACAAAAACTCTATTATGAATGTTTTTTTTTCCCACACACCATTTGTGAGCACTTTCAAGTTATTTTATCAAACATTCTGCAAACGTGATGTCGTGCCATTGTAGCTGTACGTGACATTTGTATTTGCAGGTAATGTGATTAAGTACAGATGTTTGCCTGGGTTCACACTTGTCGGAAAGGAAGAGATAACATGCAAACTTAAATCACGCCTCGAACCAGATGGGACTCCACCGTCATGTGAAGGTAACACGCGTGTGTGTGTGTGCATGTGCGTGGCTGGAGCCGTGGTGCAGCGGTTAGCACGCCGCGCTACAAACCCGGCAAACTGAGTTTGATTCCCACTGACGGCCGATATCAGTGACGATTATTGGAACCGGTCTCAAATGAGCCCCTGGTGCGATGTGTAAACGTCGCCACAGCGGAGACAAAGGCGCCGAGGCGTGGTGCTGGCCACCCACCCCCTCGTGTGCCACGCCGGCCTTTACAGGCACTCGCTAACAGCACTTGCATGGCCCAGCAGTGTTTCTAGGTTATACAGGGGATCTTTGTTTTTGTCTGGTACCGTCCTCTTTCCGGAGGATTGGCGGCATCTCCTCCACTTCTCGCCATCCTGCCCAGTCTCAACCGCGTTGTCCATCTGCATCTCCATTGCCGTCTCGCCCCACCTCGGGATCTGTGCGCATGCGTACACAGATTGTGCTCCGGTCTCCCTAGAGACCTGCGGGGTTTGAGAACAGGACGTCGTGAATCCGACCTTCGCACGCGGGCTGTGAGGACCGTTTTAATGATCAGACATTAAGCATACAATTGTGGCACCTTTTTTCCTCTTAAGATATCACTGAGGTCATTTTATTTTGAAATGAGTAAAACATTTTATCACCACAAATTCACTACAACAAAAACAATTGACCATATTACCAATACAAATGAACACGGAACATTATTAAAAATGCGTATGAGTTGTGCAATAATCACGTCACTTTCAACTCGTAATCTGCAACAAGGAATCGCAACAAGATATTTTAAATAATCGTTAAAAAATTCTACAAATAATATTGAAACAAGTGCTTGTTAAGCAACATCAGCAGGTGTGGGCTGGAGGCATCCATAATGCACTGCTTCTCCAGCACTGTTGGAAACGTGTCCCCGGCACGCGTTGCCGCTCCACCCCGGAGGTGCCACACCGGCCTCGCGTGTACGTTGAACTTCTTTCGCGCCGTACGTAGCCGGCCGTGCTAATCGGAGGTGCGAAACTTCGAAACAATTTTTATTTTATCAGGTAAGGGCCACTGAGCTACGTAGCTCGTTTTCATAAGGGACCTGGCCACAAATGATATCTCAAACGAAGTGGCTAATCACGTGCAAATTTATAGCGGCCAAATACTCTGAACATTAAGCGGTCTACCAGATGCGTTTGGTCCTGGACAGGTTGGTATTAGCGTGGTTGTGTCATACCGAGGAAAATACATGAATATGTTGAACTTCTTTTGAACCTTACCTAGCCAACCACGCTAATCGGAGGTGTGGTGGTTGGACAACAAACTAAACACGAAAGCAGTTAGAAAGAAATGAGTTTGTCAATCTAGATGATTTTAAAATGCATAGCCCCCCAGTGGCTTCCAAATATCGGAAGGAAGAGCGTTCCAGACGGCCGCAAACGGTTTGCCAAAATGTGGTAAAATGAGCTCTTAAAGTGTCCAAATAAAATTTTCCTAACGAGTCCAACTTGCTTGAAACCTTCCATTTAGATTCTCTTGCTTGCCCCTGGTGGTTGTTTTAGGCCGTTGGTGATCGGCTCTCCCTGGCCCGTGTGCTCACTGCAGTAAGAAGTGCCGCGTCGCGCCGAATGCTACGTGCTCACTTTCTTTCCCCACTTCCCTCCACAGCTCAGTGCCCAAACAACGAAGTCCGCACTGCGAGCTACGGCGTCATTTTGAGCCCCGAGTTTCCAAGAAACTATCCAAACTTTCAGACGTGCGCGTGGACGGTATCCGTCGAGAGGGGTTACAACATCACCGTGTCGGTGGAGTTTTTCCAGAGCGAGAAAGAATACGACTTGCTGGAAATATTTGACGGTGAGGACAGTCACGAGCTTGCATTTGACAAACGTTCGAGCGATTTGTTCTTCTTGGTCTTGGGCAATGATTGTTGTACAGGAATTTACAGAGACACTACGTAAATCTGTGAATATTAAGATTCACAAGGCCCTTGGGGGGGCCCTTGGAAACTCTTAAACTATGAAAAACTTTATATTTTACTAGGTAAGGCCCACTCAGCTACAAAGCTCTTTTTCAGAAGCGACTTAGCCATCACAAATACTAGCTCAATGAAGTGGCTTTTCACGTGGAAATTTATAGCAGCCAAATACTCTAAACGCATGTTTTTAAATGTAGAGGAAAAAAACCAGAGGACCCGGAGAAAAATCCACGCGACCAACATACAGGCGTCAGGGTCGGGATCGAACCCCCAACGTTCTGCATACTAGGCGAGGTAGTTAACATCTCGTGAGGTAGTTAACATACAGACGAGGTAGTTGACATCTCGTGAGGTAGTTAACATACAGGCGAGGTAGTTGACATCTCGTGAGGTAGTTAACATACAGGCGAGGTAGTTGACATCTCGTGAGGTAGTTAACATACAGGCGAGGTAGTTGACATCTCGTGAGGTAGTTAACATACTAGGCGAGGTAGTTAACATCTCGCGAGGTAGTTAACATACTAGGCGAGGTAGCTGACATCTCGTGAGGTAGTTAACATACTAGGCGAGGTAGTTGACATACTCGGCGAGGTAGTTAACATACTAGGCGAGGTAGTTAACATCTCGTGAGGTAGTTAACATACTAGGCGAGGTAGCTGACATCTCGTGAGGTAGTTAACATACTAGGCGAGGTAGTTGACATACTCGGCGAGGTAGTTGACATACTAGGCGAGGTAGTTAACATACTAGGCGAGGTAGTTAACATCTAGCCCCACCGCGGCGCCTATATTGTTTTATATGGCCAACTAGAAAAGTTCATGGGTCGGTGGAATTCGCGTCCGGTAAAAGATTGAACCACCTTCAGCCTCTCCTGCTCTGCCAATCCCCCATTGCAGGCATCAATGGCGAGAGCCCCGTGCTGCTGACTTTAAGCGGCAACCACTCACACCCCGTGAACGTGACCAGCCACGGCCACCACGTCCACCTGCGGTGGGCGGCCGACCAGGCCACGAATAAGAAAGGCTTCCGCATCCGATATGGAGGTGGGTGGGGGGTGGGGGGGTGTAATCTCGCGCGCGTACATCGTTGTCTTACTGTTCATTTTAACCCCATTAAACGTCGCAACTAAGAAGTCACTGGAAGCACAATCAATGCCCTACGCGTGGACTATGCACGCCTAATGATCCGAACCGTCTTCTTCTTGTGCCCACCTCCAGCGGCCTACTGCAGCACCCCCCCACCGCCCCAGCACGGCTCCCTGCAGAGCCAGATCGGGGGCCACGTGGGCGGCACGGTGCGCTGGGTGTGCGACCCCGGCTACCGCATGGTGGGGCGCGGCTCGGCCGTGTGCCGGAGCACGCCGCGGGGCTGGCTCTACTGGGATGGCCCGGTGCCGGCCTGCCAAGGTGCGCACACAACTCCTCCTTCACCGGGCGGCTCCTCCACACCCAGGAAGAATCGCTCTCTCCCTCCTCTCTTCTGCCAGTTGAGCGTGCAGTGGCATACGTAATTTGGAGCTTTCGTGACTGCAGGAATTACTCTTTGGTTCTTTCGGTAAAGTCACGTATAAAGAGAAAATAATAAATAGTATTTAATTTATTATTTTCTCTTTATATGTGACTTTACCGAAAGAACCAACATGCAGTGGCAGCCCAGGGCCCAACAGTCGAATGTGCAGTGGCAGCCCAGAGCACAAGCAAATCAAGCAAACTATTAAACTTTATATATTTTTATTTTATTTTACTAGGTAAGGCCAACTGAGCTATACAGCTCTTTTTCAGAAGCGACTTGGCGACATTATAGCTCAACGAAATGGATTATAATGGGGAAATTTATGCCAGCCAAATACTCTAAACGCATGTTTCTAAATGCGGAGGGGAATACCGGAGGATCCGGAGAAAAATCCAAGTGAATACACGGAGAACATGCAAATCCACAACCTCCTGTATACCAGGCGAAGTAGTTAGCACCTCGCACCCCAAGCAGCTTTAGGGGCGCCCAGATTCATGAAACAATTGGAGTTCATCAAGAATCAGCTCAAGTTCAAATCCTCAAAAAATAATTCACGGAAAGAGTAAATTAATCTCTCATTGCTATCTTGTCGGTGACTATATTCCTATTATCATGGTTGGCTATGTACGGTGCGAAAGAAATTCAACATACATACATAGTCCCAGCTCACTGCATCCCTATTTTATCTACATCTTTGTTATCTCGCTGTATCTCTATTTCTTGTCTACATCTTCTCTGCTTGTCACCAGGAAGTTAAACTTTGGAAGAGGTGAGGTGGTGGGGGGGGAGAGGTCTCCAAAAAATATTTTCAGCTTAGGGCCCCCCGATGGGGGGGGGGGGTGGCGGCACCACCACTGGTACTAGGGCGGCCGACGAGGAGGCCGGACGTCTCTCTGCCCGCGGCGATCGCCTCCCTTCAGTCCTCCCCCTTGAGGCCATCGATCCACCGCTCGCGCACGCGGCCCCCACTTCTTGCTCCTTCCACGCGGCAGTGCAGATCCACTCAAAACGGTCGTTTGTCAAACTCCCATTCTCTTTGCGCGCGTCCGAACCGAAGAAGTCTGCTTTCGTTGTTATTAAAGGGATTGGCGACGCTGCGTGTGCGGTGCTGCACGAGCACAATTGGCGACGAATGTGTTGACTTATTTTTCAATTTTTGCACGGCCAAATATCTTGCGCCCAAGCAAGCTTCTCACGGGCCAATGTCATTGTTTTGACCGCTCACGATACTGCCCAAGATCCTGAGCCAATTCATTTCTGCTCCTCATCAGTCATTTCTATTTTGGCATCAGCATTTCAGATGCATCGCAGATGAGTGCGCTCTGTCGAGCAAAACTATTTTACGCTGCTAAATTAGTAAAAATTCAATCTTTGCATGGAAACCTCTGATGAATATAATATTTGAAGTAAAATTAGTTATGTATTTTATCTTAGGTCTGGATTATTAAAGTCATTATCAAAAGGTCACGAAAGGATCAATTATTTCAGCGTAAAATTCCTTATTATTTTTAAATATCACAAAACATGAATATGGAGATTTAAAAGCGTATATATTTTGTAATGATTTTCTTAATAAGAAATAATCCATCGTCAGCCCTGGTCACTCCACTGCTGGATGAAGGCCTCACTAATCCACCGCCATCTCTCATGGTCTCGGGATGTAACGATCCACCCAGCTCCGGCGGCACGCGAGCTGATTTCTTTGCTCCATCTCCGTGGCACGTATGTGTACGTCGTCGGGAATGGGGTCATACATTTTTTTTCTATGCAATTCCGATGATGTAAACTAAAAGAAAATACGTAGGCTTTCGCAACCAATATTATTCATAATCAACGTTTTTTGGGTTAGATCCCATTATTGATAACGTTGAAGTGTTGTGTAAAACTAGTTACTACTGGCAAAGACTAATTAGAGAATCCATTGAAATTGAGAGAAACAGAAATAACATTAACCGCTCAGACAGCTACAGACTTAGTGCGGCCTGGAAGCGTATTATTAAATAATACATATTACAATTCCTTATAGGGGAAACAAATACTAATTAACCGATTACTAACGTAGCATATAATTACAATAACACACATTACAACTGATTACTAATCTACAACTAACATCGTAACAATTGCCTGATTATTAATCTAGTATATAATTACAATAACCTCCGCCTCAAATCACTGCACCTGATGAGTTCAATGATGACGTCACCCTGCTGCTGTTCTATTTAAGACCGGGAGCAAGAGCAGAGCCTCACCATTCTGGCGAATTGCCCGATGATGCTGAATGCAATTACCAGCGAAACGTCGTACTCAAAAAATTGTAAATGTTGTGGTTTCACGCTTCAACACACCGGTGGGCTAAAGCAGTGACCTATTTGTCTTTTGTCAACGTGACACTTTTTTTTGATGATTGGCCGTGTCGGGTGATGGAGGGTTACGACACATTTATAAATAACGCGATCTAACCCAAAAACGTTGATTATGAATCAAAGAAAATATCTCAAACAAACTCAGATATCTTTATCGCTACGTCTTCAGGTCGGTAGACGTACTGAGGCTTCCACAAGGCAATGCGTGAGGGCACATGGCACAGTTTGGCGCCGGCTATCGTACAGTGAGGTGGTTGTGTCGCTGCAGTTCACTGCGGTGAGTAGCGACATCTTTAAAAGTAGCGGCACTACTCCTCTCTAAAGATAATTAACACTTACCGCTTGCGCGTTCCGAGATTCGGCGGTGAACGCGACACCACCCTGCAACTTGCAGACGTTTCGGAACGGCAAAGGGTTTACATGCATATGTTCTATAATCCATTTGTTCCCTGTTACGTCTCGACGGAATTCTCGGCATGCAATATCTCCATGCTTCTTTGTGCACTCTTCAGTTTTTGTTCCGTACATTTCTCAATGACCATTATTCTGAAGCGGTGCATGCTCATTAAAAAAAACTAATTTAGAAGATTTATTTAGACTGGAGGAGGAATCCAATGACCTATGAAGCACGGGCTCAGAAAGTTACAACAACAAAATTACAAAGGCACGATAGGCGTACAAAGTATAGGAAAGCTAAGGAAGTGACTAAATATAGAAAAAATATAAATAAAGTGTTTTAGTGAAAATGAGGTACGTCGCTGCGTTACTTTTCATTATCAGGTTCAGCTTTCCAACGGCCCTCCAGCCAGCTCTCATCTGCCTCCTTGTGTCATCATTTTGACGCCGGGGATCACCTTCAACAACCGCCGGGCTCAAATCGTTTTAGCCATCCGCCAATGGGTCTTCTGGACCGAAGTCTTCCAGCGACATTCGCTTACGCAGGCAACAACACATCTGGGCCACTTTTGACTTATCTGCGTCTCGTCACTCGGCTGCGGTCAGTTAAGCACATTCTGCTGGATACCCTCAAGTTATCGGCAAGGGCCTTGATTGTTCCGTAAAAGAGCTTTTAGCGCAATGGGCCTCGCCAAGCTGAGGTAGACCGAGTTGAAAAATATTCCCCTCCGACGCCCGATTAGAGTGGCTGAGACGCGCTCACAGTGATGGATAAACGTCGCTTGCGGCCCGCTTGAATAAGTGATAGGGCTGACATGGCCACTGGCCGTGCGCAGTCCGGAGTGCCGAATTAAATGAAGTCACAGGTCCTATCCAGCCCACCCACGGGCCATAGGTCTCTCCACCCCACCCCCGCCCCCCGGGGTTAAAGTATGTGAAGATAACTTGAAATGCGCGGCAAGCCCTCACTAATGAGGCGTGACCGCACATCATTAGCAAACTACATTTTAGTCCCATCAGCGCGCCACCCCCCACATACTATAATGTGAACGGAGCCAGATATTTACTCTCTCTCGACCGGTCGTGTCCAATAGAGCAATTGTGCATGCTGCGGAATGTCGACAGCTGCGGCCGCTACGTCAAGTCCTGGAGTCGGCGGTCAAGCCGTGGGTGTGCGGCGAGTGGTTGCGATCACCTCTCTCAGTCTCGTCCGCGCCTCGAACGATGGCAGCTTGCTCCCTCCGTGCGCCTCGCGAATCCCTTGCACGGCAACTTCAGATGAAGCAAATGACCACTGTCACGTTCCTCACTCAGGTCAACAAATAAACCCCGGATCTCCCTGATCCTCACAGCCCTTCACTGGCTCCCTATCGCATGCCAGAACACAACTGTAAAGATTGTGTTCTTAATGTCGCAAACTTTCTACATGAATCTGCTCCTGGCCTCCCCTCTCTCTATCATCTTGCTCTCTACTCCCCTCACTGGAGGTAGAAGAATATCGAAATTGTATTATTTTTTACTCTAAATGCAAATTTCCCTTTTCACAGAAGGTGTTTATTACAGACTGGTTATTTCCTACATTGATCATCACTCTTGATTTGAGCTCCAATCGGATTTATTGCCGTTGTCTTCAAAGTAAAAAACAAGTGTCATTTATATTCTCACAGTTATTAATCGATTTTCTTTATTAATGAGTCCAACTGAGTCGCAAACGTTGTTTCTTTTCGAGGCAACACATTTATTTGTAACACCGTAACACACAGGGATAACTGGCCCTTTACCAGATACAGCCTAGGGTGGTGACCACCCAGCTAACTGCTCTATACAGGGGAATTACTGCTACGAAGGGTCGGACCCTCGCTCGGGTCTCCGACCACGTGGTCCCCCGTAGGACGAGGCGCTTCCAGCTTGAGACGCAGAGCTTCCCGCTTGTAGAACGAAAAGAGACCCCGGTCCCTCCCATGGACCCGCCTTATATCCCTCTCCGGTCGGGGCCGCTCCGCCCTCGGCCCCGCCCGCCTTTCCAAACATTCTCGTTCTCTCTCGTTCCTTCTCAAGAGCTCTCTCCGGACACGTGATCACCCACTAGCCCCCCCCCCCAACCTGGGGCCTCCTGTGTGGACACTCCGGATCACGTGTCTACGGGGTCAACCAGAGTGCCATGGCCCGTGGCAACCCTTCCCCTGGGCTGACACTCTCCCACTCCCCCTCGTGGGAACCCCCACCACACGCTGCGCATGGTGCCCGCACTATCCCAGTGCTCGCCAAGCCCCGCTAGGGCTGTGTCCCACACAGCCACCCCCACGGTGCTGTCCACACTAGGGCTGTGTCACACACAGCCACACACACGGTGCTGTCCCCACTAAGGCTGTGTCACACACAGCCACCCACACGGTGCTGTCCCCGCTAGGGCTGTGTCACACACAGCCACACACACGGTGCTGTCCACACTAGGGCTGTGTCACACACAGCCACCCACACGGTGCTGTCCCCGCTAGGGCTGTGTCACACACAGCCACCCACACGGTGCTGTCCCCACTAGGGCTGTGTCACACACAGCCTCCCACACGGTGCTGTCCCCACGAGGGCTGTGTCACACACAGCCACACACACGGTGCTGTCCACACTAGGGCTGTGTCACACACAGCCACCCACGCGGTGCTGTCCACACTAGGGCTGTGTCACACACAGCCACACACACGGCGCTGTCCACACTAGGGCTGTGTCACACACAGCCACCCACGCGGTGCTGTCCACACTAGGGCTGTGTCACACACAGCCACTCACACGGTGCTGTCCCCACTAGGGCTGTGTCACACACAGCCACACACACGGTGCTGTCCCCACGAGGGCTGTGTCACACACAGCCACCCACACGGTGCTGTCCCCACTAGGGCTGTGTCACACACAGCCACCCCCACGGTGCTGTCCACGCTAGGGCTGTGTCACACACAGCCACCCCCACGGTGCTGTCCCCACTAGGGCTGTGTCACACACAGCCACCACACGGTGCTGTCCACGCTAGGGCTGTGTCACACACAGCCACACACACGGTGCTGTCCCCACTAGGGCTGTGTCACACACAGCCACCCACACGGTGCTGTGTCCACTAGGGCTGTGTCACACACAGCCACACACACGGTGCTGTCCCCACTAGGGCTGTGTCACACACAGCCACCCACACGGTGCTGTCCCCACTAGGGCTGTGTCACACACAGCCACCACACGGTGATGTCCCCGCTAGGGCTGTGTCACACACAGCCACACACACGGTGCTGTGTCCACTAGGGCTGTGTCACACACAGCCACACACACAGTGCTGTCCCCACTAGGGCTGTGTCACACACAGCCACCACACGGTGATGTCCCTGCTAGGGCTGTGTCACACACAGCCACCCCCACGGTGCTGTCCACGCTAGGGCTGTGTCACACACAGCCACCCCCACGGTGCTGTCCCCACTAGGGCTGTGTCACACACAGCCACCCCCACGGTGCTGTCCACGCTAGGGCTGTGTCACACACAGCCACTCACACGGTGCTGTCCACACTAGGGCTGTGTCACACACAGCCACCCACACAGTGCTGTCCCCGCTAGGGCTGTGTCACACACAGCCACTCACACGGTGCTGTCCACACTAGGGCTGTGTCACACACAGCCACTCACACGGTGCTGTCCACGCTAGGGCTGTGTCACACACAGCCACTCACACGGTGCTGTCCACACTAGGGCTGTGTCACACACAGCCACCCGCACAGTGCTGTCCCCACTAGGGCTGTGTCACACACAGCCACACGCACGGTGCTGTCCACGCTAGGGCTGTGTCACACACAGCCACACACACGGTGCTGTCCACGCTAGGGCTGTGTCACACACAGCCACCCACACGGTGCTGTCCACGCTAGGGCTGTGTCACACACAGCCACACACACGGTGCTGTCCCCACTAGGGCTGTGTCACACACAGCCACACACACGGTGCTGTCCACGCTAGGGCTGTGTCACACACAGCCTCCCACACGGTGCTGTCCACGCTAGGGCTGTGTCACACAGCCACACACACGGTGCTGTCCCCACTAGGGCTGTGTCACACACAGACACACACACGGTGCTGTCCACGCAAGGGCTGTGTCACACACAGCCACACACACGGTGTTGTCCACGCTAGGGCTGTGTCACACACAGCCTCCCACACGGTGCTGTCCACGATGTAGGAACATCTAATGCACGACCCTCCCAGGCCGGCACCATACAGTGACATCTCTGATGTCACGATAAAAATAATAATCTTGATTTTGATTGTTTTTTTTTCTTCCTCAGCAATAACATGCGGTGTCCCTAACCTGCCGGACAATGGCATTGTAGTAGGAGCTGAGCACACGGTGGGATCCGAGGTGACGTACCGGTGCAATCTGGGGTGGATGCTGTTGCCCGGAGATTCTATCAGTGCCGAGTGCCTGGCAAGCGGCGAGTGGAGCAACAAGAACAGGCCCCCGGTCTGTGCCGGTAGGTGTCCGCCCTTCCTCGTTTTACCCCCATCGCTTTATCAGAATCAGCATATTCATTTATACTGGAGGAATCCGATGAGCTATAAAGCTCTTTTTCACAGATGTCCAGGAGGGGTGGGTGAGAAGGTTACAACAACAAACTGTATAGTAGTGCAGAGTACCAGAAAAGTAAACAAATCACCCAAACAAATACAAATTAAACAAAACCATCCCCATCCTACCGGGCAAAGTCCACTGAGGTTTTAACTTATTTTTCAGAAGCGACCTGGCTACAAATGATAGCTAAAAAATTGCCCATCATTTGGACATTTATAGCACCAAAAATAATCTAAATAATCTAAGCGCACGTTTCTTAATGTCGAGGGACAAATTGTAGTAACCACGCGACCACGGGGAAAGAGACACGCAAACTCCACATATACAGCAGCAGGCGTCGGTGTTGGTATCAAACTCCCGACCTCCGGCATACACCAGGCGAGGAAGATGACGTCTCCTCGCCACCATGGCGCAGGGCTCAAACTCCATTTTGGACAACGCTTACTTTCGATGCAGACCTGGTTCCAGGATCCTGGTTATAGCAGCAACAACAACAACGAACAGAACCATCCAACAACAGCTGTTTACCTGGTCAAGTTTCCGAATGGCAAGGTCGTGCATCAAGGTGGTATAACCAGCGCACACACACACACAAAAAGCTAACAGAATGCATACACAATAAAAGCGACACATTTTCAGAGTAGAATTTCGTTCCAGGTAATATAATGTTGATTTATGTTTGCGTACTGTTTTTTTTATTTCCTCTGTAATGTGGTAGCTTCTGCGCCGATTTGAATTTTTGCTTTATTTGATGTACTTTGTTTTTTGTGTGATTACTTTGGTCGTTTTTGGTGACTCGGTGTCACTATTTGCAAATGCGACTCTCATAAACGCCTTTCCCCCCCTGACGAAACAAATCAACTTGTGCTTGGCTGTGTGGCAAGGCCGCATTGACAAAACAATCACAACGCTGCTGCTGCTATCATCGCCTGCCGCTCACACTTTTGGGGAGTAAGTTTAACACGTAGTAGTAATTGGAGGCTTTTATGACCAATATTGTCCATAATAGAGGTTTTTGGGTTAGATCGCATAAATATAAATGTGTCGTTATACCCACCACCAACCGACACAGCCAATTAGTAAGGTTTGTCACGTAAACAGAACACGCCAATTAGTTACTAGTTCAGCACACCGGTGTGTTGGAGAGTAAATCCACAACATTTACAATTTGAGTAGTACGACGTTTCACTGGTAATTACATCCAACATCATCGGGCGATTTGCCAGAATAGTGAAGCAATCCACCTACTTACAGTCTTAAATAGAGCAAGATGACGTCATCACTACCAATCAGGTGCGGAGAGCAGAGGGGGGGGGGGTGTTGTAATTATATAACAATAAATTGTTAATCACATACTCTTTGGTTCTTTCGGTAAAGTCACGTAGGTATAAAATAAAATAAATCACGACGTTTCGGGCGCAACACAAGCATCCGTCATCAGGTGGGAAAGCAGAGTCTGCTGCTGAGGCAGACTGTTTTAAAAGGTTTGAAATGGGTGTAGCCCAAGGGTCATAAAGAAGTGGCCGGGGCTCGTGATGTTAATGTGAGAAATTAGAGGGCACGGAAGTGGCTATGTTAATGTGACAGATTAGCATGATGTTAATGTGAGAAATTAGAGGGCACGGAAGTGGCTATGTTAATGTGAGAGATTAGCATGATGTTAATGTGAGAAATTAGAGGGCACGGAAGTGGCTATGTTAATGTGAGAGATTAGCATGATGTTAATGTGAGAAATTAGCATGTAACTGTAGAAAAGAAGGAGAGCGGCCTCCTCGACGAGGGAGTGCAACCCAACGGGTGTAATCCACAGGGCCTGTGAGTATGAGAGTGCAATCCAAAAGACATGTGAGCATGAGAGTGCAATCGAAAGGCATGAGAGTGCAATGCAACGCACATGTGAGCATGAGAGATCGAAGCGAGAGGCACAGAGAGAGACACACAGAGAGTCGAAATAACAGCTGACATAGGCAGGTAGGATGGAAACATCACAGTCAGTTAAGACTTTACCTGGTTAATAACGTCCTTCCAATGATTGCTCAGTTTGTACCCATCCTCTCGGTTGAAGTTGTGTCTGTGTTTATATATCTGGATGGCTTCATGAAAAAATCTCTGAAGGTAGCCGGTAGGTTTGCAGAGTACCTCCGTCTTGGAAAAATCTATTTCGTGTGAGCCTACAGCGTTAAAACAATGATCGGCAACGGCAGAGGTATTGATCCTACCGTGTTTCAGATCTGCCTTGTGTTCACGGATGCGGTCCGATACATGTCCGATACATGTCGTTTCACAGTTGATTAGCATGTGTTGCCTATACAAGGAATTACAATCGAAATGTGTATTGCATAATAATACGTGACGAACGTTACTGTGTTGGGTGGTGGAGGATTACGACACATTTATTCTTACGCGATCTAACCCATCAGACTGTGTGTGTACGCAGAGAGAGAGCGCTCGCGCGTCTCGACTGGCACGAAGCCGCTGCTCTGACGTGTGCTGTCCCCCCGCAGTGATGACATGTCCCAGCATCAGCAGATTCGTGTTGACACACGGGAACTGGCGATATCTTGGCGAGCCCAAAAATGAGTACAGGTCGCAGGTGCTGTTCGCTTGCAACCCCGGGTACCACCTGCAAGGCCTCAAAACCATCACCTGTGAAGCTAACGGAATGTGGAGTTGGCCTTCTAAGCAACCGCAGTGTGAAAGTAAGTTCATTCAGACTCGTATGTCACCATCTAAGTGATGCATGATCGGCTTGTGCAATGGCTAGTGTAAGCCTACCACGACGTGGCTACACAAGAGTTTGTTCTACAACGATAGTTTATTATGTACTCCGGTGTACACAGTGGTGTTGGTTGCCTTGGAAACCGTTTTGTGATTGTAAGTTGAGGCGCCGCCGCTGCCCCCGTGAGCGGCGGCGCTCGGGAACCTCTTCGCTCGCGCTCCTTAATTCCGTCGATGCTCCAGGAGGTGAATCGTACGTCATTGTTGCAGCGCACAGTAATGATGCAGCAACTGTCAACTAAACCCACGTCGACGCGCCGATTCCACCCCCTCTTCCCCCCCGCAGTCATATCGTGCGGCGAGCTGCCGACGCCTCCCAACGGAAATAAAGTTGGCACGCAGACCTGTTTCGGTTCCACCGCCATCTTCTCGTGCAACTCGGGATACACGCTGGCGGGCTCGCCGGGGAGGGAGTGCCTCAGCACGGGGCTGTGGAGCGGCACCGACGCCAGCTGCATTGGTGAGCGCCGGCTCCACCGCCGCCTTCGAGCCTCGGCGGCGTCGCTTTGGTGGTGCTCGTCGCCTTTTCGGTCTTCTCGGCCATAATTGTGGGCTCTCTTCTCTCCGTTTCCAAATCGCGAACTCGTCACGCAAAAAACACGCAAAAAACACATGCAGTGGATAGCAAAATTAGGGCTGACCCTCTAACAGCCCATCCCGGGTTTATCAATCCTTGATTGTGTGAGGAGCTGACAGACACTTGAAATATCTGGATACAATGCCCACACCAGTAAACTCCTCTGCCAGGTGAAGACCGAGTCAAGTTATTGCACAATCAGGCGCCGCGTGCCCACGCAGCTTCCGCGCACGAAGGGACAGAGGAATGACGTCCCTTAGTGGCCAGAGGTGGCACTCCGTGAATCGGCCCTGTTGGACCGGTGGCTGCCGTTGCTCAAAATCGACCAACTCCCTTCAAAACAGACGCACGACGACAGCCGGAAACCCACGATGATTATCTTCTCTAAACACCGACCCTTCCACCGCACGCACAGCCTGGGCCCGTAGAGCTCCCCTTTGTCAACAGTCCTGTGCCAGTGGAATAGGGCATCCATTTGGTAGCTGGTTCGTGACCTGTAATCCACGTGCGTGCCGACCCGAGCGCCTACGCAGGAAGCAGGCGAGCGGATTGGCTGGCGTCGCGAGGCCACCGTGAGTCACAGCACAAAGGCGCCGCTGTCCGGCCGACTGCTGACCGTGCACTTGCTCGCTCTGTGCTCTACCATGGTTGAGAGATGTTAACTAACTCGCCTGGTCGTGGGGGGATAGATCCCAACCCTGACGCCTGCATATTTGCAGTTTGCGTGTCTCTCTCCCCTTTTTCGCGTGGATTTTTCTCCAGGTCCTCCGGTTGTTCCCTCCACATTTAGAATCGATGTCAACCGTTTTAGAGTATTTGGCTACGATAAATCTCCACACGATGATAAGTCACTTCGTTGACCAATCATTTGTGATAGCCAGGTCGCTTCTGTAACAGAGCTGTATAGCGCAGTAGAATCTTACCTGGTAAAATAAAAAACATAGTTTATCGTTGAAATGCCACCACGGTACTCGGTTGCAGAACGTCGAGCCGAGTGCCGGCACCGATGCTGCCGCGGTGTCACGGTCGGCGCGCTGCACTCGCGATCCGGAGGTCGCCTGGTTCGATCTCCCATAGCAGTGGTCAGAACAGTGCGCGGGCAGAGCTTCTTGAACCGCCATCCGCCGCCTCCATCCAAGGTGTGGTGGGCGTTTGCCAAGCAAGCTCCCGGCGGCCATGCGAGCAAAAACGATGGACGTCGTGCCGACCGGCACGCGGCGCAAACCCGAAAACACGTGGGAGAGGTCTCCATGTCGTGTATACTTCTGTGTGTTGAACCTCTTTCACACTGTACGTAGCCGACCGCGCTAATAGGAGGTGCGGGTGAATAAGGACAACAAACTAAACACACACGTCGTAAATGTCCACGCGAGTCGAGCGCTGACACGTTTCTTTGTTCCATCCAGCGGGCCACTGTGGGGTGCTGGAGCCCATCGTGAATGGGCAGGTGGTCGGGGAGAGCTACGGTTACAGGGACACGGTCGTGTACCAATGCAGCCCTGGATTTCGTCTCATTGGCTCCTCCGTCAGGATTTGCCAACAGGACCACAACTGGTCTGGGAATTCGCCAGCGTGCGTGCGTAAGTGCCACTTCTTTTTTTTTATATTTCCGTCGTTAATGGAGGTTGTTATTCTGCGGTAATGGTGTATTTAAAAATACACGTGTTTAATTAAATAATCGCAAGCGCGTACGGATTCTGTAAAAATGTTATAATTAACTCAGAACCATGGTTACTAATGTTGTCAAAGCCATTGCAAAGCAGCCCTCGCCCTGTGGGTACATGTTTACCAATGTTGCGATGTGACGCCTGGCTTCCTTCTACAACGCACGGCACAGGCGCCGCGGTGGCGAGATGTTAGATACCTCGCCCAGTATAGAGGAGGTCGTGGGTTCGATCCCGACCCTGATGCTTGTATATTTGGAGTTTGCGTGTTATTTGCATGTTCTCCCCGTGGTCGTGTGGATTTTATTCGCGTCCTCCAGTTTTTTTCCCTCCACATTTAGGAGCACGCGTTGTAGAGTATTTGGCTGCAAAATTTTCCATGTGATAAGCCACTTCGTTGAGCTATCATTTATGGCCAGGTCACTTCTGAAAAAGAGCTACATAGCTCAGGGGGTCTTACCTGCTAAAATTAAAAATAAAATAAAATGTATATTTAATGAACACGGTGCACTGCAAAGTGTAAGCGAAGTCACCTCAATTCAGATGCAGAATCCTCATACTTCGCAACACACAGCGATACACTACCCTGTCCATTGCAATAACGCCGTCTAATTGTTCAGCGATACGATACCTGTCCATTGCAATAACGCCGTCTAATTGTTCATCCAGTCGGACTTGCTGAGTTTCAAGATGCCCTTTCATGAGGGTTCGACATTGGCATGTTTGCTAGTTTTATGTTCAGTGGAGTTTTGTGCGCCATCTCTCAGGTCGGTGTTTTTTTTCTATTGCTCCGTTAGCCATTGCCACCCACACACAAAATGGTGCATTCAGAAATGCCCGCTTCATTCACTTACACTTTGTGCCGTTAAATTACTTCGCGTGCGTCGTCGTTTTAGTTCCATTACTTTTACGGTCGTTAGGGCGGCGGGGATTGGTGAGGTGTGGTAGCATCACCGACATCGGTCGTGCTGACCTTATGACCTTGGCGGTGCGTGTGTACACGGTGTGTACGGTTCTGCTACGGACAAATCCGCGTGACGCTTGAAACTCTGAATGGTGAGCCTTGGTTCCCAACAGATGAACCGACGCCGCTCGATGTTCTCGTTCCACTCTGTCACCGAGAAATGAATCTCTGTACGGTAATACCGTCAACTCGCTTATAAATCAGCGGCTCTGCTCGTACCGAAACAATCTGTCGGAGACCGCCGGGCACGTGATGACATTGTGATAGCGCTGGCCACGGACGGTGCCGCCCAGCGTTCGTGCGGCGCACCGTGGTTCATGGACATAACGAGCGCCGGAACACGCGCGATGAATCTCGTCACCGCGAGGTGACCTTGCAGCGAAACACCAACAAAGGCGTCGTGCCATCTCTTTATCGGCGTGGATGTCTCGCCCGAGCCTGCGGGACGCTTCTCACAACTCCCTCCCTTGCACACCGGTCATTTATTTATTGTCCAAGGTCCATCAGCTCAATAGACACGATTCCACAGTGGCCGTCGCACTGTGCTGATCGCCAGCTGCGAGCGCCGTGTCTCTCTCGCAGACCCAGAGACGACTGCCCTCTGGTTCCCCAGCTCCAGTGTATCACCGCTTTGAAGCCCACCGCATCGTAAAGCGCGTCCTCCCGAGACATTCACAACAACCCTTCTATCTGCACCCAAGATGAATCGTGCCCCCAGAATGTTCGCCCGCCCTGCGTCTGACGGGAAACGCACGCTCGTGGGGTGTTTTAAACATTCAGGCGAGAGAGGGTGAGGTTGTAGGCTGGGTGTGGTGGTGTGACAGAGAGGTTGGGTTGGCACCTCGCACAAAGGTAACAACAATGAAGTGCCGGCCAGGCACCAGCAGGGAAGGCAGTACAGCAAATTGGTTTATTAGCGCTCACACGCACACAGCGACAAATAAAGTAGTCCCAAAATAACGTTTTAATCCATTCTACGAAAAGTACTGTTGACCGAGATAACTGTTAATCGAATATAGGAATTACGTGAGTCTGCAAGAGAGCTGTTTCCACTGCCAAAACAGAAAACGTTATAATATAAACAAAGCCAGTTGAGGTCTAAACGCTCATAAATGGGCGTCGTTGATTGGCTGAGGGCTTGGCTCAGCCCCACTTACGAGCGCTCGGATTGGCTGAAATTTAGTGCCAGCGTGCATAACGTAAACACGTGACCGTTAATCGAAATGTTCACGTTAAGTCGAAACCATGGGGTCCTATGGGAGGTGAAACGTTAACTGGAAAACCGTTAACCGATGTCACTCTTAACTGAGGGACTACTGTACATGTAAGCGTAATGTATGTTGAACTTCTTTCGCACTGTACGTAGCCAACCGTAATAATCGAAAAAAAAAGCAGCTCTAAACAAATTAGTTTGCCAATCTATATTTGAGAGTGCACAGCTCCAGTGGCTTCCTATCAATCCACGACAACGTTTTACTTTTCAGATTTTTCTTTTCAGGTGGCCAAACCACAAGTCACCGCCGCGGAAATACTAACGGTGAGCTCGCTCCGTGCGTTGCCTATCTTCACAGCAATCAGCTGCGGACACCCGGGCAGTCCTGTGCACGGCATCGCTCACGGCGGCCGATTCAATCTGGACGACGTGGTGGGTTTCTCCTGCGACGTGGGCTTCGTAATCCATGGAGCAGAGAGCACTCAGTGTCTCCCCAGCGGGCAGTGGAGCGACCCCTTGCCGGTTTGCAAAGGTAACTCTGACGGCGTCGCGAGGAACGGACGGCATTGAACAGAGCACGGTTAACCCTCGACCCCCCATGTGGGCAAATGATCCGGGCTCACAGACGACCCCGTGCTCGTTCAATTACGAGCCGCTCCTTACTTGTCGAGGGCCTTCGACTCGGTGCCCACGCGACCTGCAAATGCGTCGGCGAGTGCAATTATTACTTTAAGAAGCTGTCGTGTCGAGTCGAGCACTACACAATGATTACTTTAAGGAGCTGTTAGATAAACAGGCGCCTCGTTCTGCTATCTTCGCCCCCAGTCTAGTAAGGTGAAAACATTCATACGTTTCCATAGCCTGATTCGCATTGTTTGCGTTTTACTTTTATCTGGGCTACCACTCTGCCCCAACACCCCCATTAGTCCAGATAATTGGGAGCTGACTGTGCGCTCAATATGTCCGTGTTTAATATCGACAGCGTACAGCTCACATCTTTACAAAGATCCCCCCCCGTGTAGCCTTTAGCATACTGTTGGGGCAAGTGCTGTTAGCGAGTAGCACCTATGAAGGCCGGCACGGCACACGAGGGGGCGGGTGGCCAACACCACGCCCGGTCGCCTTTGTCTCTCCATTGGCGATATTTACACACCACACCAGGTACTCATTTGCGGCTGAGTCGACCTAGGGGAGGCCCAGAACCGATTCAGATAATCGTCACTGGTTTTGGCCCGAGAGCGGGAATTTCATTCGGACCGCTGGGTTTGTAGCGCAGCGTTGCGCTAACCGCTACACTACCGCTCCCCACGTCCTCGAACGCCTTTGTCTCCCTAGTGGCGAAGTTTACACACACGCACGCACACGCACGAACTAGTGCAGCTGCTGCAATGTCTCGCATTGTGTCCCTCCAGTGGTGAACTGCACCGGTCCGGCGCACGTGGAGAACTCCTACCTGGAGATCAAGAACAAAAACAAAATGTTTCCCTACGGGACACTCGTGTCGTACCACTGCAAGCCGGGCTACGATCTCATGGGTTCCTCGACTCTCAGCTGCCAGCCCAGCGGCCAGTGGGACAAGCCGCCTCCCGTGTGCACCGGTACGTGAGCCGGGGCGACCTCGCGGACGCCACTCACGAGGGAAGGCGGCGACATTGTGAGGCCCGGGCGGCTGGAACCGCGGCCCTTTCCCTGAGCGTAGCCGGGGCGGTGGGGGCCTACGCGCGTGCCGGGCCCGTAACCCGCTCGCGGTAGGTGTGGAATAATATCGCGCGTCCCGGCTGTTGGGGGCAGACTGTGGCCCCCCTCGCACCGCGTGGGCTTTCTCCAGGTGCTCCGCTTTTTCTCCCATACACGGACACACTCATACACGGACACTCTTACACGGGCACACTCGTACACGCACACACTCGTACATTGACATTCATACATCGGCTGACATACGATGTGGCAGAAAGCCTCGGGCAAAGTGTTCTTGGGCTTGGGTGTGGACTCCTGGGGAAACCCAAGTGACCATTGATCACGATTGGGTCATGAAGTCCCACACTCGCGTTGTTCACGAAGGTGGCTCGGTTAAAAAACAAGGAAACGAAAAGCACCGCTCCTGCGACCAAAGTGCAGCATTCTGAGTGGACAGTCCGGGCATTGCTGACAGGACGTTAATATTCACCCCACGGTATCGCCCAGGGAAATGATGAACGTTGCAGTGTGTTTCTGTAGTGTGAACCATTCTGTTGTTTAGTTATCAATACGGTACTGTCTTTAAATACGTGAGTATTTATTTTTCCGTATGAACTCACGTTTTGTGTCATGCTGCAGTTTAACATCTCCGCTAATAGGACAGCAGAATAACTCTCGCACACGTCGCTGCTGACGGCCGCCATCGAGAGTCGGAGCCGTCTTCTTGTGGTGCCTCAAGAGCCTCTGGTCTAGGATTAGCGGCGCGAGTTTGGTGCAACAGCAGCTGGATATAAACACAATCTTGGGAGGAATGCCAGCTGTAGTTATATCCACAGTGTGCTTGGATCAGAAGTTGCCCTTTACCCCTCCACCAGTACAATATGAGGACGTCTTGACTATATGAGAGCTGTGCTTGTATAAGGTGTGCTTATACCCAGCGTCTGCCGTGCCACAAGTGCTGGGAGGAGAGCAGCCACGGCTGCCCGATGGCTTCTTAGCCGGTGCTGAGATGGCACGCCGTGGGTAGCAGGGCCCTCGGGGACGGTGGAGCTGGTGATGAGCACCGTTCCGGCGCACAGGCGCTCGAGAAATAAGTCCAGACGGAGGCAAGGGATGTCACAGGGTAGTGGCACCAACAGCGTTGGCCACGATTATCTGATTGATATTCAGTTTTCACATCAAAACGATGGTTTTGTATTTGCAAGCGCTGCTGCTGTGGGCGTCTTACGGTGAGCGCGCTGCGCTACGAACCTGGCCACCCGGGTTCAATTCCCACTCACGGCCAACACCAGTGACAGTTATCTAAACTGATTCTGGGCCTCCCCTCAGGTCGACTCAGCCTCAAATGAGTACCTGGTGCAATGTGTAAAAACATCGCCACTGGGGAGACAAAGACCGTCAGGCGTGATATTGGCCACCCACCCCCTTCGTGTGCCGTGTCTTCATAGGTGCTCGCTAGCAGCACTTGCCCAAAAAGTCGGTTAACGCTATACGGGGGATCTTTCTCCTTTGGCCGGTGCCGGAGGATTGGCGGTGTGTGGCATCTCCCTCCACGTCTCGCAATCCTGCCCAGTCTCAACCACGTTGTCCATTTGCATCCTCGTTCATTCTTCATCTCTCCATTGCCGTCTCGCCCCACCTCGGGATCTGTGCACAGGCGTACACGGCTTGTGCTTCGGTCTCCTGAGAGACCTCCAGGGTTTGAGAACAGGACGTCTTTAAACTCGTGAATACGGCCTTCATTAGTGCTACTCGCTAACAGCACTTGCCCCAATGTGTGTTGAGGCTGCACGGTCGAGGGGGGGGGCGTCTTTATCTTTTTGTTTTTGTTGCCGTGTGTGAGTAGTGGTGAACTGCAGTCACCCAGGCTCGCCGCCGCACGGCATCTTGGCGGCCGAGGGCTTCACGTACGGATCCTCGGTGACGTACTCGTGCTCCGAGCGCAGGACGCTCCTAGGCCACTCCACGCGCACGTGCCAAGCCAGCGGCCACTGGTCTGGCTCCACGCCCCTTTGCTCTGGTAAGGAGACACAACAGTGAGCTTCTCCCCCCGTGCGGGTGTTTCAGGTTTAAACTGCCGTAAATACCCTAAATCGCATCCGCTGCAGATGTGCGTGGGGTATCAGCAGTGATACCCCACGCACAAATGTATGCGACTGCGGTCATCCAGAACAGACCGTACGACATATAACGACGCGATGGGTTTGATCTTCCACGAAGCTGCTCATCGTCTCCCCTAACTCGCATCCACTGGCCAAACCATGGCAGCAGCAGATGCGGATACCAGGTGCACAAACAGCCACTAAAAAACTGTCCTGTGTCCGACTGCGATCATCCAGAACAGACCCTACACAACGTATAATGATGTGATGCCCCGATCCACAAATACGGAGGAGACATCGTGGCGGTGATGATCCACTCCTCCGCTACTGCTCCTGACGCAGTCGTTATCTGGCTTGACCACCTGAATGTGAAATTGTAGTCGCTGTTCTGCATCTACATCAGCCGTACGACAGCCGGAGAAGAAGACGAATACGAAACGCACCGACGCAGCGTGAAACAAACGCCTTACTCCACTGCGTTGACGGGAGACGTGGACGGCGAGCGGTCTCACTGTGTCGTGGCCTTGGTCACCAGGTGCGGGCCTAGTGGCTGGAGACACGTGATGAATGAAGACTAGGCTAAACTGTTTTTTTTTATTTTACCAGGTAAGGCCCCAATGAGCTCTATGTTTGTTTTCAGAAGCGACCTGGCCATCGCAAATGGTAGCTCAACGAAGTGGCTTGTCGCATGGAAATTATAGCAGCAGCCAAATACTCTGAACGACGGGAAGTTAACGTTCTGGCAAGATTACCCGAGCGTGAGTGAGCGGGTTGTAACAATCATCAATCACCCAACAAAGTGGCTTATCAACGTGTGATGTTGATTCTAAATGTGAAGGTACCCGGGAGAAAACCCCACGCGACCACGGGGAGAGAGAGACGCAAACTCCAAATATACAGTAGCAGGCGTCAGGGTTGGGATCTATCCCACAACCTCGTGTATACCAGGCGAGGTAGTTAACATTTGGCCACCACAGCGCCCTGAGTTGGTGAATGGCGAGTTCACATCCCCACGCTGGTCGCGTCGCCGCGTTGAGTTTGACGACACGTGCGCCGAGTCCTGCACACCGGGAAATCCTTCAGAGATTCACTCAAGCGACACCGGCACGACTCGGCACTATTTCTGTGGCATCGTGGTCGTGATGCCATCTGATGCTGTCCTCGCGGAGAGTCGCAACGATGTTAACTCGCCTCGCCACTTGAATTTTCGTACAAAGGAAACATCGCTTGAAAACGTGTGAGAGCATATGTGTATGAAAATCAACCCCGTGAAATGGTAATTTGTAATAACACTTTTCAACTCTGACTAACCTCATTAAGAACAGGGGTGAATTAAATGTGGCGTAAGGAGAGAGGGGGTTGTTTATTTAATGAAATTAAGAGCTGTGGATAAAAGACTTGCTTTTCCATGGGTCCTGCATGCACAAGGCATCTTAATTATCTGCTTATTAATGGTTCATAATTGCCCTGACGCATGATGGAAAAAAATGACGAAGGAAGGGCATTTTAGCAATCCCTAAAAGAGCGAATCTATTTGCATTCAACTCGATGTCATAACCTCGCACCCTGACGAACCTACACTAATTGCTTTGGGATAATTGCGCGCAACGTATTCGAGGCCAGTGCTTTGCATGATTACTTCATTCACGTTACAGAGGATTTATAGCCCGTGACAAAGAACACGATCCCAACTACAGAATCGTAGGGGGGGGGGGAGTGTATAGAGTGGGCTTATGTTCCGACGTATTTTGCTCTGCTTTGTCGAGAGAGAGGGTGGGGGGGCGGTGAGTAGGCGGGCGGGCGGGGGGCAGGTAAATGAAAAGGATTACAAAATAATGAATTTGGAGCAACGCCAAAACATTCTACAGGGTGCCGAGCGAGCGCGAGCGAGCGAACGTGACCCCACGGATGATCGTGCCTCTCAGGCGACGGCCACGGGGCGTGCGGGGACCCCGGGGTGCCGCCGCACGGCTCCCGGCGAGGCGGTGCCTTCCGGACGGAGAGCGTGGTGAGCTTCTCGTGCGACGACGGCTACGTCCTGCGCGGCTCGGAGCGCCGCTCGTGCCTCGCCAACGGCAGCTGGTCGGGGACGCAGCCAGACTGCAGAGGTGCGGGCGAGAATATAAAGCACGGGCGGTAAACACCAGCGCCGTACGCGACGCCCCGAGGAGTCGGGAATTCCTACTTTAAACAACAACAAAGCGGTGACGTCGGTGTTAGCCAAAACAGAGGCGATCGGCCAAATGCATTTCTTCGCGCGGTCCTGAGCACGTGGCAAACGGCACGGCACGCGAACAATTTCAGTGTGCGCTCTCCTTCAGCGATCGTGAGGGCAGCCGTCGTTTTCGCCACCAAATTGTCTGCGATGTCACCGCAGCGCTTGTGCCAGGCTAGCTGCGCTTTTGAGGCCATGTCAGAATCAATCATCTTTATTTAGACCGGCGGAATCCGATGAGCTGTGAAGCTCTTTATTTCACAGATGTCCAGGAGACATCTGTGAAGTGTGGAGGGTGCTTGCTCGCAGGAGGTCACGTGACAGACCCAGGTGTTACGGGTTAACTGATGGCGATGACTGGCGGGTTGCACCACCCGTGTTCCCCACTGTGCCCTCTTGTTGTGCCACCCTCCCGTACCGCATCAGCTCGCCTGGAGGAGTTCACTGATGAGACATGCGAGTGAACTGTGATATGAAGCCATTAACTAAAAGCAGTGAATACTGATCTCATCACCAGCCCTGCCCTCCCCCCCTCACAAACTAACACTACCCAGTGTGGTGAAATATGGTCAAACGACCGCCATGAGACTGAAATTGCGTGGGGAGACCTTCAACCATAGATGGATTACTAATGGTGAATTAAGGATGGCTGGGAAATAAATATATACGTCCAAATAGTTTTATTAAAAGTGCGGAGTTTCGTGAACATTACTTTCATAATCGGCGTGGCACTGTAACTGGTGTGTATGTGCGCGCGTGTGTGTCTGTGCGCATGTGTATACGCGCGTGTGTGTGCTTGTTGTGTGTGTGTGCATGTGTGCGTGCATGTGTATGCGCATGTATGTGTGCGTGTGTCTGTGCGTGTGTACGCGTGTGTGTGTCTGTGCGCATGTACGTGCGTGCGTGACCCCAGCGGTGTCGTGCGGGAATCCGGGCATCCCCATGAGCGGCGTGATGGCGAGCTGGGCCGGCGCGGTGTTCCCCGACTCGGTGACGTACGCGTGCCGGGACGGCTTCCGCATGCTGGGTCAGCGCACGCGCCACTGCTCCGCCAACGGCACGTGGAGCGGCAGCCTCCCCAGCTGCATCGGTAACAAGCACAAAGATCCCTCGTGTAGCCCGAACAGACTTTTGGGGCAAATGCTGTTAGCGAGTAACACCTGTGAAGGCCGGCACGGCACACAAGGGGGTGGGTGGCCAGCACCGCGCCCGACCTCCAATGTCTCTCTAGTGGCGATGTTTTTACTTCATCGGTAACGCACGGGCGTACGCACACACGCACGGCGGCGTAAACCCGCGTACGCTTTCACGGCCGTGCTGGGTGGCTCTCCGGTGGCTCTCTGGTGCGTTTTCAGAATTTATTTTCTGCTCCTCGTTGGGGACGCCGAGAGGCTGAAACTGACGCGGTGTACGCAGCTGCAGCTCGGGATTCTGCCACACGTCCCTGCGTAGATGTGCGCATCGCAGGGATAACTAACGATGGCTCTATGTTTGCTTTGCTTTACGTGTTAGTCATTACCTGTGGCGATCCTGGAACGCCGGCTAACGCGGTACGGACAGGCGTGGACTTCACCTTTGGCCATAACGTCACTTACCGGTGTCACCCGGGCTACACCATGGAGCCCACAACTCAAAGCCAACGTGTTTGCACCAAGGAAGGCGTCTGGTCTGGAAATCTGCCTCTGTGTAAAAGTAAGTTTTTTACATTGTTGACATTTCCGTGTGGGAGATGGACTGTTATCATCTCAGCCATATAGCGTCATTCATGTTAACAGCATCCCATAACGCGTGCTCTCTTCACCAACCCGCACCGACCAGCGTGGTGAGGTACGGTCAAATCCACCCGCGCCCCCAACCCCACCCACCCATGACTGATCGCGCACCCAAATCGAACGGTGTGCCGTTGCACGTGAAGTCATCCGGTGCCAGGAGCCGCCGCTCGTGATGCACGGGAGGCGGGAGAGCGGCGACTTCACCTGGGGCTCGGTGGTCGCCTACGGCTGCCTCGCGGGCTACCAGCTCTCGCACAGCGCCACGCTGTTCTGCGAGGGCCGCGGGGAGTGGACCGGGGAGCTCCCTCAGTGCCTCCGTGAGTCCCGGCGCCGCCACGCCGCCCCCGCGAGCTTCACCGCCGTTTGTTTTCATTGCCCCCCCCCCACGCCGGCTCACGACCGATGAATTAGGCGCAGCGGTATTTAGTGACGCGGTTGTTTAAGTTTTGCTGCAAATCTTTAGAGATTTTCAACACGTTCGTTGAGCGTTAGCAGATAATGCGGTGGCGTGTAGAGGGGGGCATTGTGGATGATGATGCCCTCCCGTGACCCACCCCGGCCTTTTACGTGAGCCCGTGCGTAGGTCTTGTTCCGTGGGCGCCCGCGCAGCGAGTGCACCTACTGCCACCTTGTGGCAACATCCAGAAAATAAAAACATTGCAGTGAGAAGGACCCCCACGGTCGTGCCCATTTGGGGGTCTGCAACCAAAATAACAAGATACTTTTTTTTCGAATTCAGAGCGCGCAATGCCCGTGGTGAATACTCGACGGTGGTCCTGGATAAATAACATCATGAAGTCAGTCCTTGAAGAGATGCGTGTGGCGTCCGGAGCCGCAGGTTGCCGACCCCCATGATCATGCCCCATTCACATTCTAAAAAATGTATCAAACAAAAATCTAACGGGACGTAAAAACTTACGTGAGTAATTTTAAGAAGTGCCCGGCTGCAGGGTGATGCGCAGCTCAAAAACCTCCGGCTGTGAAAAGGGGGCCAGCCGCCTCTTCCCAGCAGCGCCACGGGTCGACGAGCACGGTTGGCTACGTACGGTGCGAAAGAAGTTCAGCAGGACATACGTACGTTGAGTCGCCGCCGCCACCTCACAAAGCGGGAAACTAAGACGAGATGTTTCACATCGGAAAGCCGTTACGGGTTTGTGACTTTGTCCCTGCCTTCTCTGTGCCACGTAGGGGCAGAGATGAATGTGAAGCCGGAGAGTTAGTTGCATGGAGGTCGACGCAGAAAGAGACAGAGAGAGACAGGGGCAGAAACGGAAACTCTGAATGGCAAAGGCAGTGAAGCACAGAGACACGCAGATACAAATGTAGGAAGATACATCGGTAGACAGAAATAAAGAGGAGAGAACGATATAAATAGACAAGCATGAATAGACATGCATAAATAGACAGGGAGGCAAACATCAGCTGAGGGAATGAAAGGCATTATCGACATATAGCACGTAGAGATCGACTCTAAGGTGGACATAGAGATCAGTACAGAGAGGCAGACAGGGAAACGACACCCTTGGAGATGAACAGACAGAGATGATACTTACCCATGTATCGATTGTTCAATTTAAATGTTCCGTTTCATTGAGGCACTAGTGCTGTGTGTTGTTGTCTTGGTGTTGTCTGGGACTGTTGTTGTTTTGCTGCCTTGCCCAAGCTTGCAATTTGTGTTGACAAATCGGCAGGAATTTTTGTACTTATATACTATATTTATTCATGTTGTGACTTGCTTACCCTTTCCTCGACTTTGCACTCCTATCGTGTTGTTGTACTGTTTGTTATTGTAACCTGCGGACCTGCCCTGGCGCTGGCCTTCCACCCCCTCGTGTGCCGTGCCGGCCTTCATAGGTGCTCGCTAACAGCACTTTCCTCAATAGTCTGTTAAGGCTATGGGGGGATCTTTGTATGTAAATGGTTGTGTGTACGGCCGTTAGCGTTTGTCCGGCAGTGCAGTATTTTGTACACTGCACCTTGAACCCCACAACTTAAGTTGGGCCGTTAGCCGCAGCATACATCAGTAGCGAAACATGCTTTTACATTATTTGGCTGCTATACATGTCCAAATGACAAGCCACTTCGTCATTTGTGGCCATGTCATTCTGATAAAGAGCGATATAGCTCAGTGGGCCTTACCTGATAAAATAAAAAATTATTTATAGTGGTTTTCTGAACTGATTGTTCTGAAACCACTATATTTAGATTACTGAAAACTATGAACTTGATACTTAGATGCGCGGTGTTCACACCAGGGTTTGCACAGAAGTTGTTAGATGAGACATGGGAAGCTTCGTCGTAGTGATAATAAGATCTGGGCGACTCATAATCCAATTCAAGTCGAGTTTGTTTTCCCACATATACGGAATTCTGGAGTTACCCGGAATTACGAATGGAATAGTCTTCAGCCCGATTCATCGCGCATGAAGGGTGCCACCCAAATCCGCAAAGAAATATCCTGCAGCCAATTTAAGGCGAAGCCACCCCTAGAGAATATGCAGAACGCGTTATGACACCGCACTGCCGCTAATGTTTGCCGTGGCTGTAAATTAAACCGAAGTCGCCAGGTTCGTACCGCAGTTTGTGAATCACTGCACCACCACCCTAACCCTAACCCACACGTGCTCGGAGAGCAAAGGCAGTGGATTGAATAAGGGCGTCAATTTAGTATTATTATCTATGCATGTACGTTGAACCTCTTTCGCACCATACATAGTTCTAAAGGCTGCTCCGACAGGATGCCGAGATCACTATCCAAAGCGCACCTCCGATTAGCACGGTTTGCTACGTACGGTGTGAAAGAAGTTCAACATTACATATACAGACAGACAAAATGAAGACTTTACCCTCTTGTTGATTAAAACATTTTTTTATTTACAGCCGTGTCTCATTACACTGTTGGGGAAACGCCTCGCAAGTGTTTATCAGGCATGGGGTTCGTTTGATGATACATCACCGCTTCATATGAACGTACTATCCGCCTCATTCCCATATCACCTCGCTGGGCAGTTTGCCGACTCCGCCTTCGATGGCAAGGGGCCCGGGAGCCATCCGGATATCACTCACCGATAACTGATGCTAGCCTTGGCCAGGAATCTAATTTAGGTCACTGGGTTCATGGGGCAGTGCTGGTGGCCCACTCCCATCCACCTGCCTCGTAGAAGTATACGCAGTGTGTGAGTTTGTCTGTTTACGTGCGTGTCTGTGTGTCTGTGTCTCTGTTTACGTGCATGTCTGTGTGTCTGTGTGTCTGTGAAGATATGGGGAGCAGTGGTGTAGTGATTAGGGCGCTGCGCTGTGAACCCGGTGACCCGAGTTAGATTCCCACTCACGCCCAACACCAGTGACGATTATTTTAACCTGTCCTGGGCCTCCCCTACGTCGACTCAGCCTCAAATAAGTACCTAGTGCGGTGTGTAAACATCGCCACTGGTGAGACAAAGGCGGTCGGGGGTGGTGCTGGCCACCCATCCCCTCGTGTGCCGTGCTGGTCTTCATAGGTGCTCGCGAACAGCACTTGCCCCAACAGTTTGTGAAGGCTAGACGGGGGGATGTTTGTCTTTGTTGACATTCATTGCCACACGTTGGACACGAGTGTGGCCACAGCGAGGGAGCAGACTCTCTCGGGGTGAAGGCAAAACACGCTGGCCACTATGCACGGCCGTTCGCATCGGTCTTGTGTAGCTTTAAACAAAACATATATACACACATGTAAGAATAAGGCTGCTAACTGATGAAAGATACACGGCATTTTTTTATGGTTTAAATTATGTTAGAAAAGAGCTAATTTTGTTTGCAGTATTCTCTTTTTTAATGTTTAACATCTTTGAGAATAATGACACAATTTAATCGCCTGCGGAAGCCCCGCAGTCATATATCATTGAGGCTCCTGCGCTCTATCAATTCAGGTGTTTTGTTTTTACTCAATTGCCGATTCACAGGCCCAAAGGCCCAAAAACGCCAAATGGCCAGCAACAGATGGCACTCTTAGAGTTGTGATTGATACAAAAAATAGTTAACACGACTCTTGATATTGAGCGAGGTAATGAGAACTTGGTATAAGAGACGACGATGGGAGGAGGTGGCGGTTCCAAAGTGGAGCGGTGCGAGGGGAGAGGCAGAAAGAGAAGTGAGGTGACCTGCGGTGTGGTGAGTGAGTGAGTTGTGGGCGAGTGAGCGTGGGCGAGTGGGTGAGTGAGCGTGGTGAGTGGGTGAGTGAGCGTGGTGAGTGGGAGAGTGAGCGCGGTGAGTGGGCGAGTGAGCGCGGTGAGTGGGCGAGTGAGCGCGGTGAGCATGGGGAGTGAGCGCGGTGAGTGGGAGAGTGAGCGCGGTGAGTGGGAGAGTGAGCGCGGTGAGTGGGCGAGTGAGCGCGGTGAGTGGGCGAGTGAGCGCGGTGAGTGGGCGAGTGAGCGCGGTGAGTGGGAGAGTGAGCGCGGTGAGTGGGCGAGTGAGCGCGGTGAGTGGGCGAGTGAGCGGGGTGAGTGGGCGAGTGAGCGCGGTGAGTGGGCGAGTGAGCGCGGTGAGTGGGCGAGTGAGCGCGGTGAGTGGGAGAGTGAGCGCGGTGAGTGGGAGAGTGAGCGCGGTGAGTGGGAGAGTGAGCGCGGTGAGTGGGCGAGTGAGCGCGGTGAGTGGGCGAGTGAGCGCGGTGAGTGGGCGAGTGAGCGCGGTGAGTGGGAGAGTGAGCGCGGTGAGTGGGAGAGTGAGCGCGGTGAGTGGGCGAGTGAGCGCGGTGAGTGGGAGAGTGAGCGCGGTGAGTGGGCGAGTGAGCGCGGTGAGTGGGCGAGTGAGCGCGGTGAGTGGGCGAGTGAGCGCGGTGAGTGGGCGAGTGAGCGCGGTGAGTGGGAGAGTGAGCGCGGTGAGTGGGAGAGTGAGCGCGGTGAGTGGGCGAGTGAGCGCGGTGAGTGGGCGAGTGAGCGCGGTGAGTGGGCGAGTGAGCGCGGTGAGTGGGAGAGTGAGCGCGGTGAGTGGGAGAGTGAGCGCGGTGAGTGGGAGAGTGAGCGCGGTGAGTGGGAGAGTGAGCGCGGTGAGTGGGAGAGTGAGCGCGGTGAGTGGGAGAGTGAGCGCGGTGAGTGGGAGAGTGAGCGCGGTGAGTGGGAGAGTGAGCGCGGTGAGTGGGCGAGTGAGCGCGGTGAGTGGGCGAGTGAGCGCGGTGAGTGGGAGAGTGAGCGCGGTGAGTGGGCGAGTGAGCGCGGTGAGTGGGCGAGTGAGCGCGGTGAGTGGGCGAGTGAGCGCGGTGAGTGGGCGAGTGAGCGCGGTGAGTGGGCGAGTGAGCGCGGTGAGTGGGAGAGTGAGCGCGGTGAGTGGGCGAGTGAGCGCGGTGAGTGGGAGAGTGAGCGCGGTGAGTGGGAGAGTGAGCGCGGTGAGTGGGTGAGTGAGCGCGGTAATGGGAGAGTGAGCGCGGTGAGTGGGAGAGTGAGCGCGGTGAGTGGGAGAGTGAGCGCGGTGAGTGGGCGAGTGAGCGCGGTGAGTGGGAGAGTGAGCGCGGTGAGTGGGCGAGTGAGCATGGTGAGTGGGAGAGTGAGCGCGGTGAGTGGGCGAGTGAGCGCGGTGAGTGGGCGAGTGAGCGCGGTGAGTGGGCGAGTGAGCGCGGTGAGTGGGAGAGTGAGCGCGGTGAGTGGGCGAGTGAGCGCGGGGAGTGGGCGAGTGAGCGCAGTGAGCGTGGGGAGTGTTTGTGCCCTGTATTTCCACAGTTGGCACAGTAGGGGGCACAGCTGGTGCATCTGCCAGTCATCTCAGTTACCTGGGTCTGTGCCGTGACCTCCTGTCAGCAGTGAGCCTTCGACACTTCACGTGGCCTCAAAGTGCACCTGGCCTCGCACAGGCGCCACGTCACTGCCACTTGGCGGCGAATGCCGAGTGTTGTGTTGCGTGTGCTCCGTATTGTGGTGAGCGGTCGCGGTTGGGTGACACTGAGCCCCATCAACATGAGCGGATGAAATATATGGATGGTACGTGTGTGTCCAAACAAATGTGCCATTCATTTCGACAGCCATGTTCTGCGGAGACCCAGGCGTCCCCGCCAACGGCGAGCGACAAGGCAGGAGTTTCACCTTCCAGTCGGAGGTCTCCTTCACGTGCGCCTCTCCGCTGGTGCTGGTCGGCTCTGCCAAGCGCGTGTGCATGGCCAGCGGGATGTGGAGCGGCACTCAGCCGCGTTGCATCGGTGCGTCCCGCCCCCTCTCTCCCTCCCTCCACACGCTCACTCACCCACTCGCCACACTCACTCTCCCAACCGCTCACTCACTCACCACACTGCGGGTCACCTCACTTCCCCTTCTGCCTCTTTCCCTCGGACCGCTCCACTTTGGCATTGCCTCCTCCCATCGTCGTCTCTTTTCCCACCCTGGGGGCATTGCGAGCAGAGGCCGTTGTTGACAGATGCAGCCACGTGGGCTTCACTTTACCAGCTTCAAATCCCTAATTGAGACGCATGGCTCTTTTGGGAACGGAAAACCTTGCAGGAAATGTTTCAAAGGACAAATAGAGACTGGAGCCGCATGGAGTGGAGTTGACTACAAACTACCGCAGTTTAATTATTTAAAGTGGAATTCAACACCATTTGAATTAGTGAATTGCCCACGTGCGACTACGTCTGAAGATTCTGTACACAAGGTAGTCGTGTCGCATCACTGCTGTGGCCTCCGTCAGTGGACACCCAACCTTGGCCAGCCTTTGGGTGGTGTCCCCAGAACAGCTGATTCATTCCATAATGTTAGTCCATTGGAGGTGTTCCCACTTCTCCCTGTTCCCTCTCCTCCACCTTTGTAGGGTGGTGGTCGTTACTGATGTCGTAGCTCTGCTTTTCTGGATTTCACGGACCGTCGTCGGCTGTGATCACTAATTTATTCTTGTTATCGCTGCTCGCACTCGACTGAATCGATCTTTTGGTGCGGCCTACGAGATGCGCAGTGGCCCTCTGAAGCATCTCATTTCCATCACTGGGATATTTCTCGCATATTTGCTGTAATTGTCCGAGTTTCAGATCCATACAGGAAAACCGATGAGACTCCTGCTCCCACGATTCCGACCCCAGTGACTATTTCAGACGTTCTTGGCTATCCAGATCGGGTTAAGTTTGGACGGCGACAGCTTTTGCCTTTGCGGCACTTGACTTTCTTTCTTCCAGGGATTTTCCATCGTTGACGATCGTCAATCCAAGGTAGTTAAATGTCCCCTCGTCATAGTGGCCCGTCCACCTGTGTACCTGGAATGTACGTACATATGTTGAACCTCCATCGCACTGTGCATAGCCACCCGCGCTAATCGTAGGTGCGAACCCTCCTGGCGCAGAGGCCTACCTGAGGCTCATGGAAGGCAGGGGGGACGGCTTACCTCCCTCGTGGCGTACGATTCCGAGAAGCCGACCCAGCAGCTTAATAAATGCGTGCGTGTTGTGAGATAGTGGTGGGGAGAGGAGGAATGAGGGATATTATTTGAAGTGAAGGAGGAAGCTCGGGGGAGAGCAAAATCCCGATGATTTCTCTGCTGATCAAGACAACGGGACAGAGGGAAATGGCCACCCACAGGCAGAGGAGAAGTGCGAGACCTCAAGCCTGCGCCTGAGGAGAGGGAGATGGAGCTGCCAGTGAGGTAGACAGAGGGAGTTTGACGTCAGTTTGATCCCGTATTTCACGACAAAGTGTTTCTTTGTGTTGGCACGTGCCACAATGGAAACGACAGGCGTTATTATGTACATCATGGGACCTTTTTGCCAGTATCAAAGTATGAAAAATCTATATGATATTTTTGATAAGTGCTGCTCACCCCGAGCTATAAATGCTCTGATACGTGCATTGTCTTTGTTTGTGACGAATTGGCACGTTCTGTTTACGTGACAACCCTCACTAGTTGGCTGTCGGGTGGTGGCGGGTTTTAACGACACATTTATATATTAGCGCGATCTAACCCAAAACAAAAATTCAAACTCTTATGGATGATATTGGTCGGGAAAGCCTTCGTGTTAAAATGAAGAGAGAGTATCACGACTCGCCGTATGTTGATTTTGACTCAAAATAAAATAAACCCTTGCCCTGTTGGAGGTTGAGCTCAAATGCAAAGGTATAAGGAGGGTGTCTTGGAAAGCGGAAACAATATTTGCTTCTGTCTGCAAAACCGTGTCCTCTTGTTACAGAAGCATCTCGCACGACCTGCACCAACCCTGGCACACCGCACAACGGATTCCAGAACTTCTCCCTGGGATATCAGGCAATGTCTACACCAGCGATCTTCTTCCCCCATGCTGTATTTATCCAACTGCCGCATCGGCTGCCGCGGTGTAACGCGTTCGCACCCCTCAGACCTGCAATCCAGAGGTCGCGGGTTCAATCTCCTGGCTCGGCAGTTGAAACAACGTTGCAAGCTTCTTAAATCATCCCTCCCCCCCTCATCTCTGTCCACCCGGCAATGTAAACGGCTTCACCGCAGTGACGTGCGCAGCCCACATTGAGCCGTGGTGCCCGATGATGGCGAGATGTTAACTCCCTCGCCTAGTAGACGGGAGATCGTGGGTTCGATCCCGAACCTGCCGCCTGCTATATATTTGGAGTTTGCGTGTCTCTCTCCCCGTGGTCGCATGGATTTTTCTCCAGGTCCTCCGGTTTTCCCCTCCACATTTAGAATAGACGTCACTTGTTTAGAGTATTTGACCACCGCTATAAATGTCCACCACTATAAAAGCCGCTTCGGTGAGCTGTCATTTGTGATGGCTGGGTCGCTTCTCAAAAAAGTCCTACATAGCGCAATGTGCCTTACCTGGTAAAATAAAAAAAATAGTTTAGTTTTTTTTAGTAAAGCATGGGTACTCCCACCTTTGGCTAGTTGCCCAGAGCTCGATCGAGTGCAGGCCCCCTCTGCGAGCCCGTGGCGTGAAAAATAAAACAATTTCTGTGCTGCGCCTTTTCTCCCCCTCCTGCTTCAATAGGCTTTGTCTGCTCTGTTTCCCGTTTTTGTTTTTCCTTACAAACACGACGCCAGGTTGGGAGCACCGTGGCGTTCGAGTGCAAGAAGGGGTTCCACATCCAGGGGTCAACTACTCGGACCTGCCTCCCCGACCTCACGTGGAATGGCCTCCAGCCCGAGTGTGTCGGTACGTTCCTCGCCACTGTGGCCTCGTGCCCAGCACGCAAGTCCTGCCACCGGTCTGACGACGCACAAGGGGGCCCGCTCGGCAGCGTTCGAAAGCTCTCGGCCTCGCGCAGACCGCTGGCTCAAGAGGGCTAAACGCAAAACATTAGCTGGGCACACTCACCCAGTCGCTCACCTAGTCACTCACCCGGTTACTCACTCGGTCACCCACCCGGTCACTTACCCAGTCACTTGCTCATTCCCTCAGTCATTTGGACCACTGCCGGCTCCACGAGTTGGGGAAAATGTGGCCGTAACCAACAACGGGCAGCAGTGACACAAGACTTAACTATAGACCACTTGCACCCTCATTGGGACTTATCTGTTACGGTCATCAGTGCTTGCTGTGTGATGTGTTTTTAACGTTTCAGGTTTCTCATTATTTACAGATTTTTATATCGGTCCTAAAACAAACAAAGAGGAACAGTGCCTGCTAATGCATGCGTTCCGTAAAGGCTTCCAACGTGCGATTGTCCTCGGTAATGACCGTGCCGCCGGTTGACTTGCGATCGTGACGTTACCTTCCGAGCCCCAAACGAGGTGACGTCGCGCGTCGTGAGGTCAGGGGGCAGGCGGAACGAACCGTGGGAGACATTTGCCAATCTGCTCGGGTCCGACGAACGGTCGCATCAGGGACATCGGGCTCGCCGCATTTACAGTCACGGCCTCGCCGCAAAATTCCCGTGGCCTCGCTGCCGATCGATGTTTCACTCCCAACGTTGCATTCTACAGTTTCAGAACCAGAATCAGTTTATTCACGCCATAGGATTCCGACGAGCTACGACACTTTTTTTTTTTACACAGTCGTCCACTTTGACATCAGGAGCAGAGCAAACGCCGACCAGGAGCGGCAACGGCGCCCGTTGCGCGTTTTTCCAACGCCGAATAGCACGCGCGAATTTGCCCACCCCGGCCTCTTTTTGGAGGTGGCCAGCGAACCGACGACCTTTGTCGGCGCGCGTTTTTCAGCGCACAGATGCAGCCAGCCGGAGACTCCAGCCTACGCTGACGTCCGGGCGCAGGACGTCGCGCAGCTGGGCTACACGCTGCTCTACTCGTGCCAGCCCGGCTACTACCTGAACGGCGGCTCCGAGCACCGCACCTGCGACCCCGAGGGTGCCTGGTCGGGAAAGCCGCCCCTCTGTCACGGTGAGCGCCGCCCGCTCCTGCTGGGTTTGGGAGAAAGTGAGCCCCCCCCCCCCCACGCCTCAACTCCCCCCCCCCTTGCAACAACCCCCTCAACCCCCCCCCTTCAACCCCCCCCTAACCCCCTCCACCCCTCACCCCCCCCTCCCTCACCGTCCTCATCCCTCACCCATCCCCCTCAACCCACCCCTCCCCCTCAACCCTCACCCCCCTCCGCTGCCTTCACGTTATTTGTGGTCTCGCTAAAATAAATTGACACACGATCGATTGACCGTTGTGGATTTGACAGCCAGCATGGGGAAGCCTTCAACAGTAGCTTGACAGAGGGCTGAACATTTATTATAATTATTACATGGCAATTGTATAATACTGTAGTCATATACAGCACGGTTGGCTACGTATGGTGCAAACGAAGTTCAACGTGCGTATATGAGCGTGTATACGTCCAGCATCGGGAGACCACATACTTGGAGAGTCTTGTCATTCTAAAACTTGTATTTGTTGTTTATATATAGTGAGTGTCGCTGCCTTCTAGGATCACCACTTGATATTGGCAGACTCCTCGGATCTGCCTGTCTCTGCCGCCAATAGCTCGTCACCCTGCCTCAGTGGGGCCGTGTGATACTCGTGCTGCTTGGGAAAATATTTGACAACCACCATCCTGCCGACTAGGTCAACAACCTCCAGATTTCCTCTCTCCCAGATCGTGCTTCTGAGCTTTCAGATAGCCTCGCTGGCTGAAGTTTTATCTGAGACAGATCCAGAAACATTGGTTAATGACTGGGGAAGGTCTAAGCCATTTCACCAGCTCTTCTTAACGGTCTCCTCTTGGAAACATTCTGACATCGGTGACAGAATGACACATTTACCGATCACCTGAATATGCATGTGTCATGTTGCAAACACATCTTGCAGAACTCAAGAAAGGATACCACCAGCCACACTGACTTTGCATTGACAAACCTCCACATCTTGCCAGAATGTGTCAGCTAATGATGACGCCTTCTTTCGTTTTTGGTACAGCCTCTGGTCCTCGCACCTGATTGGCTCACAAGTGACGACACCACATGTGTAGTGGATTAACTTGTGACATGGACGACGTAGTCGAGGCACAACGTTTATTATAACTTTGTATTCAATACAGGGCGACGTATACAACACTTGATGGGGTAGCGGCCCCTTCACCCGTCCTGAACAGGGAAGACCCCGAGCACTATCCCCGGCTGGTCTGCTCCCAGGTCCTCCGCTAAGAGTGCTAGGGGAGGCTATCTGATCCAACCCTGGTCAAGCACGGATCCCGGCACCCAGCTAACCAGGCCGTGCTCTTACAAGAGCATCGGCTCTGAGGCTCTCAGAGCCGCGCCTCTGGCTTGCCCTGCCCGGCCCTGAGAAGGACAGCGAGCCAGGGGAGTTCCAGGGCCTATCTGCCGGTCTTCCGTCTTCACTGGTTCAGCTTGTATACTCGACCACGATCCCTCTGGCTCCCCGCCTTTTATACCAATTTCCCCCGAGGGGAGGGGCTATGGGAGATCCCAGCGACCACCCACAGCCCCCAGGGTTAACCGTTGCGGACGTGGATGTAGACACCCCTGTGTGTGGGTGTAGACACCCCTGTGTGTTTGTCCGCTTCCTCTCCCATAACACCCCTACACATGTACCCCTCTAATTAAGGCCGAAACAGGAGGATTTCTCCACAACTCTGGCTGTCGCCTGATGATGCTGGTTGTTGTGATTACTGGTGACACGTCACGGTACTCGAATTGTAAACGTTGTAGTGGGTTTACTCTCCAACACACGACCGGTGTGCTGAACTAGCAACTAAGTGGCACGTTTGTTCACGTGACAAACCTTACTTATTGGCTGTGTCGAGCGGTTGCGGGTTTAACGACACATTTATATTTACGCGATCTAACCCCAAAAAACCCTCTTGTGGATAATATTGGCTGAGAACGCCTCTTCTGCGTTAAACTGCATATTTGGTGAAATCGGCTCACGGGGAGGTGACAGGTGGATTATTACACCGTGGGCCCGCGAGAGATGGTGGCGGCCTTGAGCCAGCAGTGGATCGACCGTGGATGATGATGAAACGGACGCGTTTATAAGCAACGGGCGGTGGTGCGGGGGCAGTGCAGGCTGAGGGCTCACCACCGCAGGATGCTGCTCGTGACCGATGGATTGTGTTCGGGGCACTAGCCCGCAAACCGCACTTCTGCACCCCGCCACGCACACGCGTGACTGCACGCGGTATTCCCGACTGCACGTTCCCGGATGCACATTCCCGGCTGCACTTTCCCCCGCAAATCAGGCCGCAACTTTCTAGCGCAGATCGTAAAATTCGAGTCGCAGCTGCAGGATTAAAGCAAAAATAATAATTTACTTTTGTAACGTCAAAAAAACCAGTGCCGACGTTAATGTACATGTCAACTAGGGAATTACATGTTAAGAACAATTCTGAATATGTAATGTGCCAGTTCGCAATATTTCCCAGCGAGAATAATATCTCAGTGTTAATTTGCATATTTTAGTTTTTTTTTCTTCTGCAAAAAAAGTCTGTGTGTAATTGAGATGCAATTCGCCTGTCTCCGAGCCCATGGCTCCCGGTTGACTGAGACACTCGTGTAGGCGGTTGTGTCACAGTACATTGAGGCCACCTCACCGCAGTTGATGTGCAATGATAGCGCGCTCACTTCTGGCAGCTTAGCTGCCTCCCTTCCAATTACCGAGGCGTTTGAGCCTTTGAGGTACGATTAGCGTGCTGCGCAGTGCAACTGCGACGTGATGATGGCGATGACGATGATGAAGCGTGTTTTTTTTGTTCACGATTGCAATGAGGTCATTGTTTCTTGTTTGCAGCTGGAATAAAGCAGAAGGAGAAGACGAGCGTGTCTCTACTTGGGACGACTGGATTCAAGCCGGCGGGTGATTGTCAGCATGCTCTCTGGCCTCGTTACGTTCATCCCGAAATGTATTCACATTTGTCCGTGTGGGTTTTCTATCTCTTCTTTCTGAGAGTATGGAGTCATAATAATAATTAATAATTACATGTATATAGCGACTTTTCATCAAGGATCTCAAAGCCCTCTACAGGACGCAGCAACAGCAGAAAAACTCGGCATGAAAATCATGATATTATAAATACATTTTAATAATCCATTTACAAAATGACCTAAAAGTTGAATAAGCTGCAGGGTATATAAATGGGTTTTAAGACGCATTTTAAACATGTCCACAGAGTCGGAGAGGTCCCTGATACCCCTTGGAAGTGTTTCATTATCTGGGGGCTACACGGGGGAAAATCTCGATCACCCATAGACAGAAGCCTCGACCTGGGAATGCAGAGAAGATCTGCAGGAAAGGTCTGCAGGGTATTCATTTAGAATTGAAATTGTGGGGAAGTCATGTCTTATGGCTTCAGTGGAGCCACACGTCAGTAAATAATTGCAGCTTAGTTTTCTTTGAAGATTAAAGCTTGTCAGTTTTAACAAGGCTGGCAATGTCAAATATACTTTAAAAAGTGATCGCAAATTAATTGTCTTTACGCGCAGAATACCTACCAGAGGTTTCTTTTTTTTATATATCGAAATATATGCAGTGTAAGGGATGTTAACTGTTCATAGTTTTGCAGATATCGCAACAGGTTATGTTGTAAGCACAGGGTACAACTCATGAAATATTCAATCACTCTCTTCCACAACATACGGAAACCCCATCACTCTCATAGTGTTCAATCACCTGTTGGAGAAGACAGCCGAGGGTTATTAGAAATCAGTGGTGGATAAATATATAAGTGGATCACCCTGCATTGAGAAATCTAGTTACACATTCGTCAGAGGTATCATTAAATCTTGACTTAAAGCTTTCGTGAATGCAGGAATTCATATTCTTTGGGTCTTTCGGAAAAGTCACGTAGATAGAAAAATAATTTTAAAAAATCCCGACGTTTTGATCGAAACACAAGGAATCATCTTCAGGTGAGAAAAAGACGATTGCTTCTGTTGCAATCGAAACGTTGTGATCTATTATTTTTTTTACCTACGTGACTTTACCGAAAGAACCAAAGAGCATACCCACACCTCCTCGTCATGCCCACACCTCCTCGTCAGAACCACACCTCCTCGTCGTAACCACAACTCCTCGTCGTAACCACAACTCCTCGTCGTAACCACAACCGCTTTGCCGTGACCTCTCACCTCCCGCGGCCACAGTGCCCGACAGCATCTTCGCCGAGAACCACACGTGGAGAGGATTCTACGACTACCTGGGGAAGAAGCAGCCACTCTCCCTGAGCGCCCCCGAGTTCAACCTGAGCAGTTTCCGCGTGAACCTCACCTTCTCGGATCGCGCCGTCGATCTCCGGCTCTCCGGTGAGTCTCCGGCGGGCCGCCCTGCAGCCCTGCCGGAGGGGAGCGGCTTTTGCGTCGCAGGGTCCACCAAGAGCCACAGGGAGGCCACACAAAAGCGTCGCGAATCGACGTTAATTCAACTGTGTAACACATTTTTTTTGTTCCTGGGTAGTAAGTGTTATTTCCTAATTGCTTATGTCTCAAAAGTACAGAAAATGGCTATTATTCCCCACAAACTTTGCTCTGTGACCAGGACAGTGATTTTTTTAAATTTACCTATTTTCCAAAACATTCCAGATAGATTCAGTGCTGAGTGAACTTGGAGCAACTTCTCGAACATTCTAGAACTTTCCAGTAATATATATAGAAGTAGAAATACAGGGGCCTTAAGCCCACCAGGTCAGTTTATTTCCAGCTGCCTAAGTGGATACATATCTGCATTTTTTTGAAATGGCATGAAGAGGATGCAAGCATCCGGCAGACGCATGTTGCTATGTCTGCAGCCAATTTATCAAGACAAGAGCGAAAAAGTACTCTGTGGAAGCATCTTCTAAGATGTTGAGGCCTACAAGGCATATTTCGCCATGCCTGTCAGGGATCAAGACAAATCCTGGGCACCTCATTTCACCTGCGAGCAATGCAAAAAAACTCTGGAAGGTAAGATGGACAATTGTTGCTCGAAATTTAATGTTATAACATTTTTAAAAATTTTAAACAAATTTTTGTTTTACAATTTTAAATGTTATTGAAAAAATATATAATATAGGAAAAATGTTGCGAGAATCTCTTACACATTAGTCATGGGTGAAATTAATTTATTTTTGTAGAATGGTACAGAGGGGAAAAGAGAGCCATGAATTTTGCTGTCCAAGAATTTGGTGGGAACCCACTGACCACTCAAGCAACTGCTACTTCTGCATGGTGGACCCTTCCAAACGTCGGACTGGCAAGAATGCACCTGCTATCACGTATCATCCATCGCTCCGGTGCTACACTGCCATGAGCTCCTTGTACCCATTCCTCCGGAGAGAGAGCAGCCGTCTTTAGAAGAGAGCAGCAAGTCAGAGAGCGAGGAAGACGTTGTAGATCCAGATGACAATTTCAGAGATGGAGCTGAGGAGAGAAACCCATACTATCCCAACCAAAAAGACCTCAACGACTTTATCAGAGATCTTGGTCTCACTAAGTCCAATGCCGAGCTTTTGACGTCTAGGCTCAAGCAGTGAAACTTATTGGATGAAAGTGTGCAAGTCGCAGATCAAAGGAAGCGTCATGAACCTTTTTGCAACTTCTTCACCCATCAAGATGGGCTCTGCTTCTGCCACAATGTGACCAGTCTGTTCGAGGCTATTGGAATCGCCTGTAACCAGAATGAGTAACGCCTCTTCATTGACAGCTCATTCAGGAGTCTCAAAGCCGTGCTGGCCATAATGGTAACAAGTACCCGTCTCTTCCCCTGGCTCATTCAGTGCACCTCAAAGAGGATTACAACAGCATCAAGACCTCGCTGGATGCCTTGAAGTATGAGTACAGCTGGGAGATCATCGGAGACTTCAAAATGGTGGTATTCCTGATGGGTCTCCAAGGCGGTTTTACCAAGTTTCCCTGCTATCTTTGCCCAATGATCCTTAATTTCGATCATTGGGGTTAGTAATAAATTAGTAATAAATCGGCATTTTGCGACCCCCACTGCCACCGTGTAGCATAGTATTACGTGCCAGGGACTCTATGAGATGATAGGACAATAGTCTGAGTCCATAATTTGCAATAAGTAACGGCAAAGCAGTTATAAGTGACTCACAGAATTGTGCGCAGTTGCGTATACAGTATACGACTTCCCTGAAGGCAAACACCTTCAGCGAGCGCGATGCCGATCACACACGGTTCGAATTCAACCCTCGATCGATGGCTGCGCCATCACCGCACACGCATCAAATGAAAAGCAACTTACTATAACAACTCCTATCATTTTTCATTGCTGGAGGCGTTGCCCCCCCTACCTGAAAATCCTGGCTCCGCCATTGCAACTACTCACTTCTAAATCTTTTGTAGTAAATTTTGTCTTACTTTAGTATAAATACATGTTAATTTTGATTCATATGTTGTTTTCTGACTTTATGTGAACGAAAAGACACAAATTCGCCCGTTTTCTCATTGAAAATAGGTAAATTTCAAAATATCACTGTCCTGGTCACAAAAGCAAAGTTTGTGGGGAATAATAGCCATTTTCTATGCTTTTTAGGCAGAAGCAATTACAAAATAACACTTACTACCCAGGAACAAAAATTGTGTTTTTTGTATGTTGCGTAATGCGTGATATCATTGGAAATAAGAGTTGCATTTTAGTTGAAACAAGGGCATGGGTTTCTTCAATCCCCCCCCCCCGACCCCTCGCCTCTGTCCACCTGGCGGTTAAAATGAACAACGCCGCAAATTGATCGGCTGGTTGTTTGTGGTGGGGTAGAGCTTGGGGGAGCGGTGGTGCAACGGTAAGCACGCTGCGCTACGAACGAGTGTTTCGCTCCACGTTTCAGAAACAACATCACGTGTTTGGGGTATTTTGCTGCTTCTGTCCATTTCCGGATGACGGCGAGCCACTTCGTAGAGCTGTCATTGGTGATGGCCGGGTCGCTTCTGACAGAGAGCTACGTAGCAGCTCAGTGGTCATTACGTGGTAAAATGTCGAATATATAAATATTATATAGACTGCAGCAGGCCAATGGAATGGTTTAGATGGGATGTGATCCTCCTTAACCAGGGGGATGCGGCCCGGCCGAGGAGGCACGCCCACCTAGCGGCTTGGCAGACAGCGGCGCACTCTGACATGTAATAGCACATGGGGTGTGTACGACAGTGGTTACACACTTGTAGTTTAAATATATGCATACATACACGGTCTGTTCTCCTGTAACGTGTAGTGTTCATGACGCGAATGGGATATAACGCGACATGTATTTAGGGAACACATTTTTATAACCCGGATGCGAATTGGATATAATGCAATCGAGAATTAACGAACTACGTCGCGCGAGTAGGAATAAGCGGTCGTACTGGCTGCATCGGCGTAGCATCACACAAGGCGGGATGTTACTGGATGCTTCTAGATGCTACCCACAGTGCCTCAGTCTTTGTTCGGCCGGCGTACGCATCTCACGTGGTGTTATTATGGACTCTGCTTTACCTCCATATTATATCTCATTCATGATAACGAGATTTTTCCCATAACGTGGTGTCCTTCAGGAACTACTGCCACGTTATAGGAGAACAAGACTGGACGTATGTTGGTTAGAGAAAGACAAAAACAAGAGGAACTACATGGATGAGATAACTTACGCAGGTTAGGGGCATTATCTGGACTGTTACCAAAAGTAGGTGGGCAGGACTCATCGCCAAGAGGGATGATGGTCGGTGGCCGAGGATAATTACGGAATGACAGCGAAAATAAGAACGATGTCCCTGGAGAGGAAGACATCGGCCGTGGAATGCAGCAGATGAAATCGGCTCGTGACGTGCGGTCGCACGGTGTAACGTTGGCATCGCAAAAGCTGTGGATAGATGGCAATGGCTTGGGGCGCGCGTCCATCCAGCAGTTGATAGATGGTGGCTTGTAACATCTGCGATTGGATTGAGATTGAGCTGTGCTTTGCGGTGGGTGTCATGTGTTAGGAATATACAAGCGGCAAGAAGCCAGACTGACGCTGCACATATTCACGATCACAAGCCAAACGCAGACTTCTGCCACGAAATTCAAGGATGAAAACTGGGTCATGGATGGATACGTGAGTAGGAATTCTAATCAAGTTGTCAATTTCAACAAGGTGACAAATATGACATTGCTCTTGCGTTATTATTTACGTGACATTCTTTTGGTAGCAACAAATTCATTTTTCCCGAATGGAAATCGCAAACGTTTGCGAGTTTTTCATTTGCATTTAACAAGGAATCCTCAGAGTCTAGTAAGGTAGCCCATGTCATGTTTTTGTTGTAGACACTCAGAATTCAGAAACACCGACCTACGCACACACACAGAGACATTGCGATCTCTATAGACGGATCGCCCAGTACAGTCACCCTCACGTCTGAATGCTCCATAATAGAATTGTAGGCGTGGATAAGCCTATAGTTTAGTCAGTTTAACATGAGTAAAGTTTAGTGATTGTTTGATTTTGGTTAGCATTTTTTTGTCATTCAAGAACCCAGAAATACGGTGTGAATTTCCAAAGTATGTAGGAACAGCAAATCACGTATAACAGGCCAGGCGTAATTGTGATTGTTTGATTTTAAAGTAAATTTGAATTAATTTGTTCAAACTGAAAAGTGTTATTTTACGTGATGAAATGCACTTTGTATTTCAACTGCGCTCGGTTTGATTTCTTTGCAGGTGTCTGCGGAACACGGAAGCTACGTCTATCAGGGGTTCATCCACGCGAAAGGCTTCGGGCAGTTTGGAGTGCAGCGTCTGGGTGAGACGCTGCACTGCCTGCGCCTTTGTTCGGTGCTCATTTTACACGTCTTGCGTGTTTCCTGTAACGCGTATGTGGCCAGACGACGTTTCGTGCGGTTGTTCGTACGTGTGTTAAACTACTTTAGCACTCTACGTAGCCAGCCGTGCTAATCGGAGGTGCGAGAAAAGGGACAACAAACGAAACACAAAAATCGGTTCTAAAGAAATCAGTTTTTAATCTTGATGATCATTTTAAAGTCCATAGCTCCAGTGTCTTCCTAATATAGGAGCAGCGTTCCAGACAGCGGCAGAAGCGTGCGACACAGTGACCGTCTTTGTTCGATCGCGAGCCAAAATCCTCTGTGAGGATGACCGGAGTTCGCGTGATGGTTTACGCTCATTGATGAGATATTGTCTATCCACGGATACGGTAGCGGCTGGGCTGTTGTGTCATTGGAGACGCGTTTTTCTGTGAACGTGTGAGGACGTCGAGGTTTCGCGTCTTCATCGTGTTCCGCGAGATACTCGCACTCGGTCCGGGAAAGTTCTCCCCGTTGATGTTGAGTTGGAGGGTCCTTGTTTCCGGAACAGATGTGAAAGCGGCGCGTTGGTTGGCCCCCCTGGAGAAAAGGCCCGTTGGTGTGCCCCCTTCGGGTTGTTGTCTCTCTGGAGACCGGGATATCATCGGTTATACGTACTGTATGTATGTATGTTGAACTTCTTTTGCACCGTACGCAGCCAACCACGGCTAATCGGAGGTGTGATTGATGTTCGTTCGCCGGGTTGATGATGATGGAATCGGTCCATCGTAGTGGGTCTGCTTCACCTCCGCTAAGTGTCAAACGCGAGGTCGGCAAATTGTAAAACGGCGGCAAAATCCTGCTTTTTGCAAATATTTTTGGGACACCAGGAAGGACTTTCTGAAACTGAGACCGACTCGGCCAGACTGGGACACAGATGGCAGCGTCACAGAGCCACCTAGCAGGCTCCGGCACGTGGCGCTCCCATCGAATAAAGACGGTGGCCACCCCATCGCACAGCGCTTTCAGATGCGCTTCTGCGGCTGTCTGGAAAGCTCTTTTTTCCGACATTAGGAAGCCACTGGGAGCGATTCTTTTTTAAATCATCGAGATTGAAAACTCATTTCTTAGAACTGATTTTTTGTGTTTAGTTTGTTGTCCTTTCCCCCGGACCTCCGATTAGCATGGTTGGCTATGTACGGTGTGAAAGAAGTTCAACATATATACAAACATGAAGCATATCTTTTCTCCCTGTAGTCGCGTGGAATTTTTTATTTCCGGGTCCTCTGGTTTTTCCCTCCACATTTAGAATCAATGTGCGTTTCTGGTATTTTTCTTCTATATATTTCCACGTAATGATGATGATGAGCCACTTTTTTGAGCTGTCATTTGTGGCCAGGTCGCTTCTGAAAAATAAACTAACATCTCAGTGGGCTGTACTTGGTAGAATAATTTTTTGTTTTGTTTTATCTATACTTTTTGTAGCGATTTGCTTACCTTTTCTATACTTTGCACTCCCGTCGTGTTGTTTGTTGTTGTAACGTTCTGACCCAGTGCTCCTTTTAAGACGTCTGTGAAAAAATAGCTTTGTAGCTCATCGGACTCTCCCAGCGAACATAAACATTCTGATTGCGATGGCACGTGCGCGTGAACTTTCTGGTTGAACCCACCAATGTTTTCCCACAGGCCTAACGGAGCCTGGGGGCTGGCGAGAGTCGGGCGCTACCCGCAGGGGCACCAGCAGCAGCTCCGTGGCCATCGCCATCCTCGTGCCATTCTTCGCTCTCATCTTCGCCGGCTTCGCCTTCTATCTGTACAAGCAGAGGCGAGTATCCCGGCGCTCGGCGGCGCCCGCCCAAACCCACCCTCGCGAAGGCCGCCCTTCGTCGTCGTCACCGGGGGGCGAAACGCAACCGCTGTGCAATTGCGCGGTGGCTAGGAGATATTAACTACCTCTACCGGTGTACATGAGGTCGTGGGTTCGATCCTGACCCTGACGATGCCTGCTGTATATTTAGAATTTGCGTGTCTCTCCCTGTGGTCGCGTGGATTTTTCTCCGGGTCCTCCAGTTTTTCCCTCCACATTTTAGAATCAACGTCATGAGTTTAGAGTATTTGGCTGCTATACATTTCGTTATCATTTGCGATAGCGAGGTCGCTTCTGAAAAAAGCCATACAGCTCAGTGGGGCCTTACCTGATAAAATAAAAAATAGTTTAGTTTTAGTTTATCTGTGGTCACGTTTACTCTTGAAGCAATGCCTTGCATGCTCCTACCTCCATGTCAAGGATCGTTGTAGTTTTGCAACTCCCCCACGCGGTAGATTCATAGCCGAGGCCTCCACTGGAGGGAGACTCCACGGGCAGCACCGTGAACAAGATGTCGCAAGGATGCGCACACCTAATTACCCTCAAGTAATTACCATCACGTAATTACTCTCAACCTATCCTTGTTCATGTCGTGTATTTGAATAGTCACCGCTTTAATAAATGGATTATCCCCTCCTTTCTCTGCAATCCCCCCCCCCCCCCTTTTACCTCCCCATGTGAGTTTTCTTTCCCCTCATCCTCCCCTGCCCATTGATGTCGGCTCTCCTCATGTTCTCGCTCGCAGTCCCCACTTGGGAGGGGCAGAGAGCCGGAATCTCCAGCACCCCTCCGCCACCCCTCGTTAAGCCCCCTGGCGTGATGATCTCGGGAGGCCGGGGGTTTTGCTCCAGAAGTTTCTGTCCCCCCCCGCTCCTGTACTACGACCGGTGCTCTGTACTGGGCTCGTGTTGGGTCGCAATAACAAAAAAAATTGAATGTCCAAGATACATGAAGATTTTACATTTGCAGCCTGTTCTCGTGTAACGCTGCGTGTGGTTTTCATAATGCGAATTGGATATCACGCGATCGAGCGAATGGAACTACGTCGCGCGAATAGGAATAAGCGGTCGTACGGCTGCCTCGGCGTAGCATCGCACAAGGCAGTGGCAAGGCAGCGGGATGCTGCTGGATGCTTATAGACGCTACCCACAAGCCTCAGCTTTTGTTCAGCCTGCGTACACATCTCGCATGTTATCGCGGACTGTGCTTTACCCCTATATCATCTATTATAGATGACAAGGCGGTGTTCTTCGGGAACACAACTCCTGCGTTATTGGAGAACAGACTGTAGATTTTACATAAATGTAGATGGATGAAACACACGAATGCACTGCAGCACTATGCCAACGGGAAGTTACGCCGCCTATTCAGTACAATTTGGCAGCTGGTGGTGTATGGCGCACTTTGTCAGTGGTGAGGGTCTGGTGAGTGTGAGTGTACGCTGTGATTAAGCGAGTGTCTGTGTCAGTGGTGAGGGGTGAGTGTCTGGTGAGTGTGCGCTGTGATTAAGTGAGTGTCTATGTCAGTGGTGAGTGGTGAGGGTCTGGTGAGCGTGAGTGTACGCTGTGATTAAGCGAGTGTCTGTGTCAGTGGTGAGTGGTGAGTGTCTGGTGAGTGTGAGTGTGCGCTGTGATTAAGTGAGTGTCTATGTCAGTGGTGAGTGGTGAGGGTCTGGTGAGTGTGAACGCACGATGTGATTGGTGTGTACAGGAGTCGTTTTTGTTGTGATGTCGCTGCCCACCGCTGTCCGCTGACGCCGCGTGTTGTCGCGTGAAGTCCAACGTTTCGCTCCTCGCGCCAGGAGTTCCTCGAGCCGCTCATTTCACTTCCTGAAGCATCTCTCAGTGCGTAGAATGAAACGTCGGACATCGCACTACAATCCATAAGAGAGGTTTCTTGTTGTGCTAGATCGCGTAAATATAAATGTGTTGTTTAAATATCAGAATAGGTTTTACCTTTTCTGGCAATGAATCAGCTGTTAAGATGTTAAAACACCAAACAGAAACATTTTGCAAGGAATCCTGTCTGCATTAACCACACGTACTCGTGGCGAACATGCTCTGGAAATATATGCATTGTCTTTGAAACGGAGTGGTCCACACCAGTGTGTTGTTTAAACCCGGCACCGCCCGACACAGCCAATGAGTAAGGTTTGTCATGTAAACAGAACGTGCCAATTCGTTACTAGTGCAGCACACACGTGTGTGGGAGAGAAAAACTTGAATGGTAAATGTCGCGGTGTTTACTCTCCAACACAGCAGTGTGCTGAACGAGTAACTCTTTTGGCGCGTTTTGTTTACGTGACAACCCTTGCTAATTTCCTGTGTTGGGTGGTGGCGGGTTTAAACGACACACATTTATATTTACGCGATCTAACCCAATAAAAAAAACCTTTCTTATGGATAATATTGATCGCGAAAGGCTCCTACTATTACTACTACGTGTTAGATGTCACCACAGCACGACAGTTCGCAGCGCAACCCTGGTCATCGCATGCAGTCGGCTACAAAGTTCTTTTCTGTCCCTCTGCTCCGCACAGAACGAGGCCGAAGGCCAGGTTCAGAAGCTGCACGGGACACGAGAGCTCCAACGGGCAAGCGTCGTTTGAGAACACGATGTACGACACGAACGCAAGGCCCGGCGAGAGCAAAGCGGTGCGGTTCGACCCGGCGCTGAACACGGTGTGCACCATGGTATAGCATCGCCCGGCGCAGTCCGCCGCAACACCCTGTGAAGTGACTCTGCCGATGCGTTTGAAGTTCCGGAGAGCCGCTCACAATCTGTGGACTGTTGAATGAGGTTTGTTTTTTGGGGGGCTCTACGTTTCACTTCATGCTCTCAGACACTTCTGAGACAGAGCGCGAAAGAGTGTTTCGGTTCTGGCCCGCAAAAAAAATGATCTCTCCAAAACGTCTATTTATTTCGGGCAAACATTTTTAACGGACGTCGGGACAGAAGGGCATTTGCTCGCGCGTGCGTCGTGTCACACGCCAAACGGGGGTGCGTGCGCAGAGGAGGAGGATGGAAATACAATATATATTTAATTAAACGTTTTAAAGGCTGGGGGTTTGTTTGTTTCTTTCCCAAGAGTCACATTGTATTTGATGAGTAACATTCAAAACTGTCGCTCCTTCAAGACTCACGTGAAAGTTTTCGGAGGAATGGCATCGAAGTCGCCGACTGTGATCTGCAAGTCACCGGGGTAATTGTGACTTCATGGTGAAGGGTTCTCCCGCTGCAGGAAGGAGTAGTTGTAGGTATGCCTGGATTGTTACGAAAGGGATGCGATGCAGTTCTTCGTCAATCGCTGCGGCTTTCCCCCCCGTTAATTTAATACAAAAAATTCGGGACGTGTTTCTCGGAAACAGTCGTTCCGCCTCTACTCCTGACCCAAAACAATACGCGCCTCGATCACTTTTCACAACGCAACAAAAAGTCATAATAAAAAACGTAAATATTAAAACGATTGAATAATAATAATGAATTTAAAATAAACAAATGTAGCCTTTTCAGAGAACTCGCCGCAAGATCTGCTGCATGTTGCAATGAGTGGCGAGGCGACGACGGTGGAGGCGTTGCTGCTGCACTGCAGGGACGCCGTGACGCTGACGCGGATGACGGCGCCGCAGCCTCCCGGGGGGCTTCTCGTTTGATGATCTCACGGCGCGCGTGGCCGTCGTGAAATTTCGTTCGTGGGGAAATTCGCGACCCGAACGTTCGTAAACCGAGGGATACCTGTGCAGTCCACATCTCCCCACTCGTCACCTTCGGCTTTGATAATTACAGACGTGTAAAGTTTTGACATGGACACACAACGTAATGATGCTTAACAATTATATTTCATTCAAGTCGCCGTCTCGCAATTATGCTTGCTTTTATTTTAGTTTTTCACGTAACTTTATATTTGATAGAGTCTTGGTGGTTCCCAGTGGATATACCCCACCTTAGATTTGAATTCTCACAGCTGAAAAGAATAATAACAGCACGTGTTTAGCCTTGAAAAGTAATCGCCATAGTCCATGTCAAGAGTGTCTTTCAACCGAGTCAGTCATGTAGATGCCTCGAGGATTACTCGACTAGACACAAACAATTGCTTACAACTTACCACCACGCACTCAGCACCCACGCACAAAGCTCACACACGCACATACACACACAACACACACACAGCAAACGTACACACATATCACACACATTGCACACAGCTTACACACAAAGAACGGACTCATCAAAATGCTCTTTATGATTTACAAAACATTTTAGGAGCATTTTAGATAAAACAAATATATATATAATTTTTTCACAATAAGATAAACTATTTGACAGGCGGAGTTAAGGAATGTGTTTAACCAGCACAGATTTAATTCTACCGTTTCGACTGTCCTCTTGCTCCCAAGTTCTGCCTACACTTGCGGTAACATTACCAAGTGTTCATTTGCTTCAACGCATTACTTGTTAAAGCAGCGGACCTTCTCAACTTACAATGAAGATCAAACGTGTAATTCGACGGAATGATTTCCGTCAGAAAATGTCAAACGTGTTCACGGTTTTCGGATGCTCTGTCAGCTTCTCGTGCGCTGTCCTCGTTCCGCGAGTTGGTGTGCACATCCCGTGGGCGCGTTATTCCTCCGTGCAATCTTTTTTTTGGGTCAAATTTAAGTTGGACATTCAGAGGGGGGGGGGGGAAGCGCTCGTTTTAGTGATGTGCCAAAGTTGAGAAACTCATTGTAAGATATGTGTATAGCCACAATACTACAGCTTGTCACCCTCATTGCATTTTGGTACAGGATGTTTATAGTATGAGTTTCAATCTAATCTGCATTTCAGCTCCACGCAGAATACCTAAATGTATCCATCGCTTACACTTTAGATAAGTGCTTCACCTCAGTATCATTAAAATAGCTGTACAAAGTTATTTTGTACAAAAATATCTATTTTTATGACGAAACATAAATGCTTAACTGAAATATTTTTCATTTCAGGACTACCGTCAAGTAGAACGATGACATTTGCGACAGTCTGCAGTGATGTTCTCCCGGTTTGTTTCGGTTGTGTCCTCGAGTAAAATCATTCACCCCGCCCGCCAGATCCTTCTGCAGCCCAGTGAGACCACGAGGCACGTTCTCATCACGCTGTAAGTTCATGGCTCAATGCGGCCTCATGTCACAGTTCCCAAAACATGTATACGTTTGCAAAAGTGCGGAAATATTCAAAGTCTAATGTGCAATCCGGGTTGTACTGCATGTGCTTCAGTACGATATGCAGCGTGGTGAGTGTGGTGGTGGTGAGTGTTTGGTGGTGAGTGTGGTGGTGGTGAGTTTTTGGTGGTGAGTTTTTGGTGGTAAGTGTGTGGGGAGCGGTAGTGTCGCGTTTGGCGCGCCACGCTACAAACCTGGCGAACCGAGTTCGATTCCCGCTCACGGCCAACACCGGCGACCATAATCTGAACCGGTCCTGGGCCTCCCCTAGGTCGACTCGGCCTCAAATGGATACCTGGTGTCGGTGTGTATTAAACATCGCCACTGGGGAGACAAAGGCGGTCGGTCGGGCGTGATGCTGCTGGCTACTCGCCCCCTCGTGTGCCGTGCCGGCCTTCATAGGTGCTCGCGAAACAGCACTTGCCCCAACAGTGTTCAAGGCTATCCGGGGGGATCTTTGTCTTTGGTGAGCGTGTGGTCGCTGCTTGATGTGCGCAGCAGCAGATGGCAGCAGTCCCTCCGGTCTGCGGCGAGCTGATTGCACTCGGCTCCTCAAGAAGCTCAAAACCCGGCACGCGGAGCTTAGTGTCACCCACACCACCCCCAAGTCATTCCAGACGATGCGCGCGGTGCAACGCGCGGGAACATCACAGAGCTGGGTTGCAGCGCAACCTCGAGACCTACGCAGCAGCAGCATATTAAAAGTCTACACGACGAAAATGGCAGATGATAAACTCTCCACAGTAGAGGAGATTTTTTTGTTGGGGGGGGGGGGGGGGTTAGATCGAATAAATATAAATGTGTCGTTCAACCCGCCACCACCCGACAGCCAATTAGTAAGGTTTGTCACGTAAATAAAACCCACCGTGTCGTGGGTTTACTCTGCAACACACCGATGTGCTGACCTAGTAACTAATTGGCATATTTTATTGACACATTTACATTTACGCGATTTAACCCAAAATACCTCTTTAATGGAAATTGGTCGCGAAAGCCTTCGTGTTAAAATTATCAACTCTGCGTTAACCTAAACATAGGGTTTCTTTTGTTTCCTTGGCCATTATAAAATATACGACTGACGGGAGAAAACGCGCATTTTATAATTGTTAATAAAATAATGGCAACATTGTGTGGGAAATCATTTGCACACATATCTTTTTCCATAAACCTCAATACATGCTGACTTTCTGAAAGTGAGCCTTGTGATTGAGCCTGAGGGTGCAATAAGGCCACTCCTCTGGCACCTGGGGGCTGCGGTGTCTTGCCAGGGGGTGAGATTGCAAGGTGTTTGAAGGTAGAAAGTGTGTCTTGTGGTATATATGATACACAACCCCAAGGTGTGCTTGGCTTAGCCTTGCTGTGTCGTAACAGATACCTCTTTTCCACTGCACAAACCGAGCCGTTCCGGGTCCGTGCCAAGCTAGCCCGGCGTGACTCAGGAGGCGTCGGGTTTTTCCACTGGAGAACCCGCACCGTGTCGCTGCATCGCACGCAGTAAACGAGTCGAGTGTTGATTGACGCGGTGGCGAGATATTAACTACCTCGCCTGGTGTACGCAAGGAGGTCGTGGTTTCGATCCCGACCTGGACGCCTGTATATTTGGAGTTTGCATGTTCTCCCCGTGGTGACGTGGATTTTTCTCCAGGAACTCCGGTTTTTCCTTCCACAGTTAGGAATATGCGTTTAGAATGTTTGGCTGCTCTCAATTTCCACATGATAAGCCACTTCGTTGAGCTATCATTTGTGATAGCCAGGTCGCTTCTGAACAAAAGAGCTGTACAGTATAGCTTTGTGGGAATTACCTGATAAAATAAAAAATATTTTAGTTTTTAAGAAAATCTTTAATATTTGAGTATTATATATTTTAAAAAGGTGAACCAAGCTCCTGGTCCTGCTCGGCCCTGAGCCAGACTCAGACGTCTCTTTGTCAGGCCAGAATTTTCACGGTTTAGTTCTGGCTCGGCTGGGCAAAGAGCCACTGGAGGCACCACCCATACTGTGAAGGGCCCTCACTGGCGCGGCTCGGATGTGATGATGGAAAAGGGGGGGGGGGGGGGGGTTAGAGACCCCAATTTCACGGGGTTTCGTTGGCCTCGGAGCAAGTGGTGATAATATAATTACAAATAATATTTTCGACGAAAATTTGCAAACATCGTTCGTGTGGTTTTGTAGAATGTGACATTACCTTCTCAAACATTACACGATATGCATTGTGTATATTCCATTTTTTGTCCGTTCGGGTAATTAATGTTTCGCCAGAGACCTGTACATAGTATTTTATACATTGTAATAAAAATAAGCCCTATATGCCTTGTAAAGAATGGGAGTGTTGTTACTTTGAATTGCCAAGTCCGAACTTCTCAGGGTATCGTGTGCGCCCCCACACCACGCGCACGTCGACAGCAGCCCGCGTTGTTTCTCCCACGCCTGAGCGTGAAGCTCACTTGTCCGCCACGACAGTTTTTTTTCAGTTTCATTTATTAGGTACAGCCCTGTGAGCCATTCGGCTCCTGAATCGGGTGCAACCGCAACAAACAAAAAACAAAAACATGAACAAGAAAACATCTTAAAGTGACTATGTGACTAAGTGCAAACAGAAATATCCAGGAAAAACAGCAAAATCTTCCATAAAAAGCACCGTACACCCACGCTGTGTGCAAAAATCCCAGTGGGATGCAAGTCAAACAACCACAAGACAACTTAGATTAAGGCCATCAGTCTAACTCCGTACTACAACAACCAAACATGGCCAAACCAAAAAACTTTTCGAAATCACCAAAATAAAGCCATAAAAGCAATGTAACAGTGATCATAGGACTACGACACAAGCACGGAAATGCTCGCGGATTTCTGTAACGCATTGCAGCGTGCCCCTTTTTAACGTCGGAGGGGGGGGGGGGAATATAATATTTAGAGAACGCATCCAAGTTAATGGCATAATTCAGACTGTTGGTAAAGCGGGTGGGCGTCGGCAAGGCACGTCGCTCGCAGGGACGGTGAGGAACAAAGCGCCCGTGGCAGCCAAGGGACGGGACGCGTCCCACAGGACGTCACCTGTGAGACGACGGAGCGATAAAATCAGCTCGTACTGCCGGCGCTGGGCGGATCGTTACATCACCGGAGCGCGACAGATGCGAGAGGAGTGGGGAAACCATCCAGCAGTGGATGGATCGTGGCTGTTGATGATGGGTGACGTCCGCGAGGTGACGTTATGGAGTGATGCCATCACATGCGTGCTCAAGGCTTGTGATGTCAGCCACGGGGGCTGAAAAAGGCTCACATTTTTCAGTGTATCGCCCAGTTTTGGTCAACCCTTTCATAAGTTTTGCCCGCTGGTCTGCAAGATAAATCTCTTAGTGCAACACCACACATCACACTCAGACTCAATGTGTATTGGGGTTATTATAACGACCCTTGCCAGATGACGCAACACAGCCTGTGCAATATAACACGTTCAACCTTCTTTGGAAACCACCGTGTGAAAGAGTCGAAAGCCCCTCCAGCGAGTGAATGACTCTGCGTACAAAGTCCGAGCTGCTCAGGATGGAGCCTCCTTGTGTCCATGTTGTGGACTGTGGACATTTGTTTATTCGGGTGCCACGGTGGCGAGATGTTCACTGCCTCGCCTGGTATGCGTGAGTTCGACCCCGACCCTGACGCCTGCTGTGTATATTTGCAGTTTTCATTTTCTCTCCGGGTCCTCCGGTTTTTACCTCCACATTTACAATCAACATTACGCGTTTAGAGTATTTGGCCGTTTATACATTTCCACACCCTGATGATAAATCACTTCGTTGAGCTATCATTTGTGATAGGTTGTGGAAGGAGGTCGCACGGTTTCTCTCTCTCTCCAGAGTTGTAGGAGGCTGGAACAAAGCTGCCCGCTGTGCTTGAGCGATGGCGAATGATGTCACTCTCTGCAGCTCTTCACATTCCGTGGCCGCGCCACAACAAAGTCCCCCTGAGCGTTGCCCCCTTCTTGGTCTGTGCAGTCAGCCCCCTGAGTGGTCGGGGATCATTGGGGGGGGGGGGGATGGTGGCTCGGATAAAACTTAAACACGGATGATGCCCCCCCACACACACATGTAAATTAGGCCATAACACGTGGATTCTTTACCGATGCAGAATAGGGGGGACACACAGAATATGCCGTCGACGTTTTGACGTCGTTTTTCATCGAGGGATGTATGCCACCGGCTGGCGCGGTGTGCGGTCACGTGGGCACTGAATCATTGACCCGCTCCACCACCACCACCCCCCAACTTCACAGAAGCTAAAAATAGAGACACGCTAATCCGCATTCCGCTTATTCCGTGTGAGTTAACGGTATGCGTTACCTCCCTCGCAACACGGAGGTGAGTTACGGCAGTTGTAAAGCGCGTAGAAGGAACGGGAGAGGGATCGTGGAAGCACGATTTTAGTTTTAGTTTTAAATCTTACAACAACAGAGACATTTGAGAAACGATGGCAACTATTTGACGCTAAACTTTGTTCACCAGCCGAGGGTGTGGCACGGTCCGACTGTCGGCTCCGGACGACTTGAAACGCGACAGGCGACTGAGTGCGCCAAGATGATAAAGAGAGGCGCTGCCTCGTCAAAAGATGCCACCCCGAGAGTGGCCCACTGAGTGGCGCTCGCTACGAGGCCCTCGGTGGGCAGCGGCTCGTGGAGGGGGGGTTGGGGGTGGTTGGGGGGGGGGGGGGTTGGGGGTGGTTGGGGGGGGGTTAGGGGTGGTTGGGGG